CTGATGGCGTGGCTAAGACACTGACATGGCTAAGACACTAGTGTGGCTAAAACACCAGAGCAGATGAACTATACTCAAGTGGAATCAATAGCAAATATTTAATGTTCCAATGTCTTAGCCATGCCATCAGGATATACATTTGTACAATAAGCAGAATCAATAGCAAATATTTAATGACTCAATGTCTTAGCCACACTGGTGTCTTAGCCACATCAATGTCTTAGCCATGCCATTAGAATATACCTTTGTACAATTACATTCCAATGCTTTAATACCTGATAATTGGCTACAATATTACAGCTAAGACTTTGAGGTAGGAAAGTAGTATTATAGGGCAATTCCAAGCTCATATTTGCAAGGTCTTATGCCTTAGTGGTATAGCGCGCTGCGGTTACTTTTGGGCTGCGGGTTTAATTCCTGCTTGTGCCATTTTTTGGGCTTTTCGGAAATTCTTCAGCGTGTCTTAGCTGCTCTTGGGCGCTTCTGGGTGGCTAGTCCAGTGTAACTTAACAAGTTCCCATGTCTGGGCCGCCGAACTGAATCAGCTCCATAACAATCAACTATGGCAGGCGCATCAGAGGAGCTTTGTCGCTGGCACAGAACTAAGAAAGGAAAGGGCGGCATCCAAGGTAATCACAACTAGCCACGACCTCGTCTCCCGTTCATGCACACTATCCAAGCTTCGCTCTCCCTAGCTCTCGCAAGATTGGCCCTCCACAACTCGCTCATGTCAACAATGCTACCGCCCCGCACGACCGTTGCACGAACGCGAATCTCTTCTCGATCTGCTCACACTGAAAAACCGGCGAGGAATTTCCTCATCTGGCTTCCGATACAGATTTCATTGTTCTTGAAGCTGTTACACGTGTAAGAAACTCGTGATATTCTTGAGAGTCCAACAAACGTACCGGCCTCTGATACACCTTGCTGCAACACGCCGACTCCAGCTGCGGGCCATGCTGGAGGCAGACCACTTCGTCATCATTGCCATTCGTGCACTCGTTGCGCATGGTATCTCCTTGTCCTCAAGCCTCGACTTGCCCTTCTGACTGTATGCCTTTTTGTGCTCATCGTAGCACTTCTCGAGTGCCGGGAGACTTGGCGCAGCTAATCTTCGTGAGACATAGTTAAATGGGGAGCGAAGATGGCGTTCTTCCCGTAGCACCTGTATTCTGCGCCTTCAATAGCTTCAATGCTCCACCAACAGTCGCCGTCAGCCTGCAGAAGTTTGTCTTAGCTGCTTTGTTCGCCATCTTGGCTGCGGTGCACGGAAGGTCGTACACACGCGTAGTGTTTTTGAGTTGTGGAGCATTTTGTCGGAAGATGCATGTGAATACGGGTACATACGGGCACGGGTAGACTCTGTGTATTGCTTGTCTTGTTGCAATCTTGGGCACCACATGGCGGAACATGGCACGGGCAAAAGGAACGCTTGAACCAAGCAGTATGCCATGTAGTGGTATAATATGATATCCCAGGAAAGCCCGCATTCAGTCAGTTGACGGAGGGCAGAAGTCGACTCATGATGGATGCGGACGAAGAGAGCCAAGCGACGCATTGTGGCGTCCGCGGCTGCAACGCGGCGCCAGCGCTCCGAACAAGTTAATGAGCCTAAGTCACTTTTGCTTCAATACTGGGCATTCTTCATTAGACAGCATCCTCCGCAACGCATCAAGTTCAAAAGATATCAAGGCGTCGCGCGGACACTGGGCCCTCAGACCTTCGCGTGGCAATCCTACTAGTGCGATCCACTCAATACCTGGGATGCACATCACGCTTAGCCAACTGTCCTGCTACATCATGCCAACCGTTCGCAACCACGATAGTCATAATCTAAGTATAATTGACAACAGATCTTTTGAACGTGATTCAGTCCTTCTGCTTCCTGAACAAGACCTTTGCTGTTCGGTTGGGCGATATGGTAGAGCCAAAATGGAACGCGCGTGTGACCTCTCCGGACTTCTCCATGTGGACGTCGTACATCATCACAAGATGCGCCATCATACTTTTCATCTTGTTCGCAGCGTAGAAACATCCCGGGCTACAGTATTATTCAATATGCCGACCGCGACGACGTCAGAGAAGGAACTCACCAGGCGTGCTTCCCAATGCCAAACGGAAGGTACTCCATACTTGTGTTGGTCATCTGGTGCTTCGTGCCTTCGCCCGTCTCATCATGCATGTTGGAAAAGTGCCACAGTCAAAGACACACAGGCCATTGTAGTACTTGCGCCAGTCGTGCGTTGCTATCTTCGAGGTCGAGACGTAGCTGCCTTTGAGGATGAACATGCCGTCAGAAAAGGTAAAGTCTTTCAGCGCTTTGCATTCAACAAGTACTATGAGGAGATATAATCATATAATTGGTGCTGCGAGATGCAAGACGTACTGCTATTGATACCCTTGACCCGCTGGGACTCTTTCAGAAAGCTATCAATCTTGCGCATCTTCTGCAGTGAACCTTTCGACCAGCTGTCTTCCGTAACAATAGCTTCGACTTCTTCCCGCAGCAGCTGCAAGTGCTCTGGGTGCACGGCTAGGCGGTACAAAGCATGAGTGAAGCTCTGAAAGGCCAAAATACTCAGCACGTGGTGCTAACGGTGCTGAGGCTCGCGGTATACCATGGAAGAAGTGTGGATGGCAGCAAAGCAAACCATGAGCAAACAGGCGGTCAGGGCCCTCGGTTCCCGCTCGATCCCTTCTGCAGCTTCCATGAGCCACTGGAGCAAATCATTCTGATCCATAGAACTTCAGCTGCTGGTCAGATAGCAAGACAGCGTGACTCACAGGCTTATCTGGCCAGTCATCTCCATATTGTTCCATCATGCTTCTCCGCCTCTCAATCGTGGGACCAAGCAAAGCACGTGCACAGTCAATGGTCTTGTAGTTGCTATTGATCAAGTGGTTCACAATCCTGCAAGGCATTGCTTAGGGAGTAATGGCCTTCGAGTGTGAGGTAGTGACTGACGATTTGAGGTGGACAGGTACCATGCTGAGTATAAGCCCAGTCTTAATTGTATCCGTTGTGTAGTTGATGCTAATGTCCAAGAATTTCCAATGATGGCCTAGTTCATTGTCAACGTGACCACGGCGGAACACTATGGAAGCGCTTACAGAGGGGAAGGCCAATGAAAATGCGGACAGTCGCCCGAGCGACAACTCGCATGATGGTGTCCATTGCGGGCACAGCTATCCATTCTACGTGAATGGAATCTCAGCTAAACGTGTGGATGAATGGCTGTTGATTCGCAACTTGACCATCTTTCGCTGGGATGCAGTCTGCAAATGCGTTGCATATCTTGTCGTAGAGCTCCCCATAAAAGTGGCTCAAATAATGTGTGAGTGTTATCTTGATAATCGGCACATGATACATATCTTTTGGCGCTCAGGCCACGTATATCGCATACTCGAGCTTGAAGGACTGCAGGAAAATTCAGCTGTGCTGACTTCGTGAATCAATGAGTGGTGAATGCTTACCTCGGCTACGGCTTCGATGAAAGACAGCTCGTCGTCCGGTGCATGACGCAGCTCATCAATCAGCTTAGGGCCCGAGACGATGTAATGCCAATACCGGCGAGTTGCTATCCTGAACGGGCTCCCACCGACCTGCCAAATCTCTGTCAGCAGCAGCGCAGTGAAGTTCATTCCCCTCTGCGAGCATCCCTTGGCAATTGGTGAAGAACCTGAATGCACCCCAGTAAGAGAGCAACGGTGCTGTTGGTCCTAGGGCGGGTAAATTTCTGAGCTACACAAAGGTCAGAATAGCCTTGGCGGCACAGAACAACCTGGTATTCACTCACCTTATGCTCTTTGAGCCAGTTTAAGAGGTATAATGCCATACATAGTAGAATAAGGCTGTACGTCGATGTTGGTGAGTCCGGAAACATGGTGGCGACAAGTAAATTTATTCTGGCATGGATGATCTTTATGCAGACTTATAGAAGCTGTTCCTTGTCAGCATTCACATGTTGCGATTAACAGTCAAGATGTCTCTGATACAACAGACAGGATTACCAAGTGAACCATCCTCCTACTTCGTATGGTGCATGTAAGAGTCGTAGAATGTAGAACATGGACTTGGGCGAAGTCCGGAAATGATATAGAAGAGCGACTGATAATACAGGAGGCCGAAGCTAAAGTACACAACATTTCCGGCTGGTATTTATACTAACCTAGCTACTGCGGGATCAGCAGAGAAGGGACAACGTATGTACGAGAACGTCCGGGAAATGGAAGTGGTCCGGAAATGGACCAGAAATGACTCGTCCGGAAAAGGGTAGAACATTCGAGTAGGCGCTTACTGTCTGGAAATAAAGAGTAAAGAAAAACATATATTGGGACTACGGACCGATCGTAACAGTGCAGCTTACCGCCATTAGTAATGTCGTGTAGACGACGCTCTGAAAATACAGTGCCATATGCCACGATCATCTTTGCATTGCAAGGCGTTTGAATAGAGACCACCAGCGATTAGACAGAGGGCACCGGAGCGAGAAATAGTGACTTCCTGTATAAGTTTAGAAACACTTGAACCAGATTGTCGGGGTTTAAAATTTGTGACGACGAGATCTGAAGATCTGAATTCCAGCCTGGGGCAAGGCACAATACATATGCCCGGCTGGCTATCCCGCGAGTCGTCTAACCCGTCGAGGAGAGGGGATGGTTGCGCATGCTTTGTCGACCTCGAGCTGCATCCGCGGTGCCTCAATTTCCAGAGACATGGGTGTACAAGGCAAAGAGGCTCTGTGTCCTTCGACGCCAAGGAAGCTTCGACAGAATTGGCAGACTCTCGGGTGCTCTCGAAGAAAGCTTTCAGCTCCGACCGAGCACTGGGAGTACTGGCCGGCGGCACTGTTTATAACAAATACTATTAAGCTGAAAGCCGCGCGATGTCTTGTTCTGAACGAAGCGTGGCGACGTGCTCAGAGGCAAGTCTAGGCAAGAGACTTTCTGTTCGGTCCTGCGCATGTGGAATTATCGGTGATAATGCGGTGGACACGACTGAGAAAATGTTTTGCAACAAGTATTCTCTCGTACCGGACCTTCTGAAAGCTATAGCGCAGCGCAATTGTCTGAAGGGAGATATGTGTGCCTTTCCTAGTAGCCTCGACGTCGCAGAGAAGTTCATCGGCGACCTGTGACCTGATTCATATTATGTTCAGAATACGGCACAGCGAGCAGTAGCTGTGGCTCTTAAAGAGAATTAGACTCGCCAGCCGTGTCCGGTACGTCCGGTCGCTGCCTGTCGCTGCGCTCTGTGAGGACTACGTGCATCTTAATCGCATCCATGATGCCAGCGTAGTGGTTCGTTGCGACCGTACTTCAAGTTGTTACATGTAACGGCTCAGGTACCTGGTACTACCTGAAACGATACACCGCACCACCGAATTCCAGAGCTCGGTCCCCTGACGTTCCGTGATCAACGATTCAACGATTCAACATCCAACTTTTCAAACATTTGGAGTCGGCACTCGGTGCGTATGAAAATCGAGAGTCTCACGACGTGAAGATTTGATTACCGCGGATATTTTAGGTGGACGCTCAGCGGCGTCAGTGAAGGGTAACGATGATCGAAGCTGTCACCTAAAGATTCTGTTCATCGTGTCGAGGAGGACCTGGTCATACTGTATATGGCTTATATCGCACCACCCGGCCCACGCCAAACGCAGTCTATGTGTTATCCAGTTTCGACTTCGCCTTTCGCTAAACTTCTCTCGTTGCTAAGTAGGAATCCAGAACTTCAGCCTTGATCGGACCTGGTGTATTGTCTTGCCCAAGAGACTGAGGCTCGACTAAGTGATCTTCCCTTGTATTACCACGCGTACACAACAAGTGCCTGGTACCTTTGGCTAGGCTCATCCCACGCCGGTTTCTGGTGAAGCTCGCGTCGCATCCCTGGCTTCAATGGAATGCAATTAAGATGCACGTGGTTCCCACGTAGCGTAGCGACCGGGACATGGTTGACGAGTCTAACCTTTGGAAGTCCTTTGGCAGATGCCGGTACTGTAAAGTTCCTACTGGAAGCGTTCTGGCAGGGGTTCTATTTTGGGAGCCATTCTCTCCGATCAGGGCGGGCCGTGGTTTCGGGTCCACAGGCACACCTCTAAATGAATACCCCCAGTTGCTTTCAGCGCTTGATTACTACCACACGGTGACTGTCGGTGCATGCCCACTATCTGTTATGACGCAGTTTTTGCTTCTGCGCAAAACTTTCCTGCGCGTTATTCTCGATGGACTTGGAGCAGACCTTGGAACGAGAGGGGAGCAAAGAGGGGGCCTATGTTGATGAGCGAATGTCGAAGAGGAGTTGGACTGCTAGCGTCCTCATCAATCAAGGCCATAAGAACGAGATGTCTTCTGATGTCTTGCTGCAAACCTGACGTCGATATGCTGCAGTGAGTCAGGGCATTTAGATTAGTTCCACGAGTTCTGAGTACCATAGGGATGTCAAATTCTCCGAGGCTGTCTCTTGGGACGAGGATCCAGGGTCCCTGGCACTCCAATATCCATTATGCCCAGTCAGAGGCCGTTGTAGCAGAAGCGTTAGGGGTAAATAGCCCATCTAATTGATGCACAAAACATTTTCACGCTTTTTACGTCCCCAGGAGTAGCAGTTTGAAGGTGTGCAGCAGACGATACAAGAGTATTCGTGGACCGGCGCATGTGACTCATTGGTAGGGAGATGGCCTGCCCGTCCCCGAGGCGAATTCGAGGAATCGACTCCGTTTCATCTGGGGCATAGAAGAACCCGACGTCAGTGCGTCAGTAGTGGAACACTGCACGCTTTTCCACTAGGCTCCTCTCCATTTCCTTCGGCGATCCTTCGAAGCGGATGAAAGTGCACGTAACCGCACCGCGTTTCACGGGCGATATCCTGTAGAACTAGGGAACGGACAGCTCCCAGACCTCGCCCGTTTTTGTTCGTCCCATTAGGCGGAGACCCCAGCTAGCGCGGAGCTGAACAGACCGCAGTTTGGGCGCACCGGTGAGACAACGTTGAGATATACAGACACCGTTCTTATGCATGCAGCACTGTGAGTCAGGGTATGCGAAGACCTTGATGCACGGACCGAACAGCTTGAACAGGTGCGTCTGTAACCTTACGCTATGAGGCGTTCCCACAAACCTGAGCGTCAGCGGAAATGTCTGCTCACCGAAGTCGGCCGGCCCGGGAAGGAACGGTGAAACCTTAACCATATCTGTCGCGCCAAGACCGTACCTGTTTGGATCAGGGACCACCTGATATCGGCAGCTGCCGGTGGTCCAGGGCTTGTCATGCCCGCGTTTATTAACGACTCGGAGATGGCAATCTAGGATTGCCTTCGATGAGAAGAGTTGAGAGAACCCGGAGCACTTCTGAGTACTGCTACCATCAATGTGGCTGAGACCCCCTTGCGTTGGAGGCAAGCAGGGGTGCGAAATATGTCTCCTAAACGTGGCGATTGTCATGAGGGGAAAATACTTTGCTCGTCGAACCGCGGTCATGTCGCATCGCGCCCGCCGTACCCTGTCCGTACTCCTGCGAGTCCAGTTTCGTTACTACAGCTCTGACATGGACGGCGATGACGCCATCGTTAAGGAGATCCACACTCTCCTCTCCCACCTCTTCCCGATTTACAAACGCAAGAAAAGGAAGAGACCACCGCCGCACTACTTGGCTGCTCTGGAACTGGCTTGGTCTTGACCATGATGGCTCTATCTTCAATGCTTTCTGGACACTCTTGGAGCAACGATATAACGTGCAGAGAAGGTACACGACGAACACGCGACGCGTTCAACCAAAGTGCGTCTATAACTCCGCTCTAAGGGCACTCTAACAATCATTAGCCCTAAATTGAATAATGCTACACATCACGGTACGGTCCAAGTACGGTCCAAGCTGCTCGCAAACCCAGGCCCTCGCAGCCTTCAAATTGAATTTCTCTAAAGGTCCCGGCCCGAAACTCATCTTGTTCTCGTCCTTCTGCCGTCGGTGAGACTCTGTCTTTGATCGACACCATATTTGATGTTTGTTCCTGAGGTAGGTACCACATACGGAAGAGCTAGCACAACCCTCGCTGTCCGCATCATTTCTTGAGGTATCAGCCAGAGAGAAACCGCAGCGCATCTTACACAGAGATGTCAGACGCTACGGTATGCTCAAGCCACTAGTTATATGGAGACGGGCACTGAGGAGGAGTAGACCTATCCCCCCCCTGCCCGGTACTTCGCGCGCCCTTGGAGATAGTAGGATGTCTCTTCCACCGACAGTTCCTAACGACATATCTTCCCCCAAGGCTTACCTTATAGGGGGCTGCGTTGAGGGCCCGCTGTTGGGTGAGTTAGAATTTAATGTGCAGAGGCCCGACGCTAATCTGGACAACAATGGCACAGGAATTAAGTAGGTCCTCCATGCCAATACTTGGTCAATATACCCTGAGCCGTCGTCCAGTATTGCCTTATATATCATGTACGTACGGATACTGTCCAAGAACCTGTCTTTACCCAAGAAGTGCGTATCAAGCTACTCATCTCGTGCTTGTAAGTGCTCAAAGTCTTCAGACTTCTCATCGGACTCGCTACCGTCCAGCTCGTGTCGGCATTCGCTCATTATATCACAATCATGATGGATTTGATCTCTGGATTCATAACTTATGTCGATGGTCCCGGTGGGGCGGACGCATACTTTGGAAATACGACTCGAGCGCGGTACGTTATTGCCATCTTCTTTTTCTCCACAAATGTAAGTTTCCTATCGAATTCCCGCCATAGTCCTGATGTGTGACTCTTGCACAGTATAGCATAGGAGATGCGATACTGGTAAGAAAAGCTCCGTTCTCCAGCTTGCCTGATTCTTAAACAGTGATCGTCGCTCAGGCTTGGAGATGCTACGCCGTGTGGGGTCATAATCGGCTTATCGGAGCATTCTTCGTAAGTGCGTTCACTAGAATTTCATTCTGTGATCTCAAACGTTCGTGACGCAGACCGTTCTCGTTATTGTCGCTTTTAGTATGTCATTTTGTGCGTGCCTGTGTAGTTTTTTTCTCACATTGCTGTTAGTCTGTGGGTATACAAGTGCCGCCCATATCGCCACGCTTGGCAAGAATCGAGACCTCTTTGCCGACTACCAATGGGCCGTCGCGATTTTCGCGATGTCTCTTAGCATTCAAGTACTTGCATCTTCCATGGTCGTCTACAAAATCTGGCGCACCTCCATTTCGATGTACCATCTCTCAGCCGCATGGATCATCGTCGAATCTGGTCTCATCCTCACTAGCGCGACTGTGTCTGTTCTTGTACTATTTCTGCTAAATATGCAGGCCGGGCAAATTCTCTCTTGCGTCCTCACTCAACTCAGTGTATGTTATCTCCTCTTCCCTGCAGCTCTATTTTAATCTCGGGTATGTGGGCAGCTTGCGGTTCCATTATCCATCGCCATCCGCGCTGCCAGCAAATGGGCCAATGACCACAAGCAGAGCCTTCCTTTGTCCGGGTACACCACAGTCGCCGAGGCGGGGATGAATTCTCGACGTGGTGAACGGGTGAGTCGACAAACATAGCTCTGCCTAGGAACTTTAAACTAATTGACGTCAGACTATTGGTACTGGAGCATCCATGGGCAGCACTATCGCGATGGCGGTGAGTGATTATCTGCATGCTGCTGCACTAGATGCCCTGACTATATAATTTCTCTCAGTCCGATACCGAAATCAAGGTAGATATGTCATCAATGGACCTACCATCTTTGACGGCTTGAGACGGGTTCTGCGAAAGCTGTCTGCATTCGTGCCGCAATCGTATCTCGTGCAGTATATTTGTCATGGACATTCCTCCCCCCTCCCCCTTCTCTCCTATGCTTCTCGCCGACCGTGCTTCGTATTATCTATATCCCTGCTTAGGCTCTGTATCTAGCTAGATGCTTTGCGCAATGCCTCCTTTGAGGCCTAGCCCGTGACGTAAATCAGTGCCGATATATACCTGAAGTTGACATCTTCGCGGTTCCGAGTCTGATGTCGGCTTGTGAGCTCACCGCAAGAATGCTTGGGTTCGCATGCGTCGGTTTGCGATACGACCCATACGCCAAATCCGGCGGTCCAGCCTGGAGTTCAAGACGAAATCGTGCACTAATGCTTGCTCCCTAGTAATTGGGTCGGGCGTCGAGAGCGCAGAGCACTTCTGGCCTTGGTGCTTGAACTCATCGCGCACGTTGCCATGCCCTTCACATCCTCGACACCGCTCTAATGGGGCTGACAAATTTGCCATAGCTGAAACGTTGAAGCTCACGACATGCCTGACCTTCGAGTATGCCTTCACCAACGCATCCTCGGAATCAACGGGGCCGCACCACTACACAAGGTGGTAAGTGCAGTTTTTTTCTTAAGGAAACCTGGAAAAAAGCGGTTAAATAAGGCCCAAATGTTTCTCCGTTGTACGCCGAGGCAAATCAAGAAGAGAACTGGTGCAAAACAGGCCGAAATGCAGTAAAACTGGTTGAAAGCTAAGTTTTGCCTTCGGTTTTTCTCAGGTAAAAAGCGGAAAAACTCAGGTCCTTGTTGAATCAGTTTTCAATCGATCTTGCGAGGGAAAAAATTGCGCTTGCCACCCACTGGGAGCGCTGGGTGGCACCTAGTGCTATTGGCGAAGCAAGCGCACACGGCAACAACGCGGCAAGCTGCGCTCTATTCAGAGCAACTCCCGCTGCAGCCGACGGCATAGGCAGCCTTCCGGTCGTTGCCGCTGATGGATGCCACAATGTAATAGCATCAATCAATCCTGCGGTAGGGCCTCCGAGTCGGGCAAGCGTCGGGGATACGCTTTACTCTGCGGATGTCTCGTTCTTGCTGCCTTCTTCCTTTTTCCACTCTAACTATCTTCAAGCTGTGAAGCCCGATTTTTATATCTAATCTTACTCAGTCTGGACTGTATACCTGATACTCTCACGGGCAGGATGCCAAAGCAAGTTAGCCTGCAGGATGCCATCGCCGCTCGGCCAGTCTTTCGCGAATGCTTCCCTAAAGCTACGCCGGGTGGCGAGACTGAACGATTTTTGTGTAGATAGGCACGTATGGTTTTGACATGGGTCGAGATCAAGTCGCTGAACGGTGCGCTGGCGCGGATGGCCAGAGAAGGTGAGTCGCGTCGTATTGCGTAGAGCATCTCGAAGGACTGTGCTCAGCCAGTCCTCTACGGCAGAATGCCACCCAGGAGTATGCACTGCCAACGCTGAATTGGGAGCGAATATATAACAACCAGTTGGCTTAGCTCGCGCGGTAAGCCTTCAACATGGAGTCGGGCGTTCTAGCGACGAAGAGCCTGCAGATTACAACTTAACGGTCGGCGTCAATCTTGCCATACCACTTCCTCCTTATTAGCTCATTTGGTAGTATCGGCGGTCATCATCGAAGTACGCCAGAACACACTGCGTGATTTAATACGCTTGTATATCTAACGCGTCACACCCACAGGAAATACACTATGAGGTAGGGGATCTTCTCGAATAAGCAAACGAAACGCAGGAATCATTAGGACTATCCTATGCTACACATAACGAATTGTAGAAGCGGATCGTGAAACAGGCGAGCATAGCTCCAAAGTTCTCGTGTGCGAGCGGTTACCAGTTTCTGGTCGAAGTTGGACGCTTTACAGCCAGAGGAGGAGGAAGAAAGGCCATCGCACTTGGTAGATCTTGATACGATGTAAAATTATCATTCTCGTCCCGCACAGATAGCCATCCATCTACGTTTCACGGCGGTGGAAAGAATAGATCACTTAGGAAGTGAAGAATAATTGGCGCGATGGCCACTTGTTAGGGTCTTATAACCAAAGAAAGGCAGCTCCTGGAATTTCTCTGTTAGCCGAGCGGTGTCGAATATGTTCGTGTCCAGGGCCGCTTTCTTTTCGCCGACCAAGGCCCTGTGCAGATGATTGACTCACGTTTCGATGTAATAACTTTGTGTCTCGTACCTTCACCGGCCGGCTCCATCGATGAAGCTGTCAATTCCGTTGCTTCTGAGTCTTTGCATTGCGCAGAGGTGCAACCGCCGAAAAGTGACTCAGCAGGTCCTTCGCTCCAGTCTCTGCTGTTATCCAGAATGGCGGATGCGGTTCGGCGTGGATACTCACCATGTCCAACAGAACCAGACCAAGCAGCTTGGGTCTTGGAAGTCATCCCTCACGTCGGCGAGGTTCGCGGAAAGTGCGTCAAAGATAACAAGGTCAGTCCGCTTGCCGATCTCAACCATGTCGACGAGGTGCCCGAGGTTGAGGGTCTCCCAGATGCGAGCTTGCTCTATCGTCACTGCGGACTGGACAGTCCTACGTCATGCGGCTAGTCAACAGCGGCGCGAGTACTCTGGAGTGAAAAAGAACATACCATGAATTCTTAATGATATTAGCAGAGAAACCAGCTTAGCTAAGTTAGATACATTCGCGGGAACGGTCAGGACAAGTAGTACTACGACCCGGCAGGCCAACCCCGATAAGCACCCTGATTCGATAACGAAGTATTGCGGCATACCCTACACAGCACATATCACTTATGAGCTTATATGACATGGATCCTTTGGAAAGTTTATATGGGACGGCTTACATTTTGATGGCATAGGACCAAGTCCTTGTCGTCTATCAGCGGACCACGGCTCGACAGCTCAGATGAAAGCAGAGCCGTGGGTCGCCTGGGCCGTACTGTCGAGGGCTCATAAAAGCCCGCTTGGCATGGCTCGTGGCGGCCAGCTCGATAGCCTGGATTCATGCTTGCACAACACTGGTGTGAGTCATCAGTGCTCGAAAGCATGATAAGATGATGTACTGCTTACCTATTCTAAATCCACCTGCTTCCGCCAATTGAAGCTGTGAATGCAGATGGTGTGCGTTCAGTGTGCGCTTGAAAGCACTTCATATCTTAGGCAACAAAGTCTTGGCGTGTCCGCAGAGGGAAGCGTGATAACCCTTGAGATCTTTTAACTCTGGAGGCAGACTCAATATTACCTAGTGCAGGACAAAAGTTCTGAACGAAAGTCACCGATGAGGTTGGAAAAAGCTGAAGTAGCTAATAGCGTGCTCTTCCCGCATGTCTTTAATTTCCGGCGTTTCGTCAAAGTCGAGGACGAAATGCATAAAAATTATATCGGTGCCAGCGGAGTTTCAAGTGCGTGGCAGGGAATATTAGCAATCAGGAAAACAGCACACCAGGCTACAACAAATGCTTAGCTTTTCAGAAATACGCTCCACTCTGGACGCTCCTGGCGAGATCCTGACTACGTCTGAAGCACCCGCTCAAGCTGGACAAGTGAGAAAGAGCATGGCAGTACTCACGCGCACACCCGAAGCGCCAGCCGGTGCAACCAATGTTCGGCATCCAAAATGGTTGCCCGCAGGCACCGCTGAGCGCCTACATCCTTGTCCCTCATTCATGCGCGCTATCCAAGCCTCGGTCCTCCCTAACTCTCGCAGAACCCTCTACAACCCGCTCAAGAGCACATACAGGACATACGCCAATGGTGCTCCTGCCCAGCGCGGTTATCGTGCTAGCGCAAAGCTCTTCGCCGACGCCGCAAACGAGGAGACCGAGCTTGCGGAACAGGCAGCGAGAGCGAACAAGCTAGAGGCGTTGCGGAGCAAGCACGAGAATTGGACGGGTGATGAGTCAATGCAAGATGCAGTGCTTCGTATGCTCGTCGACAAGTACAAGCCTATGCGCGGTGGGCCCATCCGCACCGCCGACGAGAAGCTGAAGAAGGCGCCGCCCCGGGTTGAGCCTGTAGATCCTGCAGTATTGCATAGTTATGGCTCTCCTGAAGCATCAGAGCAGGCTGTTGTGCAGACGTCGTGGGGCGCAAGCAGCAATCGGTCGTTGGCGGACGTTCCATTACTCCCTGCGGTAGAAGGACACCAGCCATGGCACACGACATTCACAATCCCTTCGCATGCTCGATCATCTGTCAAGTACGGCAATATCCCATCCTCCTCGGCAACCAGTAGGCTACCGCCGAATCCGGAACTGCTCGACGAGAAAGCCCGCCGTAAGCTGCGGGAGAACAAGAAGCGCACGGAGCAGGCTGGAAGGCTTCAGAGTGCCAGAGAGTCGACTCTAGACTATCGGCTCGGCATCAAAGCTGGTGCGAAGGTTGCACATGATTCTGTGCGTCCGAGGGCGAACCCGACGGGGATGAAGGGTTGGGCAAGCCTGGTAGAGGATCGGATAGAGGTGCGTATATGTCTGATGCACATATATGCGGGTGATAATCCGCCGTCTCCCAGAGGGCTCGCCAGGAAGGGCGTTTTGACAAGATCGAGGGCCGCGGGCAGCCTCTTAAGCAGTTTGTTGAAGAGCGGAATCCGTTCATTGGTCGAGAGGAGTTTTTGCTGAATCGTCTTGTCCAAAGACAAGGTGCTGCACCACCATGGGTAGATATCCAGCAAGGTGCACCCTGTTCCCGATCATCACAACTTACAGCTGACTTCGATTCAGAGCTAGAGTCCGCGTTAAAGAGCTTCCGCGACGTTCTCCGCCAATCCTGGACGCGAAGAGCTATCCGAATGCTCACCCTTGAGCAACCCGCGTCCCTTCTCTCAAATATAACCGTTGAGAAGATCCTTACTTTCCGCGACACCGAGTGGGAAGCTCGCGAACGTGCATACCACAGCGCCGCGCTCGAGGAGGTCAATTCGCTCGTTCGCAAATTCAATGGCATGGCACCCTACGCTGTGCGTCGAGGACACTACGCGCTCGAAGTCGAGTTGGAGCGAATTTACAAGGATAGTGCGGAGGACATCCTATCTGGCATTGCTGAACGGGTAAGGGCTGGTACGGCTGGACGACGGAGGTCCAGCAGAGCTGCGTGGGATGATGAAAATCGCGGGTCAGCTCAGTCTGCTGGCGACACAAGCTGGAGCCCGATGCGGCTGCGCGATTTTCTTCGCGACTGGCTTGCGTCGTTTATGAAGCGATAACATCACTTTGCTAACACACTATGCACAGCTTATACAATTTTACGTTTGGGTGCGATATGTAGTGTAGACCTCAGCTTAGATGCGGTGTATCGATGTCCAGCCGTATAGTATCTGTGATCGGTTAGTTTGAAGCGTGCCCACAAAGCTTCGTGGCACGGCCACAGCTTGCTCTTGACCATCAGCTTCGACCTCATGCCTACTTTTACGTCCGTTCTCCCTAGCAATGCGTCGGCGCAGGCTTCGAGGACCCGTTGTCACCGTTTTGATGCCTCGCGGTTTCCTTGTGTCGTGCTTGCCGTGCTCTTCGTAGCCGCGGGTCCGGGGTCTACGAGCAGCGCCGCAGACACCTAGCATGCGGCTCGCCTTCGAAACAGCACAAGCCATACCATCCAAGCACAAAGCGTATACACAAACACTCCGCAACATGGCACGCAAGGGAGATGCGCGAGAAGAATGGTCACCGAGAAGGGAAACAATAGTTTCTCACTCGGAGCGCCGCGCTGTTCTCGAAATCGCCCGGTCCTGATGCATGATGGTTCACTTGCCTCATGGCTGCCGCGAGGACTTTCCCGCCTATTGACGTCCGAGTCTATAAAGTCCGCGTCGCTTTTTCTCCCCACTTTTCACTCCTCTTTCTCCACCATCTCACTCGACTCTGACCAGGCGTCCGTGCCCGCGCCGCAAGCTCGCCCACAAGATCCCCAAGACCTCCAAGACCACCCCTTGCCATGTCTTCCTCAGACGATTCCATTCTGGTGCGTGACTGTCTATATGCGACACCGGAGTACGGTTCCTCAATAGATCTCACTGCAGCCCGGTGACATCGTCGCCGTGAACCACGGCCAGTACGGAAGGAAGGAGGGTCTGGTCGTCGGCTCCCACGTCGACTACGCCGTGAGTGTCGCTTTTGAGCGGGGAATGGAAACAGGTCTAACATGCTTTGGGGTGCAGGGTCGTCAAGTCGTCGAAGTACAGCTGGAGCCCGGCGAGATTTACCATGCCTGGTGCGTCGTAGTAGTATTGTCCTAAAGTAAAGCATCCTCTGAAGTGCGTCGGCTGTTAGGTACCCCACTGTAACGCGCGTCCGCCGGACCACGTACTACAACCCTGCACCCCACAAGGTCCGCACTGTTGAGCGGCGGATCTACTGGTAGTCGTTGAGGCCAACTGCTTCTCGAGACTTACGTCTTACATCCTGCGATGACCCTGAGTATTTATTCTCTCTCTTTCGTTTTGGCCCATGGTCGTATGGAGTCAGACATCCGCTTCACAACAGCCGACTATGACCGCTGCATTTCGGACTGAATGGCGGGGACTGTACGATGTTTATGTCGGGGATTGTGTGCTTCTAGAACGGGACTGTGCTGGATGATAGGACCATGGACTGTACCATATAATTGTACCTTGCATACACAGTTTCGTTATCCAGTCATTCTTAGCTTCGGATGATCCACTGAAAGTAAGAGCTGGTGGGACGTATTGGGCAACAGGCGTTGCCTAGCCGGTCTCGAGCGACAACGGCAGCTTGGCGCACAACGACCGTGCCAGATTCGCTATGGTGTCTTGGAGTCACGACGATTATCTGCGCTAGATCCGGCTTGGGCCCATATGCTCACGACCTCCTTACGCCGTATATAACGGTGTGCACGTTCTCAGGCGTCTCTGTTCCGTCCACATTGCTCCTCAACGCAGATAAAGATGACAACACCACAGCTCGCGACGTTCAAGGTCCCAGATATTGCCAATGAGCCCATGGTGCGCCTCTCCATGCCTCTATTTGTCGTGAATGCTTACAAGAACGTGCCCTGCAGAGGGCGTATGGCCCTGGGTCACCCGAGCGCAAGGGTCTCCAGGAGGCGATTGCACAGATGGAAAAGGAGCTGCCTTTCGAGGTGCCTTGTATTGTGAATGGCAAACCCGTATGTCCCCCGCCCTACCGCATACACCCGCACTCTGACCCCATACGCAGGTCAAGACAGGCAAGCTCGCAAAGCAGCCCATCCCCTCTGACCACGCCAAGCACCTCTGCACGTACCATGAAGCCGATCAAGCTACCGTCGCTGCCGCGATCGATGGTGCGCTTGCTGCCAAGGCCGAGTGGGAGGCCATGCCCTGGAGCGACAGGGCCGCCATCTTCCTAAAGGCTGCCGATCTCGTTAGTGGCAAGTATCGCTACAAGCTCATGGCGGCGACCATCTTCGGCCAGGGCAAGAACGCGTGGCAGGCGGAGATCGACGCTGCTGCTGAGGTATGTCTGGCTCTATATATGCGCTTAGATCTCCGCTGATATATGTCCGCAGCTCACCGACTTCCTGCGCTTCGGCGTGAGGTACGTCGAGGAGCTGTATTCGATCCAGCCACCCAAGAATACAGCTGGCAGCTGGAACCGCCTCGAGTACCGTGCGCTCGAAGGCTTCGTTTTCGCCGTCTCGCCATTCAATTTCACCGCCATCGGCGGTAACCTTGTCGCGACGCCAGCTCTCGTTGGCAACACAGTCGTCTGGAAACCGTCACCCGCCGCGACATACTCGAACTACATCGTCTACAAGATTTTCGAAGAGGCGGGCGTACCCCCAGGCGTGATCCAGTTCGTGCCGGGCTCACCAGTCGAGGTGTGCGCCCAAGTGCTCGCGCACCCAAACTTTGCGGCTCTGCACTTCACGGGGAGCACGTTTGTGTTCAAAAAGCTCTGGAAGGACGTCGCGGCGAACATCGACACGTACCGGAGCTACCCACGACTCGTTGGTGAGACGGGTGGAAAGAACTTCCACCTCGTCCACAGGAGTGCAGAGGTCAAGAATGCGGTCATGCAGAGCGTGCGAGGCGCATTTGAGTACCAGGGCCAGAAGTGTTCTGCGCTCTCACGGCTGTACATCTCCGAATCGCTGTGGAACAATGGTTTCAAGGAGCAACTCCTGAACGAGGTCGCGAAGCTCAAGGTTGGGCCTACTCAGGAATGGACGAGCTTCATTGGCCCTGTCATCGGTCGACCTGCCTATGACAAGATTACCAGCTACATTCAGAAGGCGAAGGAGGCCGGCGGCGAGGTTCTCATCGGCGGCAGTGGTACGTTTGCCTCTTCGGTCTCCAGTTGGCCTGGTACACTGACAGCCTGACAGGCGACGACTCGAAGGGCTACTTCGTCCAGCCAACCGTTATCTTGACCAAGGATCCGAAGTCTGTCACCATAGTAGAGGAGATCTTCGGGCCCGTCCTGACCGTGCGTGCCTGTTCTGTGGGGTTCCAGCTACCGTTAACGCGATCTTCAGGTTTTTGTTTACGACGATGACGACTGGGAGAAGACTCTCGAGCTTATCGATACCACATCGCCGTACAGCCTTACCGGCTCCATGTACGTGTGCTCCTCTCAACTGGCAAATCTCGATCGCTAACACTACTTCCCTAATTCTAGCTTCGCGACTGAGCGCAAGGCACTGCTGCAGGCAACCAACAAGCTGCGAAACGCTGCAGGCAACGTCTACTACAACGAAAAGTGCACGGGCGCGGTCGTTGGCCAGCAGCCGTTCGGCGGTGCACGGGCGAGCGGCACAAACGACAAGGCAGGCAGCATGGCCATCTTCTACCGCTTTGTGTCTGCACGGAGTATCAAAGAGAACTTCATCGGGCTCGAAGACTACCTCTACCCGTCGAATCTCCAGTGAGCATGTGTGGGGGAAAGGAAAGGAAAAGCGGACAGTGTAGGATAGTGTTGCAAAAGAAGGAATGTATCACGTATCATGTGTCGATATCCCTGTGCTAGCCTGTGCTCCGCTTGCATGAACAATGCACTGCCGTTCTTGCAAATGTACTCGGCCTCACAGGTTCAGTTATCGGGGTGGCGTCACGCTCTCGTCATCTGCGCTGCTCGAGGAACGTATAGCAGGTTGTCGGTCATCCATGTCGGATGTTTATGGTCTCATGGTGTACAGTATACTCCAACGCCGGTTTATGTAGACCATGGGCCGATTGCATATGCTCGTGAACATACGATGCAGTTTAGCTATCGTATAGATTATCTGTCGGACTGTCTCAGTTCCACTGTCATCCCGGCACCGTAGAATTGCTCCGGTCTGGACTCTCGAGCGATTGCAAAACGCTGCTCGCTTGCATGATCTCAGACAGCTACATTCCATTATTATTCTCGCGCCCTACCATGCTCGACTTCAACTGTGTGCCTCAGGCGAAGCAAGGGCGATTCTTCGAGACCGCCTCGAGCCTCAAGCCATCTCTCAAAGAGGCTCAAGAGAAATCATGATGGCGTGCTGACTATGCCAAGTATCCGAGGGCACCAAGCAGCACTCAGAAACGAGCACGACCTTTTTTTATATTATTAATTTTAGTAGTAAGGCGTTGACCTCTACGTGACGTGTTGGAGGGTGATGCGCCTCACCATCGAGCACGATGGAACGCCGGAGCCCGGTTAGTACCCCCTGATCACCTGATCCCTCAACTCAGTGATATGCGAACGTCCATCCAAATATTCAGACGAGACGACGAGGACTTAACATTGATTAGACAACAATTAAACATTGATTAAACGGTGGTCAATCAAAGTGGTCCGCCACTCTCACGGCTCGACGTCCACATAGTAGCCAATTAGCAGCTGTTTAGAGATCGCCGCCGCCCCCTGGGAACGCCAGGCTTGTCATCGAGGCAAACGAAAGAGTTCTGCAATGGTAGTGAGATCGGCACGGAGAATGACAACAAAATATAGGAAAGTGCAGCATATAAAGTGCTGATGTCACACCATATGGGCAGACCGTACAGTAGAGTGCTTGCGCAGCGACCAAGGAGGCCTCCAAGACCAGACAGCAGAGCTCTCAGGTACGGTAGCAGGGATATGCGACGGACCTGCCCAAGAATTCCCACTTCCAAATGCCTCAGGTATGGTCCTGCACTCATTGTTGCCTGCACTGTTGACATATTCGCGCACAGCTCGTACACATCCGCGCGCCGCGCGGCGCAATTATTAAGGACGTTGACGCACTTCAACAACCGACGTTTGGACGAGAAAGCGTCCAAACGTCGTCCAGAGCATTCAATCACCGTCTTGCACACCACTGGCCTGCTGGGCCTGGCAGCCAAAAAGGGTAAGCTGGACGTTGATGCATCAATTCAGCCACCGACGTTTGCAGAAGATACAGGGGTTAGGACCGACGTTTGGACGCTTTCTCGTCCAAACGTCGTCCAGATTGTTTACAGCCGTTTGCAAAGAGCTTGTCACTTTCGGCGAGAAGAGAAGAGACTAGCGCTTATCTTTAGGCGCCTGCATTATCGTCACCTTTAGTGATATATGATTGAATGTTTATAGTACGCTATAATATTGTTTTTGTATATTTAAGAATACTAGCTATTATGCCAGACAGCGACGACCGTCCTGCATGCTGTCAGAGCGCTTTTGCCAATGGGCAAAGGGCGCCCGACTGCTTGCCTTTCTTTCTTTCTCTTACGTCGAAGTGACAAGCTTTTTGCAAGGTGCTGTAATCATGATCACTGTCTTGCATACCACTGGGGTGTTGGGCCTGGGAGCTGCTCCCGCCAAAAAAGGTCTCTTTGTCCAAACATTGTCCAGATCGCTTAATCACCATCTTGCATACCATTGGGGTGCTGGGCCTGGGAGCTGCTGCCGCCAAAAAGAGTCTTTCTCGTCCAAACGTCGTCCAGATCGTTTAATCACCGTCTTGCATACCATTGGGCTGCTGGGCCTGGCGGCCGAAAGGGTAAGGACGCTGATGCATCATTTCAACCACCAGCGTTTGCAGAAGATACAGGGGTTGGGACCGACGGTTGGACGACGTTTGGACGAGAAAGCGTCCAAACGTCGTACAGAACGTTTAGCCACCGTCTTGCACATTGCTGGTTGGCTGGGCGTGCAGTGCCCCATGAGGGGCGCCTCGTGAGTGGGTATTTTAGATGAGGACACCAGTCCCTAAGTTCCCTTGCCTCTTCGACTCTCGCTCACCAACATAGGCTCCAAACCTTCCTTACTCTCATCTCATTCCAAGGTCCGCTCCAAGTTCAGTAAGACGTCGAGAACAATGAGCACTAGGTATGAGGGGGATATTCTGAACTCGTCTGTAGTTTCCAGCTTAACATTCGCTTTAACCAGTGTCAGTACTCCTAACGCTCTGTCGGAGCTGAAGGCTCTCTCCAAGATTATCCAGGGCTCCATTGATTCCATTGAAGCATCCCTGATGTCAAAGAGCATGGAGTTCCCTTCGCCTTACACCCCGATGTCTCTAGAGTCTGAGGCGCCGCGGATGCAGCCCGAGGTCGACAGAGCATGCGCAGTCATCGTTTCCGCCGCATACCAGCTTATCAATTCTGTCCGTTCGCCGAGGCAAACTATCGTAGCCGTGGGGACACAGGTATGTCCAAGGCATTCTGAAAATATACTATCGGCCCATCTTGATGTACCCGCTCGTAGTATTTTCTGGCCACATCGTTGGGCATAGCGACAGAAGCCAACGTGGCCGAGGCCTTGAGGGAGGCCGGTCCCAAGGTTTGTTGCTGTTAAACAATGTGCTGAACTATCAGCTTATGTAACGCGTCGCAGGGAGCACATGTCAATGAGATCGCACGTGCAAGCAACATCGACCCGTCAAAGCTTGGTTCGTCGTCTCATATCTTTTCCATGACATACGCGTCTAACAGCCACTCTAGCCCGCGTGCTCCGCGTGCTCGCCACTAACCATATCTTCGTTGAAGTCGCACCTGACGTCTTCACGCACAATCGCATCTCGTCCTGTCTGGACACTGGAAAGTCAGTCAAGGATATCCTGGCCAAGTATGTCATTTCCACTTGCTCACAGATATGGACTAATTCAGTCACTCGTTAAGCCCTGACGACAAGCATGTCGGCACTCTCGGTATTGCTGCAGGTATAGGACATAGGTGAGTTGGTTGCTCGGGTGTCGATATCAGCTGTGGGACTGACAACGGCGGAAGCACGGACGAAGCTGCAAAAGCAGCGGCGTATCTCCAAGACGTGCTGCTGGATCCCAAGACTGCCAAGTCGCAGGAGCCAAATGAGATCGCTCTGAATCTTGCCTTCAGGATGAACCTGCCCATATGGGAATGGTTTGAGCAGAAGGGTAACGAGCATCGAAAAGTGCGTTTTTCCCTCGCAATGGAGGGTTCTAGACAAGTGTCTCCACTCAACGCAATACTGGACGGTACGTACCTTGTGTGCCTCTCCCCACTCGTGATCGTGATCTTGCAATCAGGTTTCGACTGGAAGAATCTCAAGCAAGACGCACTTGTCGTAGATGTCGGTGGTGGACTTGGAGCCCAGTCTATGACACTGGCCCAGAACTATTCACACCTGCGCTTCGTGGTCCAGGATCGTGAAAAAATCATGGAGGATGCTGTTCAAGTACGTCTTCCATGTACACACTCGCTAGCCAGCTCATCGTCTTCTCAGTTCTGGGATGACCAATTGCCCAATGCATTGAAGTCTCAGAGGGTTGTCCTCCAAGGCGAGTTTCCCGATGTATTGCAACGACACTTAGACTGATAGTCAATGCAGTACATGATTTCTTCTCCCCTCAGCCGGTCAAGAACGCTTCGGTCTTCCTATTACGCAACATCATCCATGACTGGTCCGACAAGTACTGTCTCCAAATCCTGCGCAACCTCCGCGATGCAGCTTCACAGGACACTCGCATTGTGATCGTCGGCAGTCTGCTCTCGTACGCATGTGATGATGACAGTCTGAAGGGTATCCCTGGTGCCGAATGTCCGGTTCCGCCCAGGCCTCTGCTGCCGAACATGGGGCATGTCGCGACCCCTTCGTACTACATTGACATGCTGGTACACTTCTTATCCTTCCGCCGCACACTGCAATTCGCTGATATACATAATAGATGATGGGATGTCACAATGGGAAGGAGCGCACGCCGAAGCAGATAGCAGAGCTCATGGAGCAGACTGGGTGGAAGACCGTACGGATTTACCGATCTCTCGGGGCTAGCAACGCCCAGGTCATCGGTGTTCCGGTGTAATCGATGCTGCACCCATCTTGTACTATGAATTGTTGGTGGCATTCAATTTCTGCCCTGATGCATACTTCCAGTTCTGTCTCTCTCTCTTCCGTTTGGGGTCCTGCATCCGGTACCAGACGAGGAAGGTACTCTTGTAATTGCACAATATTTCGACGCCCGAAGCCCTGTATCTGAGTCTTTAAACCCTGACCGGGGCGCTGGTCGAGAACATTCGGACGGTAGTCTACTCTTCTTTTCGAGGGGAAAGATTAAGCAAATGCATCGCTTGTACTCGTGTAAGACGACGAGAAATTCATACCTTCGTCGCGAGGGGAAAGTTTAAAGTCTCAGAACGAAAGAGGACAAACATTACTGACCAGTCCGGCGCGTCACGCGTCACATAGCTCCGGACCGCCGCTCTCGAGAGCGGCGGTCACGTCGTCACAAAGGGCCCCCTTTCCACATTTTTTTCTGCTAAAATCGATATTCGATATTTTTCGGGCCTGTGGTGCAAAAATTACAAGAAGACACCTACATGTGCTTTCCGTAGCGCTATTACTGTTTCTGTCTGTGTTGTTACTCTGTCGGGTCACGGTTGGGCTGCCGCCACCGTTTGACCGCCGCATTCTTGACCGGTGTCACAGGTCACGGTCAAACTCGCCGCCCCGCCGGACTGGTCGTACAGGTACATTATAAGGTGAGGAGGGCGCGCCCGAGGGGGAAATTAAATGAGCGTCCGACAGTTGAAATAAAATGACCGATAAAAGCCTTGGTGACGTCCGGCGGCCGAGACAAAAAGCGTTGAAGATCAGGATCAGGATGCGGTTTGTGCAACGAAATCCTGTATGACCATACGATTACAGCCTTAGATCTAACCCCGAAGGCACATGCTGACTGCTCTATCCGATATTTAGATCAAAGTGGCGATGTAATGTGCCATCACATGCGTCAAGATGATTAGGACATCCCCCATGGCCATGTGATGATTACTACAGTCGATTCGCAAGGGGATGCTGATTACCCGCGGTCTCTACGAGGCCTTCGTTCTAATCCTAACAAATGGTGACTTGGAGGGCTCATCAGGCTTGCTCGTATACAGGTAGGAAGATGCATGAATGATTCGATATATTGAGCCGGCGCGCTGGTGCAAGCTTGACCAGGAGATTGCTGAAGAACGACAAGTAACGCAAGACTACCGTCTCCGTCTATCTCTGTCATCTCGGTGACGATCTCTGCTCCTACTCCTTGGTCTGTCGCGCCCTCGGCGGCCATCGCGATCTCTGTCGTATCTTCGTTCTTCGTCCCTATCCCGCTCTCGGTCTCTGTCCCGCCCCGGGCTGCGACTCCTACTCCGCCGCCGGTGATGCCTGTCATCGGGTACGTCGAAGACCATGTCGTAACCACCATTGCGGTCGGCCGAGCCGGCGCGGTACCGACGCGTCTCTTCAAGGTCCTCGCGCCCGCCGAAATTAGAAGCACCTGGCTTCCTCCGCGGGCCGAGCTTGGCATCATTGGACCACTTGCCGTTGTTGAGGCGCGAGACGGACTGCGAGCTGTTGGGGAGGGGAGGTGCACAGACGTGAGCAGAGCGAACTAACAAGCGACGCGTATGAACTCACAAGTCGACCCATATCCGTCGGTCGTCCACGAGCACGTTTTGCATCTTGAAGTACGCCTGCTCGGCGTCCTCGCGGCGATCGAACTCGATGAATGCGTACTGGAGCGAGTCGCCCGTGCGCTTGTCGCGGATGACCTGGCAGCTCATGATCGTCCCGAAGCGGGAGAAAATCAGCTCGAGGTCTTCGTCGCGCGTGACCGGGTTCAGCTTGCACACGAAGAGGACGTTCTCGGGCGGGCGCACGTTCGCGAACGGCAGGTCACCCACCATCTCGAGCGTCAGCGCGGACGCCTCTGCTGCCTTTTTGCGCCGGAGTTCCTCAGCCTCCTCTTCAGGCAGAGTCGCGAGCGGGTCCTCATCTTCAGCAATGCGAGTCGAGTTGTCGGGAGGGCGCGTAGGGATGCTGTCTGGGACAACAAGGCCTCCTGGGTCGGGAAATGGGTCGTCTAAGAGGAGGTAAGCATGCGCTGGACAGCGGCAAGCGAGCTGTGACCGCACCGAGGACTTCGACGTGTCGTATCCGCACATCCTTGAACGGCCGCCCCTCCTGACCGACAAACACTTCGTTAAGTCTCTCTAGTGTCTCAATCCCTTCAACAACATGCCCGAACACGGCGTGCTTCCCATCGAGGTAGTCGATGTTCTCGCCGAGGGTGATGAAAAACTGGCTGCCGCAACCTCCCTTGGTACCGTCCTCGAGTGCAGGCGCAACAGCCATGGAGACTGTACCCTTATGTTTGTGCTTCAGTCGTGGCACGGACTCGGGTGTGAAATAGCGGGGTGCCTGAGTGCCCTGCTTCGAAGCGATGAGTGACCAGATAGACTCGCCACCCGTTCCAGTCGCAGTCGGGTCCCCAGCCTGCGCTAGAAAGTCTTTCGAGACTTCATGGACGAGAGTAAGCTATTTCGCTCTCCAGAACGAGATATAACGGCGCACCATTGAAGAAAGCATGCAGGTTGTAATAGTACACTTTACAGAGCTTGAGAAAGTTCTCGCACGTCTTTGGACAAGCCTCTACCTCCAAGTCAATTACGATATCACCCAAAGACGTCTCCAAGAGGACAGACATCCTCCGGTGAGCTGGATATGAGTCTAGGTTTGCGAGAGGTTATTGAACGCTGGAGCGCTCTGGCAGCATTAAAGCGCCCTCTTTCCCTTTTTGGTGTATCCCGCCCTCGAAGAGCTAACAGACAAAGCAAAGAGCACTAGTGTACTCACTTGCGAATCAGCGATAGCACAACCAACTGAATTATTCTAGTGTGATGAAAGTATGCATCAAGCAAAAGGTGCGGTCCGAACTAAAAGTACCACTAAGCCACAACAACCAAAAGCAGCCTGTGCATGAACATGTTCTATACCATACAACCTAGACACCGACCCCGACACAGCCGGAGACCGTATTACAGATAATTTATCCAATCCTGCAGCCTATGCACGCTCACGCCACGCCCAGCTTGCGCTTCTTCTTCGGCTGCTCGTCGTCCGCCTCGCCCGAGTCGCTCCGCACGCCGCACACAACCTCGGCCATCTTTGTGCGCGACCGGCTCTTGGGCTTGTGTCCCGGACGCCCCGCACCACGCGTCGCCTCTTCCTCTGCCGCCCTTGTGCGGCTGAGCGAGCGAGTGCGAGGCAGCTCGGTCTCGCGGCGCACGGGTGACGCGGTGCCGCGCCCGCGGCTCGTCTCGCGCTCGCTGTCTTCGAGCACTGCCGCCGTCTTTGGCTGACGCCCGCGCCGCTTCGGTGCGCGTGCTGACACGGATGGAGAGCCTTCTGCGTCTGCAGTGGGGATCGACTTGCGTGCACGTCCCCGCGGACGCTTCGGTGGCGCCGGCGGCGCATCCTGCTCCTTCTCCTTGCCTTTACCTGCGCCGCCCGCAACACTCACGCCTTCCTCGTGCGAGGGGTCGACGTCCATCGGGTCGTCAGCTCTCTGTTTCGACTTTGACTTCCGCTTGAGCTGCGCAGTCGTCTCATGTTTCGTGCTCCGTGCCCGACCGGCAATTTCGTCAACGCCGCTGTCAGACGCGCCTGCACTGTCGTTTTCTTCCGAGCTCGCCTCTCTGTAGGTCTTCCGCGCGCGTTTGCGCGTGTTGGCTTCGCGAGGCATGTGCGCACGGATGCCGTGGCAGTTGAGCCGCAGGCACGAGACGAGCTTGTCGTCTTGTAGTGTTGAGTCGGCGCGGAAGCGAGCACGTTTGATGTCAGTCTGCGTAGGTCATTGCGTCAGGGATTGGCTGAAGGAAGTAAGGTAATATAGGATGTACCGTATGTTTTCCCTCGTAGCACCACCCATCCGGCGGACCTTGGCTCCCGTCACCCTCGGTCGTTTTACCGCAGCAGCCCCATAGAGTCTCGTACTCGGTACCCTCGTTCGTCCTGCGCTCGTGACCGCTGCGCCCGACGCGTTCGACTTCGGCGCTCTCGTCGTCATGCGGCACAAGGCAGCTGCGATCGTCGTTCTCGACCTCGACGTAGTCCTTGTGGCACCGCACGCAGTGCAGCCGCGGCGGGGGCGTCAGAGTCGCAAAGAATGTGGCGAGCGCATCGAGCACCGGCTGAGGTGATGTGGGTATCTGTGCTAGTGTGTATGTGTGCAGTGTCTTCGTGGGTATGGACGACACGAGCGCGGTCAGCGCCTCCGGGCTCGGCTCAAGCAACGGGCGGATAGTCTCAAGTACAGGTGCCAAGGCTTCGGAGGGGTGCCGACCGCCTGGCGCGGCGGACGCAGAGTCCGCTACAGACGGAGACGGCGTACGCAATTGGAGCTGTTGTACTTGTGCCTGAATGTGCGTCGGGCCCTCTGTGGCCTCATTGGTGACGTCCTCTTGCATGTCATTATCTGGTGACGTCGGGCGCGGTATATGTGCGAGGGAACCTTTCGGCGACGAGTACGGCCCTTCGATAGTAGTCTGTGTCGACTGTCTCCTGAGCAAGAATCCAAAAACCATCTTAACGCGCTAGGCCTGCTAGCTGGAGTGCGTGCGATTATAGAGAGGGTATCGGCCGTCTAAGCGAGATATCGAAGTGATGACGGGTATGCTTGCTGTGACGGAAGGCGAGAGAGATGTGAAGGGTATTTTACGATGTCGTTCACGTTGAAAAGGTCGGGGAAGTGCGTGTCAAGCGAGAAGCAGAGGCAGGGGCATGCGAGATGGGCGTGTCCAAAGTCCCGATAATTGGGCGCTTGGATCGAGCGCTATCACGTGCGTCGCGCGCGGACAACGCGTCAAGACTCAAGATTGCTTCCGGCTGTTGAACGTTGAAATTTGAAATTTGAAACGTTGCAGGTTGGTCACGTTGGCGGACTATCCTCTCGTTCTTCAGTATTCTGTTCATAAGAACGTCACGCAAGCCAAACTACAGCGTGGGAATTGATGCGTATATTGCTCTGTATGGTATCGACGCGTGAAAGGCCAAAGAACGCGTCGGGCATCAGCGGAGAATGAATCCTGCGCAGTGTCGAGTTCCCCGCTAATTAGTCTAATTGTCCCGCCGTTACGTCTCTTGCTCGTACCAACGTCTTACACTTTTGTTGGCCTATATAAGTAGGGGAGATGCTCGTCGATGATGTCCCTGTCACCCCCGTGCACCCTCACGAGCGGCCGTTCATCGTTTTCCCACCGTTCCCTGAGCCACCGCCAGGTGCAAAGATCCCCATTTGGAGCGAGTTCAAGCCCGCAGGCATCCAGGTCGTCCTCGACCCAGATTCCGGCGAGATTGAACACGACGGCAGAGGCATCCCCGTTGTTCGACTCGCGTCGAGCCACAGCCTGACGCCTGCTGAAAGAATGAAGCACAAGAGCAACAAGAAGATGAAGAAGACGACCGTCGGCCCTGACGGCGTTTCCAAACGCATGACCTGGTATGAAGACTGGGATGAGTTTGAGACGACCAGACGTGCGAACATTGACCCGTGAGTCGCGATCACCGTAGTCCGTGCGCTATTACTTCACGCTTTCTGCTTTCCAGCGCGCTGGACCGCATCGGTAGTCTCTATTCGGCTGCACTCGAGTTCAAAACCTGCCGGCCGTGGCCCCCGCCGTTGACCGAGAGCAATCCGCTCCTGCTTTGGGACTACGTACGTGCCTCGAGTGCCTCGAGATGCTCTGTTCTCGTGTACTCATTCTGCCGCGCAGTGGCGTCACTATCTGGGATTGATCAGTCAGATCCAGTCGGAGCCCAAGAAAAGCAAGCAACAGGATCAGTTGGAGGACGAAGACGAAGACGACGGTGGGGATGCCGACGCACCTGAGGGCCAGACGACCGTCACAGTGGTCGACGATGCCGAGGGCCGGCAGCAGAACGAGGGCGAGCGCCACTCACAGCTGCAACCCAAGGAGCTCGACGAAGAAGCCCTCACACGACGCGAGCGCTGGAGCGAAGCGCAGGAGAACAAGAAGGAGGCGTTCCTCAACGATCCTGAACAGACGGTTAAGATCTTCTTCTCAAGCCACTGGCGCGACAAGGGCTATGTCCAGTGCGCATATGTGCAGTGCTTACTCATGATGAGTTCTGACGATGAGTCTAGTTCAAAGGAGAAGTGCAAAGAGGGTCCAATCCTCATCGCCTTCTTCCTCAGATACCTCATTCGCAACCGCGTCTTCCCCGAAGAGGAAGCTGCCCTCAAACGTGCAGCCGCGCTCTGCGACCGTGCCAAGGAAGAACTGCCTGCGACGTGGACAGTCGCTCAGACCCTGCCAGACCGCGTCAGCGCCGGATTCGAAGAGCTCAATGGCAATGTGACGCCCGGCATGTTTGGTGGTGGCATCCTCCACGAGGCGGCGGACGCAGAAGATGAAGACGCTGCAAACGACGAGTCCGAGTCCGACGTAGGCGCAAGCAAGGAACCTGACGCCAAGAAGCGTAAACTCGAGTCCCAGTCTGAGGCACTCGACAAGATGCGGGAGGACGACCCGACGGTAGAGGCCATCGACCCGAACGCCATCGACCATGACTCGGCTGCTGTGCGAGACGCGATCCGAGACAATGTCGATCAGAATGGTGGGGAGGCTGAATTCGAGCTCAAGCCGGATGAACAGCCCCCGAATTCCTGGCACAATTTCACCTGGGATCAGAGCCAGTCAGCCAACAACGACACTGTCATGGGCAGCTGGGGTACGGCCGCACCGCTCGACTCCGTGTGGATTATCGAGCAGAAGAACGCACTCATCGAGCTCCTGGGCCCGACCGCGCTGCCGTCCACGCATACGACGGGCGTCATCGAGCGCTCGACGCGCAAGATCGCGAAGATCATCCGCCCGGTGCCCGCACCCGCGAAGAACGCGAAGAAGCAGAAGGGCCTGACACCCGCGGAAGCGGTCGAGGCGGAGCTCGCGCAGCGGCTCGGCGTCGTCGTGTTCACGCCGTGGGTCAAGGTCGGGAACCACGTCGCGTCGGACATCACGCCGCCGCAAATTCTGCCCGACTCGCGCGGGAAGGTCGTGCTGCCGACGCTGACCAAATCAGACCTGCTGAACCATGGCCTGCGCAACCCGCCGCCCCCGCCGCCCCCGCCGAATGACGAAGGCAGCCTAAACTCGCCGTTCGACCCGCGCTCCGACGCGGTGCACGTTCTCGTGGACCCCGAGACGCTCGACAAGCTCGAGCCATTCGTTGGCATGGGTGTGCTCGCGACGTTCGTGCAGATCGCACGCAAGGTGGAACCGGGCGACGACATGAAGGAAAGGCCGCAGTCGTGGGACAGCAAGAAGAAAAGTAAGCAGCGTGGAGCTCCGGGGAAGAACGGCGAGCCGACGAGATGGTGGTATATGGAGTCGGTCATGCTTTCGCTCACCAGCTTCCACACGGATCGGTACTATGCTGATCAAGATGAGTGAGGTCTTCATCGACGACTCATAATTGCTCCAGATTTCGAATAACATTGTACTTGTATTCGCATGTGTACCATGACCTGTAAATGTTGTTTAGTCTTTTCGAAAGAAAATTTCCAAAAATTCGAGAATAAATCATATTAGACGCTCAACTGCTCCCTGCGTCAAACCTCACGGGGCTCTGTTTGTTTATTACACTCACCACCTCTGTCTCTCTCCGTCCTCCTTCTCAAGGATCAGTCTTTGTTCAACCTAAAATTACATATCTGTGCCCTCTCAGCTGACCCAATGTCAAAACGACCCGGATCGCCGCCTCCGCCCCCAGGCGGCGCAGTCATCAAGCGTGCTCGGTCTTCACCCATGCCTTCTGACCAGCAACAGCTCGTCATCTCGTCTGCGGGAGAGAAGGAACAGGGTCTTGTACGGACAGTGAAGCGCACGAGTGCGCTCGAGGCACCTATCGTCAGCCTGAGTGGGTCACATAGCGTACGTCTATTTGGCCTGTTCGTGTCGAAACATACGCCGGGTCACACAATGCTGACATGAGCGTGGTTTTCGTAGGCAGAGATCCTGAGCTGTCGCTTTGATCCCTCGGGGCAGAATATAGTCGCGTGCTCGGCGGACCGCAGTGTCTGTACGTGTCTCGCCACCCACTCACCTCCCGCTTAAAAACTCACTTGCTGCTTACAGCGCTGTGGAAGACGTACTCCCCGAATACCAACTATGGACTACTGTCCGCAATGCACAAAGCGCCAATTCTTGACGTGCACTTCAGCGCAGTGCACCCGTTGCTATATACCGCGTCTGCAGACCATACGCTCGCGGTCGTATCGCTCGCGTCGGGCGAGCGCGTGCGCAAGCTGCGCGCGCACCGCGGGATCGTGAACAGCCTCGACAGGACTGTCAGCGGCGTTGCAGGTGGTGAGCTTATCGCCTCCGGCAGCGACGACGGCACCGTGCGCGTCTGGGAGGGTGGTGACGAGGGAGACAAGGCGCCTGTCAAAGTCTGGCAGGTCGGATGCCCTGTCACGGCCGTATGTTGGAGTGCAGACGGCTCGGTGGTATATGCGGGTGCGGTGGACAACGAAATTCATGTGAGCAGGTACTTTGCCCTGTCTGGCTGGCCTGTCTTACTAACAAGCCCGTGTAGGTACTGGATATCCGCTCGCCGTCATCGGAGCTCCCCTCGCTGACGGGACATACTGACACGCCAACGTCACTCGCAATCTCGCCGAACGGTAACTTCCTGCTCTCGCCCTCGCTTTCGAGTCAGACACTCGTCCACGACATCCGGCCGTTCTCGCCCACGCCATCGCGCATACATCGTGTTCTTATGGGAGCCCCAGCTGGCTTCGAGAACACACTCCTTCGTGGGGCATGGAGCAGGGACGACGGAGGTAGGCGTGTCGGTGTCGGTGGAGCAGACCGCACGGTGTGTATCTGGGACGTTGAGAGCGGGCAGGTGCAATACAAGGTGCGGCTTGTTGCTCCTATGGAGAGCTTATATTGGATTTACGTTCACAAATATAGCTTCCTGGGCACAAAGGAACTGTCACCGCCGTCGACTTCCACCCTACGGAGCCCATCAGTAAGCCTTATATTGTCTTACAATATCCAAGGGAAGACTAAGCATGACTTTTTTGTAGTTCTCACAGGAAGCAAAGATGGCACTATGCTACTTGGAGAGATCGAGCCCAGTGTCAAAATCTAGTGTATCTGATGCTATCTGTACCGCTCACTCGCTTTCAAGGTTCTTTTCATGTGCCCAACTTGAACTTACCTGCAGGACCGCTCTCCGCTTTGTTGGTTCTTCGCTGCTACCGTTTGAAATCAGGCCTTATCTTCAGATGCATGACTCGCGAAAAGCTCCATAACGATAGAAACTTCGTTGATATTCCAGCAGACGACCATAGCAAACATCCATGTGTTTGCTCATGTTAGGATCGAAAGCTCTCGCCTTCCATAATGGGCTGATGGCGACTAGATCCAAGTCACGAAACAAGCTTTCTTGCAACGACAGAGTATGTATGCAGTTTCATCACTAGTACCGAATAGTAGAGGATTACAATTACTGATAATTCGCCGGTATAGCAATCAGCTGTGACAGTCCGGTTACGTTAGTCGAATGCATTCAGGACGGCTGCGCTAAACTTAGTCGCACGGCCGCCTCCTCCAGTAAGTGCGATATTGAGAGTAGGGAACTCCGTCGACCGAGTACCGCCGTTCATCAGGGCCGCCATATAGGACGACGAAGTCACATTCTGAGTCGCCGATTGTGACATTTTGGACATTGTTGGGGTAGGCTTGCCACGCACTGAGAAACGTTCCATCTCGACGAGAGGTTACATAGTTGAGCTCTTGCGGACTGAGGGTCTGGTTTTGGCCGTTGCCGGCCAGACGGGTCACACTAGAATACGATACGCCATGAGGTGTATAAGATAACGAAGCGGGCGTTTGAGAGCTGACGTATGGTAGCGCGAGATACGCGAGAATTAGGGAGAAGATAAGGACGAGGGCCGACGAGGTGGTCATACATGGGCGATAGTCAGGGGAAAGCGATGTGGAAAGGGATATCTCGAATGAGGTCGAGCTAGAGCTTTATCTAGGGTAAGGCTCCTCGACAAGAATTGGCTCCATCCCGAAGTATTTGAACATCACGCTTGGCGGCGGCTACGCAGTCGTCCTAGCTTCTGGTGCTTGGCACTCCGCGACTGTTGAGAGCAGGTACACTATCCAGTTGACGCATGGCGTGGCTTACCCGTCAACCCTGCTGACGCCAGCTTTGGAGTTGAGGGGATTGAGAGGGGTGTCTGCGCTGACGGCCCGCCGAGCTCTTCTTCCAACACATGACGCAATTGACATGGCTATTCCTCAAATTTGAAGGGTGTAACGTTCACGATTCCCCGTTTGTGGGCCCTCGGCAGGAGGTCCTGAATAGGGTAATCGCCTTCGGGCGCCTTCAAATGCATCGTAATGTTTTTGAGCTTTGCCAGCTTTGAGAGCTCTTCATCGAGGGAGGCCCACCCTGGCGTTGCCCCAGCCACGGATTGATACACGGTAATCATGCGGGGTTGTAGATGTAATGCGACCGTATTCAGAGCGGCTCCGTTCATCGTGGATAAAGGCCTGGCCAACGCAGCAATGCTGTCGTTTTCGGCCCTCACAGCCAGTGAGTGGAGAGAATGTAGTCGACTGAAATTCAAGTTTCCTAAGGGGGAAGGTAAGTTTCTTACAAAGGCCTAGGCGATGTACTACTCGAGTGGTACTTACCGATGAAGTCATCAAACTTCGTGCCAGGAGATCGAGCGAATGAGAGGTGCAGTTCGGACAGGAGAGGAAGTTGTAGTAAAAGTTCACGAAGTGGCTGATACGGCGTGTGCACGTCTACAGCCAGAGATCGCAAGCTGCGGGCTCTGGGCGACAGCCACGACAGGACAGACTCGAGATGGACCGTACGCTTGAGACGAACCCGTTGCAAATTGGGCAAGTCCGCAGCCTTTCTGAGGCCGGAGTCGGATCTCCTTGCAGAGTCAAAGATGACGTTTACGAGGTCGAGGTTCTGGAGCGAGGAGAACATGGACAACAAGGCCGTCAGACGTCCGGGATTGCTCAAGGAAAGGCTGTATATCCACAGAGTCGTCACCGTAGATGTCAGCTGGGGTGCTACTACGAAGAAGCTAGGATGAAGAAAGCGCCAGTTCAGGTCGACAAGGACGAGTTTGTTTAGGGCGGGAATGATACCGGACAGACGCAGGGCAATCAGATGGGTCCAGTGAGTGAAGCTGTGGCTATCATGGTCGTAAACATATGGGCGTGGCGGGGAGCAGATATATAGATCACGAATCAAGGCAGCCATCGATGGATTGGCCTTCAAGAACTTCGTGGTCCGCTCCAGCTTCTGTCGGCTATTGATGAACGTACGCGTAGACAGGTGATAGCGGCTCCGGGGTAACCAGGCGCGGCATGTGAGGGCGCAGTACACCAAATCCATATAGCGCCGTCGGAATTGATACTGAGGCGCAAGGCCCGAAGGAACAGGTGCAGTACTTTCGAGTGCAACATAATCGATGATCACCTCACAGACCTCGACAGGCACAGCAGACATGGCGGTAGCTACGCACTATCGTCAGAAAACAGTACCACATCTCGCGTACAGGTTGCACTTACTGTTTTGTCGTTTTGCCTGGAATTCCTAGAATATTGGTGAGTGAGCAAGCAAGAGTCACTGATCGATATATGGCCCGGCGACCGCTCAGTCACAGTCACAGTCACAGTGACTTGTGACTGGTCAGTGGCCGAAGTGATCAGTCGGTCACTCAATGGAAGGACGCACGTACAACCTAGCCCTACATAGCTCTCCAGATCTCGCTTGGTTAGAGACGATCCAAAGTGTTCAAACACCCCGCGAAGTTGTACAGTCTAGCAAATGCTCCACCTGGAACTTGACAGCATGATAACTATCAAGCTGCCACAGTACTAGTGACATCTGTCTCAAAGCACTTCTCAAAGTCACCGTTCCCATCGTTCCTCGCGAACGCTTGACTTTCCACGAACGCGTCCACCGTGCACAACCCGTTCTCGTCCCCACCACAGAACTCCAGTGGCTGAACGATGTCTTGCACCAGAATGCGCAGCTTCTGGACCTTCGTGCACTCCATGCGCTCGACGACCATGCGCCCGCTGAATGGCACGAGTGAGCTTGCGCGGAATGTCCGCGTCGAGTCTGGGTGCGTCGGGTCGAGCGGGCGCGGCTGGCGGAAGAGACCAATCGCGGCGAAAATCGACGCCATCTGGTTGTCGTGCGAAAAGTCGGCGTAGATGGTGCGGTTGAGCGGGAACGTCACGGGCGAGGTGTCGAGCGTGCGATTTGTTTGTGTATTGTCGCGTACCGGCGAGTTTGTGAGACGCGCGAGCAACTCATTGACGTAGCCCACACCTTGTACAGGGCCAAGAGGGTTGCCGTACCTACAATGGAGATGAGCGTCGTTGTTTGTGTGCACAAGACGTCACTTACGCGGCTCCGTAGAACTTGTCTAGATCACCCGTGTATGCGAAGCCAGTGAAAGAGCTAGGAATACCCTCAAACAAGGTGCAGAAGTCGCTCTTCTGCTGTTTAGCAACGGTCTCGAATGGGCAAAGACTAATAAGACTGAAGACATCCAGGTTTGTCAAGTTTGCTCCTGGAGCTCCTGTGTTCAGCTTAGCGGTGATTGGTGGGGCGAAGGTGTTAATCCAAGCTTCGTCTTGTGGATCAGCGGAAGGCGCAGCGGGACAGGTGTCCTCGAGAGTGTCATTACCCTAGAGCGACGTTAAGATTGAGTCGACACGCGCTGTATACGAAAAACATACGGAAGAGGACAGAACAAGTGGAGGCTTCGGATTGAACATATGGTCGCTCGCTGCCGCAAATCCTGGTTGAATAGACCGGTCAAACTTGAGTCTCGATATGGAGTGGCGGTGAAGCATACCCGCAGTCCAATTCATCGCAGAGACCACGACACGCTCGCTACTATCAGCACGGATGAATGGCAAGTTGTCCTGGCTGACTAGCTTCGAATATCTCGAGAAGGCGAGTTGGCCGGCATCGAAAGACCTTCAAGTCTTGTCAGGCGAAAGGTGCAACAGACTCAACAGACTTCAGTAGCGACTTACTGCTCTGCACCAAACGGCACAAGGTTATTCACCCCCAAATCGTAAATGAACGTCTCCAGGAACTGCAGCGAAGGATCTTCGAAGGACTGTACAGATTGAATCTTGGCCAAAGCTGCCACAATCAGCTGCGAGGCACCCGACGTAGGAAACCGGGCACCGTGACGTTGCAGCTACGATGCTTGGTTGGCTTCGACATTCTCCATACGTGCGACTGTAGAAACTTACAATGTTGACCTGACACGAGGTTAGCGTGCTTAAACCTCGACAGTAAGTCTCGCTCACCTGGTTAATCTGGCATCCCACAGGAGGCAACTCGTACTCCGCCAGAGGGAAGTATGGTGAGTACTGAGACCAGTTAAGCTGCTCATTCTCCGGTATAGGGAATACGGGTGCGATGGGCATAAAAGCAGACGCTTCCCAGCTAGACGAGAGTAGGAAGCCGCAGAGCACGACGATGACGAGTCCGCTGACCATCTTGCATGAGCGGGACTTCCTCACAAGGGGTTCCGTGTATTTGCGAGTGCCAGAGAGGAGGCCTTCCTCGAGGTCATCTTCTCTCTTGCCAGGCGGCATTTAGGCAAATCGAGTATGGACAATGAAGCAAATCCGAGATTCTGAGCCGATCCTGGGGAAATATGGCCAAGAGAGCTCATTTCGCGCACGTTCCCGACGGCTAAGCGGTAGATTCCATAGGTCCCATGCGGCGCACTATACGAATACAAGACCGGTGACCTTCAGAGAACACGCATTGAATGCAGCCATCGGAGAAGACGAGAGGTCGCAGACCGGAACCAACTCAGAAGTCAGGCCTAGTCAGGACGGATGCCGCGCTCGTGGGCGGTCCATGCCCATATGCAGTAGTGTTCGCATCATTCCCACACTGCGGACTGGCGCTCCGGTTCCAAGAGAGGACGGGACGGGTAAGTATACAGAACACTCGTCAGTGTTCAGTTTCCTCCACGGCTTAGTAGAAGGCTGGAAATGAGCCAATTCCGGGAGCACTTCTGAGCTTTGGGAAGCAGGCACTTCAATCAAGATGCGTAGAGGACTCTCCAAACGACTTGTCAGTACTGGTAGGTCAAAGAATCAGCGCTCAGCATCAATCGCGACACGCTCTACATGGCATAAAGCAGGGCGGGGCTCGATGAACACGTTTTGGCCCTCGAGTAGTCCACATGCGTGCGCTATCGCGACAATAAAAATCCACCTGTCCCAGTCGCCCAACGTAAGGCGCTCGCGCGAGTTCATACAAGCTTCATAGCCACGGGCATTGCATCAGATATGAGGTTGTCGGAACAGCCCTCAGGAAGAGTATATTGGATACAGTCATATCGCAGAGATACACCTCGTCTAGATCATGTTATAGGTGAGCTACACGTAATCAACACTTTCTACTGCTTAAAAGCATTCCAGGCCTCATTCAAAGACCCAAATACTCCGTTCGCAATCATCCGCTGTTCCAATGTAGTGTTGCGTGTGTTTAGCTAGTATCGCAACGTCAGTACTATGCTCAGGAGGCCAAGACCCAACTCACCTTATCAGGATGCAACTTCGCAATCGCCTTCGTGTACCTGATCTTCACCTGCGCCGGGGTGACCAGCTCGTGCATCCCGACCTTCTGCCAGCCCAACTCCGGCCACAGGACGGAGTCCAGGCTCGCAACGAGAGCACGGAGATTCGTCTCCTTTCCGCCCTTCCATACCATCAGCCGAGCGTCGACATCGTCCTTCAATGCATGCCGCTCTTGGTCCTCGGCCTCCGCAGCCTGGTTCGCCTCGCGCACACGGTTAAGCGCCTCAGAGGGTGGCGTTGGCACGCGCTGCACCGGCCGTGGTCTCGCCTGCGGCTTAGGCTTGGATGGCGCGGCAGCAGCAGACGAAGCGGGTGTACCAGGGTCGGTGTTGAGCATACGCCTGCAGCGCCCGGCAGCCTGCGCGGCCTCATTCCGCGCCTTGCCTGCCCACTCCGCCGCGGCGATCGCCTCCCAGTCCTTGCGTGCGTTGTCCCATTTCTCCTTCCCCTCGTAGGCCTCTGCCCGCCTGCGCAGAGCCTTGATGTACGCGTCCGCGAGGTCGGCGCCCGCGCCCTCATCGTCGTTCGTGACCCTGGCCTCCCGCGCGGGGTGGTAGCCAGAGCCGATGATCTTGAGCACGGTCGTGCAGTCCTCAATCGCACCATTGTAGTCCCCAGTTTTGATACGCGTGAGGGCACGATTGTTATAGAGCGGCACGAGGAGGAGGTGAGAATCAGGCAGTGCGGCGATGGCGTACGAGTATGACGTTTCTGCTTCGGCGTAGCGACCAAGTTTGAACATTTCTGTCCCGGCCGCTTTGTGTTTGGCAGAGGTGGCGATCTCCGATGGCGAAGCGGGTACTGTCTTCCTCTGAACGAGAGGAGCAGGCTCGGGTGCTTTGGGTGGTGCTTGTCTTGACACAAGCTCGGCAGGAGTGGATAATTGAGAGCGAGCAGGAGTCTTTCGGCGGTACGGAGAGACATACACCGACGGTGCATCCTCCGAGAGTAAATCAGCCGTCTTGACTTTGGGGGGAGTTTCCTCTCGAGGTCGTTGTGAGGGTGTAACCTTGGGCTCTGTAGACCTGCGGCGCTGTTCAACATACTTCGCGGGTACAGGCACGTCCTCGTCACTATCCCGGAATCCGCCGGGATGGTCGGCTGGGCCACCCTCACCCTCTTCTCTGGAACCCTCTTGCATCCACCTCGGCCGACCGTCTTGCCTTGAACCCCTGGAATCAGCACCTGGTGCGACTGCCCTCTCCTCGTATACTTGCTGTACTTTCTCCCTGCCTTGTTTCCACAACGCATTCGCACGACTAAACACACTAAGTCCGATCTCGCTCGCCTGAGCGAGCAGCTTGTCGGCTTGCTCTTGCAAGTTGCGCTCTCCGGGACCGGAGCTCTCGCGCGATGGTTGTTCTCGTCGTTTGTCTCGGCGACCAGGTATTCGCTGACCAGATAAAGCAGGATCTTCGTCTCTACGCTCTCTAGGGCGCTCGCGGCTTGGAGGTTCCGGAGGCGGAGTCGATGACGACGCGGCGCCATTCGAGAGAAGCATTTCCAGTGCAGCTTGGACATCTAAACCAGTGTCTGTGGCAGTCAATGCAACACGAGCCTGCTGTATAGAGAAGCCCATCTCGACGATCTGTCCCAACACATGTGGTGGAGGTGAGACTGCTCGTGACCGCGACTGGGCAACAGGTGGATGAGGTGATGGCGTCGCCCGTGTAGCAGGAGCATCCATCTGTCGTAGCAAGCACAAAAAGATGTCAAATCCTGTCCGCGTGAGTAAGTGGTGTGTACGCACTGGTCGCGTGAGCTCAGGTTGCACGGGCCTTCCAAGTTCCCCAAGAATGTCGTTCTCATCGCCTGACGCATCGTTGAGTAACCCATCTTCACGGTCGCCGAAGTCAAAACTTCCGGGAGTCGAGGACCTGACATTGTGACCTGGTGATGTCCGAATGGGGCCCGAGGCAACGGGAGAGGAAAATTCGTCTAGCTCCCATAATGAGCCTGTCTTCGAGGACGGCTGAGAGGAAGGGGCTACCATGGAGGCAGGTTTCGAGACAAAATCGTCCAGACCCCAGTCATCGTCTGTTGCCTGAATAACTCTCATATTCGCGGAGGCCGGCGCTGGAGCAGACGGTTTGGCAGGCTGGTTGAAAGCGGACGTCCAGTCGTGATCATCGTCTACTCGGATTGACGGCGTCTTCGACGGGACAGTACTTGCAGTCAGGGATGAGGAGCTCCCTAATGCATCGAGGCCCACCCAGGCTGAGGACTGAGTCGCCGGAGACATTGTCTGCGTCTGCTCCTTCCTCTGCTTCTCCGCCAGTGCAGCCCGTTGCGCCATAGTTAAGTTTGCTGTGGATGACGAACCGGCTATCGTTCCTCTCAACAAGTCCCCAAATGCATCACCTCCGCTGCTAGCTGACTTCTGCATCGGCTTCAGTCCAGCATTTGGGGGCACGGGGGCTCCGAGACTTGTGGTCTTCTGCACTGGTTGAGGAGAGTATGAAGGCGTTATCGGGCGCGAGGACGACGCGGAACTTGTTGCTGCAAGCATACTGAAGATATCGTTCTGAGGTTCACGCTGTTGACCAGCAACGGCAGGGTTAATAGAACCTAAAATACGAGGCTGCTGCGTCTGCGTCGGTTTGCTTGGGGCAGTGGAACTCCAGAGCTCAGCAAAGGAGTCAGACATGATGGAATGGCAACGAGAGCTGGGGCGGGGTTGTTACAGGTGCATGCAAGGGTATAGAACCAGCTACGTGGTGGGGGATGAGTTAGCAGTGACGAATCAGCTGGTAAGTTAGCCTTCGTCAGGCCTTCGCTGAAGTCAGACATAGTGATAAGCCAACTTTGTAATGCAGTAAGCACCAAGCAAGTATTGAGGTCAGCAGCTTTTAATAAAGCTAGTAGCACTTTGCCAGCGCCATACAACGCGACCAGCGCGTCGGTTCACGGTTCGATTTAGTAGCCTCTGTGTTTCCTCTGCCCATTCTCCTCTGGCGACCGTGGATGTTAGGGATAAGATGTGCCGGCTTCCTCCTAAAATTAGTCCCCCAGAATACGGGAAGTGCTAGACTAGCTACTCGCTTAGCCAATGCCCAGTACTGTTACAGTACGGGTTCGCACCTGGTGTCGAATAAGCCATACTACGTTACAACGCCTATATTCTACCCAAATGCAGGTGAGTCTCTACTGAACGTTTGCGTGGCATGGGTGAAGTGTATGCCGTCCTCGAATTGTCTAACGATGGCTTTGTAGTTCCACATATTGGCCACCTACACTCCATGGTCATTGCAGACATATGCGCCCGCTATGCAAGACTCTCGCGCCCAGACAGAAGTGTTCACTTCATGACCGGGACGGACGAGCATGGTTTGAAGATTCAGCAAGCTGCGAAAGCGAAGGGCCTCGAACCCCAAGCGTTTTGCGACGAGCTGTCGCAACATTTTCGTGTGGGCACGACGCTTCGTGGTACTGCTGCTGCATTAAGCTAACTACTTGTGAAGGGGTTGGCCGCTAAAGCGAACATCAGCCATACTCGCTTCTCACGTACAACTGAGAAGGAACACTATGAAGCGGTTCAGCACCTATGGGTACGTGGTATTTCACGAATTGTGCACACCAGCTCACCTCCGGACACAGCGTGGGTTGGATGCGAAAGGTCTCATTTACAAAGGAAAACACGAGGGTTGGTACTCAGTTACGGATGAATGCTTTTATACCGACGGCCAAGTCACGAAGGTGGTATCATCTAATCCGGAGGAAGATCAATTTCACATCTCCGTCGAGACAGGCTCCAAGGTTGAGTGGACGCAAGAAGAGAACTACAAATTTCGCCTCTCGGTCTTTCGCGAATCTCTGCTAAATCACTACCAGCAACACCCCGATGCCGTCTATCCTGAGCAGTTCCATGCAGACGTGGTCGCAACACTGTCCGTTCCAGTGGAAGATCTCTCTGTGTCCCGCCCGCGGTCTCGCTTGTCCTGGGGCATACCAGTTCCAAATGATCCTGAGCACACAATCTACGTTTGGATCGACGCGCTGACTGTGTACTTGTCTGCCACTGGGTATCCTTGGAAGTCGGACCTTACTTCATTGCCCGAAGCTATCTGGCCGCCTAACGTACAGATCATCGGCAAGGACATTCTTAGGTATGTGGGCCAGAGCTCTCAAAGCGCGGCTAATTTGTACTATCACTAGATTTCACGCAATATATCTGCCCGCGATGTTGCAAGCCCTTGGACTACCTCTATCCCGACAGTTACTTACCCATTCTCATTGGACGGTAGGCCAGCGAAAGATGTCCAAGTCTGTAGGCAACGTCGCGGATCCATTTGAAGCTATTGACGAGTTCGGTCCTGATGTTGTTCGATACTATCTCGCGCGTGTCGGAGGGCGCTTCAAGGACGACGTTGGTAGGCCGAGATGTCGTCTCTTCACATAACCGTGTTATTGACATACCTTAGATTGGTCGCATTCCCAACTGGAGAAGCACTTTCGCGAACTCATGTCTCTTCTTGGAAACACCTATATGCGTATCACGTCGAAAAAGATCATGGAGAAGGTCCGTGTCGTCTCGGTAGAGCAGACCGTGGAGCCCTTCTCCGAACACATGAGAACTATATATAACCGGCTGTTGCCTGGGGACTCCAGCATCGCAAGTGCTGTTGATCAAGAGATGAGCCGACTCAAAATTGCGGACGCTCTTGAGCATATTATGAACCTCCTAGGGCAGGTTAGCGTAGCCGTCGAGTTTGGTGTGCGTTCTTCTGCTAACTCATTCCGCAGGCTAACGAGCTCATGACTTTGACTGAGCCTTGGGCGAAGGACACGGGCTTACATCACACCATAGGCGTCCAAACTATCGTTCTTCACACCCTGCGTGTTTGCGGTATCCTCCTACAGCCGTTTATCCCTTCCAAGGCGGAAGAGCTTCTAGACGCCCTCTTTATACCAGTATCCCACCGCACTCTCGCGTATGCCAATTTGGGGGAGGGCCGTGTCGGCGGCGTTACGCCCGGTCTGCGCCTCTTCAATGCGCCCAGGAGCGGCGAAAAGGCGCACGGCACTAAAGGGAGACCAGTAGAGTAGCATGGTATTACCCGTGGCGCCTCGAACGTAGTGTAGCAAATAAAAATTCAAGATCTCCGCATGTTCTCTAATATAGCATGCTCGAAAGGCACTTGAAGGACCCAAACTTGAAGTCTTTGGCAGCACTTCTGAAATGATCAAACGACTGGCACAAATCAAAGAGACAGATGGAGCGTGTCATCCCGTAACAACGCCTTTGTCTCTGACCTTTAGTAGAGGCCATCCCTGTCTACGCGTGGAGAGCCTCGCGTTATACATGTTGCCACTCATTCGAGTCCGCTGAAGAAAGAAATATACAGGCTGTCAAACGAGTGCGGCCGCCACAGAGATGAATGGTGCGCTGCACAGTTCTCGCTGGTTTGTCTCTGGCTGCCCGCTAATGAAAGTGACTTTGTCTGTCTGCGCGAAAGTGAGATATCGATGCGACCACGGCGATGGAATACAGGTATAAAAGCTTGCGAGAGGGAGAGGAGGGGACTCAAAAGCGCATCGCAACTGCTACCACACTCTTGAGCTGAGCTCGAGATAATCACGACCACTTGCCCTCGACGAAACATGCAGCCTTCCAGTAATACCTCCATTCACCGCCCCGTCAGGCCCGACCAACTTTCGAGCACTTCTGCCCTTGTAGGGGCACTCAACTCGAGCCTTGCCTCCAACACACCCTCCTCCAAGTAACAGACGACCGCACGCTGCACTAGCCTCGAAGTGTAAGTCTACTCACGACACTCCACGCAAGCGTTTGGCTGACAGAAATTTCAGCGCGTCCACCATGTCAAAAGGCCACGAATGCTCACCTCCTGCGTCTTGTTTCGACCACGCCTGCGCTGGCGCAGCACGACCTCGTGTGCCCTTGCACGAGACCCCTCGACCTTGCGCAGTGCGCAGAGAATAAGCTTTGCATCTTCGCCGGAGCTCCCTTCTGCCCGCCACAGCCCTACCCAACTCATCCGTCATGATACTCCACGTACCGCGCGTCTGCGCAGCATACTTAGTCTACATAACTATCTTTATGTCGATATCTTTGCACAGCACCATGATATCTCACCTTCACAACCTGCTTTTGTAACCCAGATCTCGTGTCCTACCCATCCTATCCTCACGTCGAATCTTGTTATTCTACCCGTACTTCTCGTGATGTCGCTGCAGCATTATGTATCCGGGTGTCTCGCTGGTCGTCGGCAATCTCAGCAGATTCGGCCCTTTACCTCGGATTCGCAGGAATGTCACCACATTTGAATGAGTGTGCGACATCACTACTGCGAAATGGCGTTCTTGTATGCTTGAGTTGGCGGGCACCTCGGACACGCGGCGCTAGCGGCGTATCTGAGCAGAGAAGGTTTGAGGATAACCTTTGCCCTATGGGAGTATGCGTTACGGCACGCTGTGACTTACCGTACCTGAATAGCGTGGCGCCTTCGCTCCTAGTATCCGGTCTGGGGGATCATCAGCACTTCTCAGCCTCCCCATACTACATCCGGGAAAGAAAGATCGCAGGCGTATGGCCGACGTGAGAATAAACCTTCCTGCTCACGCTAGACCTAGTTGGAAGATAGTTCAGACAGAAGGTTGTTGGTACATGCGGATGGTTATCTGTACAGGCTAGACGTTGAATCAGTGGCCACTCAGAGAAAAGACTGGGTGTAACAGACACAAGAATACAATTAATCGCCTCCCTTCTTCTTCTTGTCCTCGACCTCTACGATGTTGTCTCTGGGAATACCCTTCAGAACGCCCTGACCCTCTTCAATCATCTCTACAATCTCTGCGCTGACATCTCCTTGCACGACAATCTCGTCCTGACCTTGCGTGTTCTTCGTCACGGATGCTCCCGTAGCGAATTTCTGCGCGAACTGCTTCGCGGCCTTCTTCAAATCCACACCTGTGCAGACGATCAAGTGAGCGAAGCCGAACGCTGTTATCCGTGCCAGGACTGGTGTGCGCACCGAAGGTTTCCAGTCCATGTACAGATGTAACGTGCTTCCGCTTGTTCCGTTCTATACGCTTGATTGTCACCTGAGTATGTTCGTGTCAGTATCGGTGTCGTAAGGCTGAATTGCTCCTACGTACCTGTGATGCCTGAGTGCATTGCAGGGATGTTAGCTTTGATTTGTCTCCATTGTCCCCGCAATCATATGGCGCACCATCTTTTTCTTCAGCGCTGCATCAGCTTTAGCCACAGCCTTTGCTTCCTTCTTCGCCGTTTCTTTCTCGAGCTTGGCCTGGGCGTCGAGACTGAGTGTGCCGAGCTTCGCCTGCAGGGCCTCTGCGAGCAGTGCGATCAGCGTGTGGTCTCCGCCGGCAAGGTTCTGGGGTGTACGCACCTTCCGAGTAGTAGTGATCGTATAGCTCTGGGTCGTCCTTCTGCAAAGCCTCCTTGCATTTCGTGAGGCTCGAGCCAAACTCGCAGTACTCGAGCGGGAAGGAGCAGACTGATGTACGAGAGGGCCGACGATCCAGATGAGCTTTGTAGCGCATTTCTAAAAGGGACTGTTCCAGGCACCTTCGCAGTACCGGACCTGCGCTGGAGGAGTGGGTTGTATCGCAACAGAGGTCTCTTCGGATGTCGAGGCCATCGTCGAGGACGTTTCGCACAAAGGTGTCAATTGGATGGTGGACGAGGCTGAGGTCAGGTCTGAACTGATGGAGTTGCCTTCTTCGGAGACGTCGCTTCCCGCGCCCTCGGAGTGTCAGGCGCCCATACGACCAGCAGAACCTTCGCTTCCACCCTCTCGATGCCGCTTGGCGAGCAAGCTTGGCTAGGCACGACGGCCGTCGGGTATCAGTTCCGTAAGCCTACTACATTACTGCTAAACGTCAGGAGCCGTAGGGTCGTTGAAAGCTGTGTTCAGCTCCTCAAAGTTATCCTTTTCACTCTTTTACAGCTTACTTCTTTCCTACCGGATAGCGCGGAGAAGGTGGAATTCAAGCAGTAAAGAGGGGCCGAAAAAGAGCCTTTTCGAATGGATGTTCAGGACGGGACTCGATAGGCTTGGATGAAACACGGGCGTGCTCTTTCAAGGGTCTGGTCAGGTCTGGTCTCGGAACGCCTGGCTTGGCAGTTTGCCAGACAGCGGCCCCAGTCGGCTGCGATATTCCGATTCGTGGATGTAAGCGGTGTCTGCGTGTTCCCGCATAGTTGCTCACCTTGTATCCTTAAAAGTACTTCATGTAGGCTGTAAACTGTGCTGAATTCGCTGGCCAGCTTGAACCAGGGGAAGCATGTCTACCCAGTATATGCGCAGTCGGGGATATGGTAGCCTGGTGGTGTTTCCGAGTTTCATGAAGACTGTCGTCCATGATACCCCTGAGACGAGCGCCACGCGCCCGGTTGCAATTCTGTTGGCGCAAACTATCGCCTAGCGCAGTCACTGTGGCTATTCCTGGAAGTGGATCCCGCATTTTCCACCAAGCATGAGTGAGGCCTTTCGGTGGATGATCTTGATCGTGCTCGGCGCCCATCGGCTTGTATATAGCGTTCCTATCGGACAAACCCATCGGTGGACGTTTGGCCCCCGACCTACACAGTGGGCAGCCGCACCCCCTCTTTCTATCATGCTTTCAAGGCGTCTAGTCTATGCGCTGTTCTGCGCACATGTCGCATCGGCCGTGCGGCTCGGCTTCTTTGGGAAGAGAGACACCTCTGCTCTTCCTCAACGATTGACCATCCCCCTAGCGTTCGATTCGCAAGGCCGATATGTCGCGGCCGTTACAATGGTAAGTGGCCTCCCTGCAGTCGTTTCGTCACGGATGCCAAAGATTCCTGCAGGGTAGTAGCAATCAACAGCACTTTAACTTCGCGATGACTACTCAAAACGGCCTAACGTATGTTGCCGGTACACAATGTTCAACTTGTAATGGGGTTGCCCTGTGCGTATCATCGCCCAGTCTGCAAACGAACGTACTCACAAAATCAACAGGTACAACCAGAGTCAGTCACCGTCCGCACAGGCCCTCTCGACAGACACTACTGTTCCGCTGCTCGGACAAACCGCTAATAGTACAATTATCAAGGAAGACTGCATGTTGAGGACCGTCAATGGCACCCAGTGGGATTATCCAAATCAGACTAGTACGTATGTTACCCTGACACTACATATACGATATTCACCGCCGTACCCAACAGTCATCGTCGTTACCCAGCCCGCGCAAGGCCAATTAGCGCAAGCATCCAGCGCACAGGTCGGAGACGAGTTGTCGGGACTCATTGGTCTTGGTACGAATAAAAACGTCACGTCGACGGGCAACTCGACCATCTACCAGGCGCAGTTTGAGGATTCCATCTTCGGCCAGTTCTTGCAGGGGAACCCGTCCATGGTCAATTTCACCTTCGGTATGCGGCTCGGCAAGCCTTTAAACATCCCTCGCGGCAACGGCTCTGCGAATAGCGCTGTTAGCACAGCAGGAGACCCGGGTACGCTGGACTGGCTTCAGCCAGACGAGAGCGCATACGACCAGTCGAAGCTTCAGGTGCTGTCCGCCGGCACGCCTCAGGCCCCCGCGCCGTTCGCGAACGCGTCTGGTGACTGGTACGTGAGCTTGGACGGCTGGGTTCTCGCATCTGGGAACGATCAGGTGTCAAACTCTAAGAGTGTTGTTGCCACGGTGGATCCACTTTACACCGAAATGTACCTGCCCCAGGACCAGGCACAGCTGATTCGTAAGTCCAGTGCTCATCAGCCATTGGTTATGTCGCGTGTTGACTTCCAGCTCCAGATGACGCTATTCCTGGCTCGAACCTCAGACCAGACCTGTCCTCTCTCGGGAGCCTCTCGGAGGCGTGGACGGTTCCATGCAATTCTACCTTCAGCTATGGCATTGTCGTTGGCAATCAAGTCTTCACCGTCGACGAGAGTACGCTTGTTCTGCAGCAGCCGGACGGGACCTGCGTGAGCGGCATCGAGGCGTGGACCGATAGCACGCAGTCGCAGTACGTTTTTGGCGCCCGGTTCCTCAGCACGCTCTACCTGTACGTTTCATCTTCGCCTCTGCGTCACCGATCGCATCGCTCACACTCCGGGCGGTGTTTCACAGTATTTTCAATGTCCCGCGCCAGGGCGGCAACACACTCGGCTTCGCGCCCCTCACGGCCAACAAGAAGTCAAACCACGTTGGGGCGATCGTTGGCGGTGTGATCGGCGGCGTGGCGTTCCTGGCACTCGCTGGCTTTGCGATCTTCTTCTTTGTCTACCGGCACCGCGGCCGGGCGCACCGCATCACCGCCGCGCGGTATGACTCAGGGCAGGAGATCGAGAAACCCCAGGATGGGAGCGTCAACCCGTTCCCGCTCAGCGCGACGACGCCGACGACAGTACAGTTCGTGCACGCACCAGAGTCGTCTGTCGGCTGGGACGGTATGTCGCAGGTGCCGAGTCCGAACAACGCGACCTATGGTAACACAGGCACCGGCGAAGACATCCTTGCGCTCGACATTGCGCCGCCGAGCTACGAGACGTCTGAGGCGGACCGTCGGACGAGTAACGCGGCCAGTCGTACGAGCTTGTTGCAGACGATACCGTCTGCTGAGAAGGCACAATTCGCCGCTGCACACGCGGATGGCCCGTCAGGGCTACGCTCGGCCGGCTATGCGTCAAGTCCACTATCTCCGGCGTCGCCTAACGAGGCTGCCGCGAGCGGATCTGGGACAGGTTCAGATACGATGTACGAGTAGATGGTGTCAGGGTGTGGTGAATTGAGTTTTTTTATTCTATTTTCGCCTTTCTCTCATAACGTCTTATCTTATCAGTCGACGATTTTATGCAGAACATGTTTGGTTCACACCCTTAATGACCTATCTATTACCTTCTCTTCGCTCCTGCATCAAACAATGTAAAATACTTCAGGTCCAAATTAGTTGCAGTACGACGCAGGACGGCAACGCACCAGCCCAGGGCGACAAAGCCGGCAGAATCGTTGGTAAGGCGCGGGAAGTTGGTGCGCCATCGTCGGGAAAGCGCGTGTACTTTCGCGCGTGTTTGTACAGCTACGTCTTGTTGTCTGGAGAACAAACAAGATAGGTCTTCCATGCTGAAATGCCGCTGCTCTAGACCATATTTCTGGTAAGAGCTCTTAAAGACTTGGAGCATACCCAGTACGATGTTAGCCCTAGTTTAGGGCTAGGCGTAAATCGGTGAACATGACGCGGTGAACATGACGTCAACAGCGAGAAGTAGCTCCCCACACCGCGTTCACTCAAAAGGCGGGATGGGGCCAAGCGTTGTCGCCGCAAATCAGCTCTTTCTCAACGACTACACAACGAGCAACAATGCTTTCTCGACGTATACTTTACCTCCCACATACGCGTCGCATCGCCGCCCGCGCTACCGCAGTGCGCTTTTACAACCCTGATCAGAAAGGCGACACCTTCGACCAGGCGCACCACGCCGGTCGCGACGCGAAGGATCCAAGGAAGTCGTCACCCCTCGACGCTGCCAACGTTGGGAAAGGCAAGAAAGCGCCGCACAATTTGACGGGTAACAAGGAGGGGCTGGGCTTTGCGGAGCAGGTGGGCTCCCAGAGCGCAACGGGAAGTAATGAACAGATATTCGGGAACACTATGAGGAAGCCAGAGAGCGTGGAGGGATATTCTGGGCAGGAGAACATTACGCCGCCATCCTTCGCTGACGCGGTGAAGAGTAAACTCGGATTTAAGACTACGGCAGGAGAGGACAAGCAGAACCGTGGCGGCGGAGTCGGTGTAACCGGCACTGGTCAAGCTACGGTAGACAGGGGCAAGCGGATGTTCCATACCTCTGCAGTCTCGTGGGCGCCGGACGAGACCAAGGGCCAGGCTCCAGAGGCAAGTCGGCAGCCCAAGGACAGCACCTACTCGGACCAAAACGCCCACTTGAAGCACAAAGGATCGCCATCTGAGTCTGATCACGGCAAGGGGAACGCTGCCAGGGAACCTAAGCTTCCGTCGCAGCACGTACGTCCTCTCTTTTACCGTGTCTGATATCGCTTGCGACTGACCTTTCACTTTCAGACCGACGCATCGTGGAAGCATCATTCTTCTAGTAAGCAACCATTAGCCCGAGGTTTCTCGACCTCTGCATGCGCATCCACGAAGCACACTGCGGACTCGTACTTCAAGGACGTCGATGGCACGGACCCTACGAACCCGAAAGTCCACCAAGTCGACCCTTCGAACGGCGGCGCACCCGTTGCGAGGGCCAACGAGCAACCAGCCACAGGAAACTTCTCCCGCTCGGGCCCAGACAGCCCAGAATACGACACTGTAAGACCTGTGAATCTGTAGCCACGAATATACGCTGAGGATTCCTTGCATCGCAGGTCAGCAAGCACGACCAGCCGTACGAGACTCCTCCCACCAAGGGTACAGCTAAGGACCAGAAGTTGAGGTATGGCGCAGAGCCTGGTGTCATGAAAGAGGAGCCGAGCAAGCACGATGAAGGCCCTGCGGGCAAGGATGCTGGCGGGCGCAAGCCTGAGGGCCAGTCTTAAGTCGAATGGACCGTGAGATCGACAGGCGCAGATACCATAGCCATATTGTAATATAACGTCGACAGAGCAGCTGTAACCTGTGATTTCGTTGACCTGTGAGAGCGGAAGAAATACGAGTTTGGCCCCGAAGGCCTGAAATGGCGCACCTAGTGGATGCTTGACTAACGCCTCGAAGGGTGGATCGTATACCGGAATCATTCGGCACTGCGAGCTCTTGTGGGGCCACTTTGGATCCGAACGCTTCCAGCTTACTCTCAACGCGTCCACGGACCGTCCAAGGCGGCAGACATCAAGATGTCGCACCTTGTGTCGCACACACGGGTCTCGCGGTGGTCACTCAACAGTCTTACTTAGGCCTGCCCTACGTGATGCCAGGTTTCGCTCTGTGTTGGTTGTTGTCGACGTTTGAACCGCGTCAAGTCGCACGCATCAAGACTCACTAGACTGGGGAGGCTGTGAAGAACAGTGTCAAGCTAGCTGATCCATCTTGCTCTGGTCAGAGGGCCTATGGTCTTCGGGTCCTACCAGGTCGAAGATTATTTTCAACAGCCCAGCGGTAGGTTTTCTGTACTTGAGCGCGCGGTTTGTTGCTTTTTGCGATGAGATGGATGCTGACTTCTGGACAGTGCCTGCGTAGATCATGCAAAGGCAAGCTGTGTAGATGGCGACATGCCGACTCCGATGCAATTGCCGAGAGTCGCCGTCTTGCGACGCAGTTGTATCGAGGATATACATGGTGGGCGCTACTAATGGCTGTGTATACTGACACACACTTCGAGACATTTTCCTGCGCCAGCCTGTTTTCATCAGGACCTATCCCCATTTGTACGGCGCACATCCGAGACATTGACATCGCAAATACCGTTGTCACCTTGACAATCTGTTAGAACAGGTTAGAACTGGTGCAGTCACTGCATGGCAAGCGTGGCAGATGGCTGTATAAAAGAACGAGAGGCCCATTCAGGCTCCTCAGGTCCTCAGTCCTCACCTCCGAGCCTTCTTCGTCTTTCTAAGGTCAGCACTGGTTGGTAAGTACTTGTTTTGTTCTGTGACGTATAGGAGATGTTAACGAGCCATTCCTCAGCTTGGCTTTTGATTTCTCTTCATTCGCTTTTACGACTTTTATCTTCCGCTTTCAGCTACTTCCTTTCCTTTACGACCACCCCATTCGTCCTTCCTTAATCGTCAATTCTCGTCATGTACTCCAACGCCATCCTCGCTCTCGTCCTCGTCGCCGTTGCTGGCCAGGCTGTCGCTTACCCCACTTTCGGTCCCAATGCACGTCGTGCATACGATATATACACCTCTACCCTCACGCCAAGCACTGTCACGGCGCCGTCTCCCTCCCCCTCTTCAACCTCCTCGGGAACTGGCGGCGGTCTGGACCGTACAGCACTACCGAACACGGTCCAGCAGCTCGTGGGCGGACCTGACGGCCAGTCGTCTCAGACCGCGCAAGCCAGCACGGGCGATGCCGCTAAAGACCTTCGTCGCCAGCAGATCATGGCCTCGATTCGCCACAAGAGCTCTCAACGCACTGCAGCCAAGGAGCAGCGTCGTCAGCAGATCAAGGCAGCGATCGCCAACCGGCAAGCCAAGCGCAACGAGGCCTCCACGGCACCGGTCGACCCGACCGACAGCGGGGCAGTCAGCCTTGGTCTCGTTGGTGATGTCTTCAAGTTCGGCACTAAACTCGCCAGCGGCATTCAGTCCCTGGTTGACCCCAGCAGCAGCCGCAAGCGCGAGCTCATAGAGCTACTCGCGCGCCAGGCGGCGGTGGATCCCAACAGTGAGGCACTGAGCTTGAGCAGCATTCTCAAGTTTGGTGACGATATCGTCGACGGTGTCAAGACCATTGTTGATGGCGACAGCAGCAGCAGCAGCAGCCGCAAGCGCGAGTTCATAGAGCTGCTCGCGCGCCAGACGGCAGAAGATCCCAACAGCGAGGCGCTGAGTTTGAGTAGCGTTCTCAAGTTTGGTGACGATATCGTCGACGGCGTCAAGACCATCGTTGATGGCGACAGTAGCAGCAACCAGAATAAGCGTGAGCCGATCGTCATCCCGCCGGGCTCAGATTACACCCCGCCGACGCTCCCGAACGGCGATCACATTCGGATGCTCCGTAGCCTCATCGAGCGCGAGCCCATCGTTATTCCGCAGGGCTCTACCTTCAACCCGCCTGTGCTTCCCGCCCTCCCGAACGGCGATCACATCCGGATGCTCCGTAGCCTCCTCGAGCGCGAGCCCATCGTCATTCCGCAGGGCTCCACCTTCAATCCGCCGGTGCTTCCCACTCTCCCGAACGGCTTTCACGCTCAGATTCTCCGCAGCCTCAACGACCTGGACTGAGCGTTGGCCACGTTGGGGATCCTTAACGTGTACACTTATGACCTGTAATGACCTTTCGACGACATGGGGCCGGTCCTCATGACTGTAGCTGTAGTTGTAATTTGTGAATGGAATTTGGCTCTGACTGAGGGCTCACGTACATTTTCCTTGGTGTGATGTGTGAGACGTGGTTGTTGAGGTATTCTTGTACGCTCCATGCGTTGGTCATGTGAGTCCATTAGTAAAAGCCTGGAACAGCGGTAGCGGTGCCACTTGCTATGCGACCGCAGGATATCTAATCGGAGCTTTCACTTTATTTGCACCTCACGAGATAACAGTGACGGCCCGAATGATAGTAGGTACTTGGCAGTAACGGACATGGGTTTCTTACGCAGTATTACTACGGAGAGACACTTCTGACTACGAAATGTTGCCCTGGCTCGGATTATGTTGACTCATGCCCCACGTTACAAGGTAGGCGACGCAGCTACGCAATTAATTATGATGGTGCTTGCCGCCAGACTCATATTGTGCTCCGGCATTCCGAGAAAAAGCGAAGATCTTCATGAAACAGCCCCACCTGCTATCGCGCTGACTTCAATACTGCGTATACTCTATCGATAAGTATGGAGACTCACTGGTGATACAGCAGCTACAGCTCGTCCTCGCCGATTAAAGTGAGTCTATCGATAATACGCTTTTTCACACCGCCTTTCTCAAGCATCCTCCGCGTCTCCTTCGGACTATCTGGACTTCGACAGTACACCGTCTGCAGAGCCTCGTTGTCGAGGAAACTCAGCCGGTCTGCGAGCCACGACCAATTGTAGATATCTTCGGCATGAACACTGAGCACCTTCAGAGCCGGGGCGTGCTGCAAAGCCTCTACAATGATTCGGAAGAGAGGGTACCAATGTTCGAGATGGACATATTCCTGGTAAGAACGGAGGACCTGTAGGCTTAGCAGAACCGGGAGCTAAACGTGAAGCACGTACGAGAGAATTCCAGCGCCCGCTGATGCACGCCGCGAGTAGGCTTGTCAATCCCGCAGCCTCGAGCCCCTCCTTCATTACATCACCGTGCGGACCCAGCCAGAGCTTTATTGGTCTCAGCACCGACATAGTGTCCCATAACCCAACCATACTGTGCCCTTGGCCTAAGCCCCACGAGAGATACACATTCCGTACGTTCGGCATGGACAGCACGACGTCGTGCAGCTCGCTCCCGAAACCGCCGTCGAGCCTAAGGTCCAACACGAGCGCACCGAGCGCAGGATTCCCCCGGAATATGTGCAGGAGTGTCTGAGTGTGCGCGTCCGCCGAGATCCAGAGAGAGGTATAGAGCAGGGGCGTGCCGATGCGTAACCAGCGTTTGGAGACAAGCAGGAGGTGACTGCTACCGAGCGGACTGGGAGGCGCGTTAGGGCGGTGGAAAGATGCCCGGTCGCGCGAAGGGCCAAGAAAGGTGTCAGGATGTGCTTGAATAGCGTGTTTGAGGATTTCGTTCACGAGCTCTTCGGGAAGCGTCGCCTCCGACATGTCGAGCTCAAAATGAAAGGGCTCCAAGGCAGCACCGAACGTGGGTGAGAAGTCTGAGGTGCCGCAGCAGCTCGGGGATCGCGCGCTGCTTACATCGCGTGCGAGTACGTGGATGAGTCAAGCGTTTAAGCATGGGAACAAGCGCTCGCGCTTCTGTCATAAACTTTGTGGCGCGGCACTTTCCGAAACGTGCTCTCGGCCGAATGGGATATTCACGCGAAAAAGAAACAGTACTGCCCGCCTAGCTCAATCGGATAGAGCGTCAGACTCTTATGAGCGCGGGACCATATTCACCTTGCTAAAAGATGATCTGAAGGCTGCGAGTTCGACCCTCGCGGTGGGCTAGTTTTTTATTATTACGATTAAATTCCTTGTGCGATTTGAGAATTCGACTCCACCATCGGGTATAAAGCACGCTAAATGTTGCTTGTATAGGTTTCATTGAGCGAGGCCGTAATAAATCAAGCGCTCCGGTAACAGTCGCTGCATAAACGAAGACTTGAGGTCAAAGTTACAGTAGTCTGCGGCGGCCGGCCTAATGATAATAGGTTTATATAACAAATCAGGATGACTGAGGTGCAAAGACGTCATGAGCCACGCCATTGGTGGAATACATTTCGCTAGAAGACGGGCGCGATCATCGGGTGAACATTTAACTTCAACTACGAATCGACACAGCCGCTGTCAGTCCGAACAGTACTGCCTTACCACACTGTGCAGCGCAGCCGTCGCGCATGCATAACGCGAGATTACATCTAAGGTTGCAAATTGACATCCCGACCGCAACGATTACATCGCAGTGCGATCGCTGGCCTAGGTAACTGACAAAAAAATTTCTATGATCAGTGTTGAGACATTGATATCGAAACATACGCAATAGCAGTACAACGAGCAATCTCAGCTAGCCGTTGAGTTAGCACTGTGAAATAGAGAGCAAGCTTTACATTTCTTCTGTCAATTTGCTGCTTTACAATACATCCATCCGTACATAACATTGTCGTACATCTTGTGCGGAGACTCGGAATGCTGCGGGTAGTACCGGTGGTACGAGAGATTTGGCGGCTAATGGCGTGGTAATGTCGAGAACACCTCCCTGATATCTTACTGAGATAATTGAAGAGCCGTGAGGAGGTACATAAAGAAGGGAGCCAGGAAAACGCCGAAGTAGGTGAAGAGTGTCTAGCTAAGCGTCGTAGGCTGGTGGTGCATCCGACGGAGTCTCGGAATTGGTAGGCACGGGAGTTGTAGAGAGAGAGGGTCCAGAGGGAGAACCGTATGATGCTGAAACAGTTATCAACACTCCGCATTGCTGAGACTCGCAAAGCGTACTCACGGAGACCTTCCTCCTCATCACAGCTCTGCCGACGCATGTAGATCGCGCGCTCCCTAGTCTTCTCTAGCGAGCTCACAAACTCGAAGAGGCCCTTGTCCTTCAGGCGAATCTCCGCGCGCGTACCGTCCGTGAGCCCGCCGCTCGGGGTCGGCTTGATGTCGATGACGAGGTAGTTCGCGCCGAAGAATGGCTGCTCGAACTTGGTCGAGACTATCGACGCAAGGGGGACGGAGAGCGACTCGAGGACGCCATCCTTAGGTGGCGTAGCGGAGACGAATATCAGCTAGCAAGGACGTCATGGTCCCATCAGGCACGGTCATAGCAGGGCGGACTGCGCGTACTCGTGTGTCTGTTAGCCAGAGTCCACCTGGCGCAGTAAGTCTCTTCTCGTTGGTGGTAACACCCGGGTTTGAAGATGAGCTAGGTGCTAAGCTCGAACGCGAGGCCGATCCAATCGAGCTCGGGATGAAAAGCGTGAGGTCGGCACCCGGGGGGTCGATGGTGCGGATGATGAGTTCGTGCGGAAGGGGCATAGGCGAGCGCTCAGGAGAAAGCATCGTCCAGTTGAGGGCCATTGTAGTACAACGTTCAATACTCAAGCAGATATGATTTCCTTTGGGTGGTTAAGCTGTTGAGATCCGTCTCCAAAACGAGATACCGCCTATTTGGCTATACAGTGATTATCCCGTACCTCAACATCAATAAAATAGCGCGAGCGATTTTCACTACGTAGCTCAGTGGTAGCGCGTCTGGTTTCAAATTTCGAATCTTTCAAAAGGTTGCAGTTCGAATCCTGTGGTAATCAATGCTACATTTCATAGTCGCGATCACGTGAGCTCCATGTGCGCGTAGTCGCCGGTCGGTTTGTCGCCGTTTACTGTTTCGGATCATGGGTTATGGGCCGGTAAGGATACCAGTCTTTCCGATAGGATCACTAGCCAGAGTACAGCTACTTATTATCATTAGTTACCCCATCATAAACTCAGCTTACTCCTCTACAACCGGTCAGTTACTTGTGTTAACAAGCGCCAGCCCTATGGTGTGAAAGGTTCGCGTCTTGCCGCTAAACCGTATTCAACCGCTGTCTGCAACGGCCTCCAATTATCGTTCCTGAGATTTACGTACTCTTCTACCGTGGGCAAACTATTATTGGGCCGCACAGCCATCTATTCCCCCATCCATGTCGACAGCATACCTACTCTCCACACACTCCTCCAACCCCCTCGAGGCTCCTCCATCCGACCCGCGCAATCGCGCGTTCGTGCGAACATACCAGGAAACGAAAGCTGAACTCAACGCTGACTTGGACTCCTCTGACGACGAACAAAGGCTCAACTTCAACACAGTGAAGGCCTATCAGACGCACATCGCGACCCTGTATCCCGAGATGAGCGGCAGGTCAGAGCGGCGTGAGGGCAAAAGCGGAGAGCGCGAACTGGAGGAAGATGTGAGCCTCAGGGCGGTGGACGTAAAGGGCAAGGGGCGGGCTGTATCAGAACACGAGAAGGAGAACTATACGCCTAGGTATATGGACCTCGACGACGACATGAGCGACGAAGGTGTCCCCGCGTTAGGCGAGTGCCAGATTAATCTGGACGAAGATGAAGGAGGCGAGGAGCGGAACGCAGTGACTGACCCCGCAGGCAGCGGTAGGGAAGATGGCAGCGATACTGACACTCTCGCGCACGAAGACGTAGGCCAGGAACAAGATGTTGATATAGATGTGGACTCCAAGGAGATGCCCGACCCCGACACCGCCGGCTCGTCATCATCTCCTGCGCACTTGCCCTCCTCTTCTCTCTCGCTCCTCATCAAACCTCCAGATGAGCAGCAAGAAGTTCAGGTCGAGATATTAGACCTCGTGGAAGCGGTACCTTTGTTAGCGGAGGACTACAAAGTCGTAGACCGCCTGGGCAGCGGCACGTTCTCGAGCGTGTACAAAGCCGTGGATCTCAACTACAAAAAGTTCAACAACACAGTCTGGGAACGCACGAACTGCTTGCATCTCACCACGGCGCCCTTCTTTGTGGAGTCTGGGGGCGAGATGAGCGTGTATACGAACACCGAAGCCGAGAAGAAGCGAAGCTCGGGGCGCGTCTACGTCGCGGTCAAGCGCATATATGTTACTAGCGGGCCTGAACGCGTCGGGAACGAGCTTTCGATTATGGAAGACTGCGTAGGGTGTCGGCACACAAGTCAACTTATCACAGCCTTCCGGCATCGCGACCAGGTCGTCCTTATTATGCCCTACTGCAGAAACGATGACTTCCGAGTACGTCTCGCATATCCTTTTCGGTCTCCCTGAAGGCGCGTCACATTCTGATCAGTTGCTTCTGTACCAGCACTATTTCCGTACACTGTCATTGCCAGCCATCAAGCAGTATTTTCGATGCATGTTTCGCGCACTGCATGATATCCATGCGCGCGGTGTCATTCACCGCGACGTCAAACCTGCCAACTTCCTCTTCGACCCACGCACCGGCGTTGGCACGCTCTGCGACTTTGGACTAGCCAGCGTGAGCTTTTTCTCCTCCTCTCCTTACCGCCGTTTGAATGCAGTGTAAACATTACCAATGGCACTGACCATATCCAACATGCAGCGTATGGACCGAACGACGTCACTGGGCGCGTGTTTGCACAGTGGAGCGACAAAGCAGCATTCACACGGGAAGCTGAAGAGTGGAGACGAAATGGACACGGAGCATATCAAGAAGATGCAGCGCGAGGGACGTGTCAAATCATCGCTGCCTAGCGAGCGCGTGGGATATCCCGAGCGTGACCCACGCCCACATAGCAAAGCGAATCGTGCTGGCACGAGAGGATTCCGTGCGCCCGAGGTACTATTGAAGTGTGGGCTACAGACTGGAGGTGCGTGTCTTGAATCAAATTATATGTAATAATATTCACAGAAATTGTTCCTCCTTCGCTCATGAATCTATGCTATCGCCGATGCATGTGTGGATATTAATTTGCATGCCTCTGCATATTTCCACTCACTTGAAATTATTTCGCGCTGTTCTTCCTGACGTCGGTACAGCCATCGATGTATGGTCGGCGGGAGTAATCCTGCTCTTCTTCCTGACGAAGAAGTTCCCTCTCTTTCAAGCGAGCGACGATGTCGAGGCCCTAATGGAAATTGCAACCATTATCGGCAAAAGGCAAATGGAGAAGATTGCGACACTACATAGTACGTGTTCAACCATGGCGCATATCCTCCACCAGCTTCATTGCTCACTATTCGAGCACATCATAGGTCGAGTATATCAGACCAACGTGCCTGCAGTATCACAAGAAGGCATGACATGGTCAAACTTCGTAGAACGCCTCAACCCCGACCTGCATACACCACCGACGGAGCCCGATACCCGTTTCTGGCCTTATTGCCTCGACTCACCCTCAAGCTCCAGCAGTCCCATGAAGCGTACCCAAGAGCCACCAACATCGTCTTCCCCTCAATCCTCGCCACACCCTTACTCTTCGCCTTCGCCGCCATCATTGACGGACCTCGTCGCGTCGACACACGCACAAGACGTCGCTGATGCATTATCACTCGCAGAAGCGCTGCTGCGTCCAGATGCTGTGAAGCGCTTCACTCCGCACGCCGCACTCGAGCACCCATTCTTGCGCGACCCTGCGCTCGCGCGTGAGGGATGTAGCGAGGCTGATATGTTTCCGCACCCCTTCGGGCATGGGGTGTGCGGGAAGCTGCACTGGCATGATGAGCATGGGAGCGGGTACGTCTGCGTCTGGGACCCGCGGCGGCACGAACGGGAGCGCGACCGCAAGCGGAAGCGAGCGTTGGGGCACGGGAGGTCTGCGATGCCGCGGCGGAGGCTGAGTGTGTACGAGATGGGGCGCAGCGGCGAGCTACAGGAGATCAATCTCGATGCAAGTTCAGAGGAGGAGGAGGAGGAGGTCGACGAGTATGGGCGTATAGTCGTACAGGGCATGACGTGGCGTTCTGTCCTGGCAGGCGAAGGTGTGGCGGTTGGGCGCAAGCCGTGCGAATATCATAGAGCAGAGCTCGGATACTGGTTTGGTTGATGGTGCCCTTACATTGTCTTGTCTAACTGCACTCATTGTATCATAAGGCATCCGGAATGCGGTGAGATGGTTCACGGACGATCGGAAGTGTACAGGCTACGACCATGGGGTTAGCTACGAAGGCGAGGGCGTGGCGTATCTCACCAGATTGGTACTGTAGTTTCTAGGCCATATCTACCATTTACAACATGGGCATCGGGCAGTGGCACTGCGCTGAGCGGAATTCGGATCAAGAAAAAATAAAATGACCACCGCAGGACTCGAACCTGCAACCTTTTGGTACCGTTGGGCGATCGAAGCCAAACGCGCTACCATTGCGCCAGGTAGCCATGCACGTTTGATTCCGTCTTTGTAGTAGACACCTCTACAGTAATTAAGGGTCATTGTGTTTGCCAGAGACTGCTTTCACAACACATCTTGTTGTGGGCATCATTGAGCCCAAATAGAGGTTGATATCATTCAAGGTGTAGTTTTCTTAAGCCACCGTGGTGCAGGCCTCCAGCTGTTACTGGAAGCCTATAGTGGCAAACCAAATGAGGATGCTTGGCCGTGTGTCGGAGACCTGGTGAGACTTCCATCGCTAGAACGCGATTTACCCGGTGACGTCTGCGAGGGCAGTTCAGAATCGTTCGGGATGAACCCTACAGCTACCTTTTTGATTTAATCGTCTATATCCGGCCACTCAGTCACCTGGCCACTTCCCGTATGGATTTATTGCACGGTTCATGGCCATGGTTCACTTCTCGCAAAAACCAAAATTGTCAGAGGCTAGTCAGAAGTATAATTCATAGATGAAAATCGCAAAACATGCAAAGCAATGCGAGCGCGCCATCACCATTTTCTCCAGCGTGAGCTTTGAATGTCGCCCTGGACGCGCGCCGTAACCATGCGTACATGCGTACCTGGGCTACCTGAGCGTACCCTAAGAGTGATAGAAGGCGATTGCTTACTTTCGGGCCATCTGCGTAATCAGCGTGAATGAATAAATTGTTACATTTATATTATATATACAAGACTGTACGAACGCCAGACAAATTTTGTTAGAAATAAGAAGATGTGTAGTACTGTACCGATGCAATAGATAAGAACAATCAGCGAGTCCGTAGTGTGTGGCCTTCCTCGATCCAAGCAAAGCCTTCGAGCCACAAGGAACTCCCGAGCTGGTGCGTCGAGCTAACACTCTAGATGCCCCTTCCCCATCCTCTATTCAGCTCCGGCTCTTCTCCCCGCGTTACGGGTACGAATATCGGAGGCTGCCGCGGTTCGCCGTGCTCGTCAATGTCTCCAGAAGCCCACGCAGAGAGATTCAGCCGCGGCATCAGGCTTCCTGCGTTTGAAGACGCAGGCTGTGTCGCCCGTCGTATGGGCACAGGTGCACTTGGCCCTGCACCAACTGCCGTTGGCAGCACAACGGGCGCAGCGGACGAGCTGGCGACTCTGAAGCTCTGCACTTTGCGGCTAAGAGCTTGCAGAACAGACTGCTTGTCGCGCCGCACATCCTGAATTTCCGCTGCAGGCTGTGGATCGGCGTCCTCCTCGTGGTTCATAAACGTCGTGTGAATAGACGAGTCGGACAAACCGCGCGGTCTCAGCGTCCGTTGTAGCAATGTGTCCGAGATGCCTTCTCGCGTTTCCGAGTTGTCGGGTTGCGAGCTGTCAATCATTGCGTCTACGACGCGGGAGAGCGTCGGATTGGCCGCCGCGCGGGTAAGAGCCGCGTTGCGCATGGCCGCTCGACCAATTGTCCCGCCGCCCGCCAGATCGTATCGCCTCCCGCCCAGGCTTGTAGTCCGCGGGATCACGATCCATGGATCACCAGCGGTTGCCGCTGGGCGCGGTGCACCAGCAAAAATATCCATAACGTTTCTCGACAACTCGCCTGTGGAAGCCAGAGAGATCGAGCTCCCGCTTGCACTCGTAGTCAGCTTAGAGACGTTGCCCCTGGTCTCTCGAGTGGACGATGTTGCTGTCACCGCACGACCAACTGCAGTACCAGAGAACTCGACGTTCACTGTCGTGGTGGTTGCAGAGAGCGCCGGCTCACGCTTGGGAGCGACTCGTGCAGGTGGCCTTGATCCACCTCTGCTAATGGGTCGTATAGGAGGGGATAGTGCCCGCGCTGCTGCTTCCTCCTGGTTCGAGCCGCCAGGCAAGCCGAGTAGCTTCGTAAGTGGAGCCATCCAGCCCACCGAGGATGACGCCGCAGAGGGTGCTTCGTTACCAGCGGTGGCCATGGGCGCCTTGGACGGATGTAGCGCCATCTCGCTGACCTTGTTCGCGACGGAAGGGTCAAGGATGACGTCATTGAGGGTAACGCGGAGCTGGCCAATCTCTGCGAACATATCCTTGAAGAGCTTGAATAACGCGCGCAGATCTCGCCTCGTGCATGTTGTTGTAATCTTGTCATCTTCAAGCCATGTTCGAAACTGCGCCCGGAGAGCATTGTTCTCGTTTAGAATAGAGTTGACTGTCGAACGGGAGAGATGAGACACGTCAGCGCCGAGTAGGTTCTGTCGCTTGAGCCGAGCAGTTAGGGTCAAGGCATCAGCTTGGACGATACGGTTCAGGAGGGAGGTAGATCGCTCGATGAGCACGCCAATCACCGAAGGATTTGCGTCTGCTAGAGTTGACGAATCGGAATGTGCGTCATGTTGATCGCCCATGGCGCGTGGTAAGGGCGTCATGCCTAAGACACTCGGAGTGCTCACGTCGTCCGTCTGCACAGCTCTGGATCGAGTAAGCAGGAGGAGAGTCTTGTGGGCTGTGGGCTTGATAGGAGACTCTGGGTCATCAGGGTCGCCTTCATCCAGATCAAGACTACGGTGCGAAGGCGCATAACGAGAGCGACCACCGATAGTCAACGTTTTCACCCCCGACACTACAGGTGACAGTGGCCGGCGAGTTGAGTCAGGCGTTAGAGGTTCCTGCACAACGCTAATCAGTGGGAACTCGGATCTTGTCTGTTGTGACATACAAAAGCCCTCCGCCCAAGGCGCTCTGCGCTGGAAGCCCGTTTCTCACTTGAGGGACCAGCTTTCTGCTGGCTTGCGAAGATAGTAGAGAGCATTGATGAGACTGGGGCCGTACCAACTCGAAAGGGAGAGGCCAAAGTAGCGCTGTCGTCAAAGACTGAGGAAGTGGAGCTGTCTTGGTGCCGATGTCTTGCAGCAGAGCTGTTGCTGGCTCGATGCTCTTCAACCTCTTCCTGAAGAGTTCTAAGCTCTTCCTGCGTCTCGTCAAGGAGGTGCTGAAGCTCAGTGGAATCCCGCTTTAGAGATTCGTTGTCTGCCACAAGAGACTCCAGCACCTTGCTCACTCCGCTATCTTCGGTAGAAGACTGTCCCAGGTGCTGCAGCAAGGGGTTTAGTGGCAAATATGAGACTGCAACGCTCTTTGAAACATACCGCCTGATGCAGGCTATGGAGACGGTCTCGGGCATCTTTGATCATGTCTTCCGAAATTCCTCGTCTCCGAGATCTCTGAGTTTCTAGATCTTCGCGCAGTTGGCCCGCTTGCTCTTGTAGTTTGGCTGTGCAGTTTCAGTCAGTATTTTACGGTGAAACCACGTAGCATACAGACAGCATTTCTCCTTCAGAGACGCGATTCGTGCCTCCGCTAGCTTTGCCGACTGGATTGCGCTATTACGTTCTTGATGCATGTCGTCCTTCTCCTGAAGAGCCGCGGCCAAACGAGAATCTATCCCAATATAGCGAGCATTCTGTGCCGACATTTGAGCTATTTTCTCCTTGGCCCGCTTCAGCTCTTCCAGCGTAGTGTGGTGTGTCAAATCAACAACTTCGTTGTTGACCAACGCTTGCGATAACCGCTAGCAACACAGGGTTCTCGTATGAGGGTGACTGAAAACATGACAATGTTAGGCTACGCGTACCTTCTCCAGGACCGCATTCTTGAGCAACGATGAGCATGGATGTGTCCACTCTAACGCAAGTCTACGTACCTCGCGTACCAGTTCCGCAACTCGTGCATCTACCTCTTCTTGCGTCCGTTTACTAGTTGAAGGGTCTTCCATGAGATCCTGCATATTCGAGATGCTTGCATCCACACTCTGGCCCGACTGGCATCCAGCACGAGGTTACAATGGCAGTTTCCACAAGTTGAATGAACTGACCGACCTCATGTCGTCGGACAAATGCCTCATGTCTCTCCAACAGTGCTTGTCCAATCTCTGTGGGGATCATTCCGTTGAACTGGGGAATCATTGCAAGGGGAAGCCGCGACACACCTGCGCTCAGGATCAGACGGTTCTCCAGCTTATTCTTCAACGCCCACCACGCCTTGCTCGACTCGCAATCCTCCCGCCCGCAGCAACATACGGTCGCATTCGGTGGTTCAGGTGACGGTACACGGTTGAAGTTGGATAGAGCAGCGGTCAGGTCATCGATGGCAGTGGTAGCCTTGCGCAGGCTGCTCGGAGAGTCCGGTGTCCGCGGTCTGAACGCGGCGGACATCGTTTAAGTCGAGGATGCTGCGCCTGGTCAGCGCCGCCGATTATAACACGAGGATGAGGGCCGTTGTCGCAGAGTACCGCTCGCTTTCATATGCACGCAGGATGAAGTATGAGCGAGAAAAGGTCAGCCGCAACGATTGAACACGCGGTCGCGACCGCGACATCCGGCTGGCTGCGGCTGACTTCCGCCCAGCTTCAATCTCATGAACGACAACAGAGAAACGACTATAATGACTGATCTGTGTGCAAAAAGTCATAATGTAGTATACAGTGAACTATGGAGCACACATGCTAGGCAGTAGATATTAGGGGGTACCATAGGGATTACTTTGTGAGAAGCCAATCCAAAAGCTACACCGAATGACCTGGGAGTAGTAGCACATTAAATAGTATGCACGCACGGAGCTCGTGAAGAAACAGGAATGACGTTAGATTGGACACGCCTCACATACAACTTATTCGATGATCTTCGACACCAGCTGAGCTGTCCACTGGATCATGGCGACTGTGCGCGGGTCGGATGAGAAGCTGTAGATGCTCGCAAGACCACCCATGCCGACGTCTGTAAGCTCGCTGACACGCGCTGACCCGTTGAGCTCGCCCAAAGTAGTTGGCGTCGGTGCTGAGCTCCGAAGTATGGAAGAGTAGCGAGCATCCTGCATGGCAACGTGGAATATGTTCGAGCACGCCAAGAGAATTGTAGTGTTGTTAGCACTGGCGAAAGAGTCTATGATCTTCTCTTGCAAGCAGTCGAATCTGTGAGGGAATTATGAGCTGCGTTCGGCGTGTAACCAGTGAAGTGAACACATACGCTGTAGACACCGTATCAGGGTAGGTACTAACAATGTCTGAGATGATATTGAAGAGCATCTCTGTCTCTGTGTCGTCCCCCTGGGAAGAGTTTAGGATAGTAGACACGAATGTCGCTGCGTACAGGGCATTCAGGCCATTTTGGATGCCCAGGAGCGAGAATGGAATTCTGGACATGGTCCCGTCGTCATTGTTTTCGACAGGGAGCTTCTCTTCTGTCAGCCATGAGCGATCAGCCCTGGCGTCCTCCAATAGAGTCTTGAACGATGTGACAGTCGTCGAGAGTGGTAGAAGGGCGATGAAGTAGCCGACGACATCTGGACAGAGTGAAGAGCCAGTCCCGTCTGCGTGATCGTGGTCGACACAGGTCCGTGCCGTTATCCGAAGGAGATCCCGTAGCGCAGCCTCGGCGGAGTCTTTCAGCATCTGGTGGCGGACGCCCTTGAAGATGATGTGCGCCAGGGTAAACGAGAAGCTTGATTGGAAGGACACGCCCAGCAGGTGGTCTAGTTGAGAGGCGACCTCGTCCAAGGGCTCCCTGCTTTCCATTAGCGTCGTTGCCACACCGCTCTTCTTGAACAGGTTTTGCTCGTGCATTCGTTCCAAAGAGGCACGCAACAACTGAATAGCCTCGGCATACAGGCCGATGTGACCAGACTGGAGAAGGGCAACAGCTAACCAGAAGAGCTGCGCAAGGTATCTTGATGTCGTGGGCAGCGCGGTGACAATCTTGTGGATGCAACGAAGCATGCTAACCATAACTGTAGCGTCTGAGTCGTCGTAAGTCAACAGCGCCGTCTTCAGGGCCACGAGCATCTGATACAGCAGGTCGTCGTCGACGTCCGAAGTTGCCAGAATGCTGAGGGTAACGAAGGCACGAGCCTGAATCGCGGGTGACACCTGGAACGCAGATGACGTTACGAGCCCCATCCACCGGGCTCGCCACGTATTTAGAAGTGCTACCATGATGATCAGCATGTTTATGCAACACGATCTGCAGATACTTACATCGAGATCCAGCAAGAATTTCCATCACTCGCACGAGAAGCCGCGAGAGCTTCTCCAGGTTCTCGAGGTATTGCCTGTCGTTAGGCGGGTCGTACACCGCATAGTCGCTTGTAGGCGTCGGGCGAATGAGGCCGAAAATCTTAAGGGTCTCCGTAGTGGCGAATTCGTCCAACAAGGCCTGTATCTCTGGCGTGGCGCTGCCTTCTCCGGATGCGGAACGGGCAAGGTAGGTTGAGTGCAGCTGGTTAACGACTATGCCATATACCGAAGTTCGAACGAGTAGTTGACCTGTGCCGGCGACTATGCTGACAAAGTGCGCACATTCTGGTACGAAAACTTGTCCATGCGTAACATGGCGAGGGAGATAGTTCGCGACGAGGGTTAAGCGGGTTAAGCAAGCAAGTTCATTCCAGTTGTCATTGTCCGCTAACGATCTCGACGGGTGATGCGTTGTCTTGCCAAGGACCTTCCGGATTCGCGAGAGAAGTCGACCCCGCACATGGATGGATCGTAGAGCTGACATGGTATCAGCAACTGTCTCGCACCGCTGCGAGCCAATGCCACCATCCACTGCCGCTCGCATAAGCTCGTCAACCACAATGTTGATCAGATCACTGTCCGACTCTGCAATCTCTCTCCAGATGTACTTATGACCAACCGAGTGGATCTGGCGCGGCAGTATCAGTAAAGTCTTGGGTGTTTGGTTATCCAAATTACCTCCTGGTCACCTGCGGTCAGATCAATCAACATCCGGACACAGTCGCGCAGCTTGGCTCCATTGTGGTCATGCAGGCGATTAGTCGGGTCCGTAAACTGCGACAGGTTCCTGACCCAAGGACTCATGTACTGCAGGCAGCTGATGCGTTGCGAGACTGGCAGCTTGCTGATACCGGCCGCGACTTCTTGGATGAAGTCTAGCGTCAGTTGAGGCGCGAATCCAGCAAGTTTGTCACTGAGCTGCGAAACGAAAGCGCTGGCTCTCCCTGGCACGAAAATCGCTAGAATGACGCATGAGCGAATTAGCAGTCCCGACATGCAATGATCCGCACCTTTTGTGGGAACGACAGGCTTCCCTTCGAAGTCAAGGTACGTGCATACAGAGCAGAGCAGCTCGTATGATGCAACCCGGAGCTCTTCGTTATCGCTGCCAATATTGACCATACCAATATGCAACAATGTAGCCACAACATTCGATAGTTTCGAAAACCGCTCCGATCCAGGTATCGGAACCTGCTTCATGCTTCCCTTCGTGACTCTGATCGTCTACAATAAAGAGCGTTAGCATTTCTACAGCAAGCCAGCCAATATATGTCGGCCCTACCTTCACAACGGCATCGCGTTCCACAGACGTGAAGTACAACGTGCTGCCGTGTCGAATCTTCCTGATAATGAACTCATTCTGCTCGTGTCCGGTAGCCACGTTGTACACGTCGCTGATGTCGACCAAAGGAATGATCTCGGTGGCTCTGCAGGACAAGGCATTGCTGACCGAAGTAGCTCTCAACTAGGACACAGTCAAGCTGCGAGTCCCTCAAGATTTTTTTTCAAAAGAGTTACTTACTGCCACTATTCGGAGATGGGTCTGCGCTACCCGCAGTGTGACTGGGACACGGATAGGTTGGTTATGCCTCATATATACGTCGGTGAACTCTTCGCCGTGCTCGTCCTCCTGCTCAACTACGCGACAGATGAATAGTAGTAATAATCTTGACGGTAAAAAAACTCACAAGCATGCTGGAGACAGGGCACATGCGTTCCGTCAGGGTAATTACGGAGCAACTCCGAAGTTGACGTATGCATCGTATATCCATCCGAAAGCGAGATACCTGAAAGAGTTTAGCGAGCTTGCACGATCTGCAGAGCAGTATACTCACCGCCCGTAAGGTTGTACAGCCTGCGCATATATCTCAGTGCCAGAGCATTGGGAGTGAGCATGCGTGACATCTTGAATCGTTGACGAATATCAACAGGGGTTGTCTCATACGCGAACTTCAACCAATGTACGGGAAGTTGCGAGTTCGGTGTGAAGGCCGTCCAGTCGAAGATGATGTCGAAGTTGCGATTGACATACGGCGGAGACATCAACGTCTGTTGCATACAGTGAGAATTGAGACCAGCAGTAATACTCTTGTTGACGCTTACTTTGAACACGTAGTATAGTAAAAGTTCTAGATCTAGCGCCTCCACTTCAATCTTCGACACGACCACGACGAAGATTGCAAGTTGATCCTGGATGTTACTGCGTGTAAGTACGAAAAGCTCGGTAGCTCGCAGATTACTCACCGGAGGTGTGCCCGCAGGCGCGAAGAGGTGCTGAACCGAGGAGGTGTCTCTGTGATGGAAGCGACTCATGAGGGCTCGATACTCTTCGTGCTGATCACTGGTGAGCTCGGATTTTTGCGGGATCACACCCAGCTGGTTCGCGTCAATCAGAGAGCTACAGATGCTGCCCCAGAGTCGTTTGCCAGGCGCTGTATCGGGACCATCTTCAGGACCATCTTCGGCCTTGCTTGTGCTCAGGAGCTCTTTGCCAACCTTATCCGCATGCTTCTCGAAGAAGCGATGCAGTACGATCGCGTCTGTCTCGTCGAAAGGCGTATCCAACCATTCTTCGTGACCGTCCTCTGGCGGGGTGTATTTCTGGACACTAGATATGAGCAGATGGGGTATGAAAGAAAAGTCTGGCTTACATTGATTTCGCTGAGATAGCGTGTCACGTTCACGATGTTCGCGCGGAGGAAGTCGTTCAAGGGGACCATGTGCACTTCTTTACCGAAAAAGATGTTGTTCGCTAAATTCTGCATAATCTTAGCAATGTTCATTAAGCCGCGCCGGAGCACTGGATCTGGTGGGACCTCAACGTCCACTACTCCTGGATTCACAATGGCCGGAGAAATGAACCTGATGTGCACGTAAGCACGAAAGCGTCTCGATGACAAGGAAGGAGCCGACCTCAAGAAGATGAAAGCCCCCAGCGTCTGGAACTTTGCCTCTGGCCAAACTTTGTTACTGCGCAAGTTAGCAAAGCCAACAGGATCATTGGATCGTATAACTTACACTGACTTCCCAATGTGCGCACAAATCTCACGAAACATTCTGCAGCACATTAATACGTGCAGCCCATAGCATACCGGAAGAGCACATACGAGGGAATCACGGGAGCTGACGCCGAGACAATCTCGAGAAAGGCAGAGGCAACATAGATTAAGTCGTGTTTGTTCTGCTCGTAGTCCATGTTCGGAGCCTTGCTGGGGTCGAGATCGTAAGCATGGCCAGGAGGTAAGGAAGACATCGTCTTGATGAGAGGCTGAATCAGGTTCCGGAGATAGTTATAGCCATAGACTCGCGCAAAAGCTGACAGAAACCTCGTGCAGATGGAGTTGCCTCTGAATAGACTTGCCTCAGTCTCTGCATGATCGTTAATACACCTTCAAATTTGAGAGCTGCGGGGAGCAAGGCCAACCTGTACTACTGATCTCCTTATCAATCATCGCCTTGACGAGACTCATGAGCTTTGACCTCGTATCAAACAGATTGAGCATGACGTTGATAATCTGGTCCGCTTCACCGGGAGGGCAGCACGAGCAAATAGCTAGAGCAAGTTCCGTCTGTCGACGAACATGTTAGTATAACCGAAGCGATCGCTGGTAGATACTCTATATAGGCTGACCTCTCCAGTCTTGATCAGCTGCACTAAGCGTCAGTAGTGGTGCAGAATGAAACAAGGAACGAGCGCACTTCAATGAGCTTGTCTTGCTTCGTGGACGTCGATTGCTCCTTCTGCGGGTTAAATCGGATACCCTTAGCGATGACACGAGCGAAGACATGCGCGAAAATGACGCGTCGGACGGGGTCGGCGTCGTAGGTCATCGGTAAACAATGCTTGATGCCGAACTCGGTGTTTGCGCTTATTAGGGACGCTAGACCGTTGATGATGAGCTCACGCAGGTCGACGTCCTTGTTGGATATCTTCGACTTGTAAGGGTCAGCCCGAGGACTCTGCACAGTACTACAGCGCTCTCACCTGAGAAAAGCTGGTCTGCTCTGATAGACCGTCATCCACCATCTACAGTAACGTTAAAATGACCGCGTAGCCAGAAGTCTTAGGAAAGCCACGTACCGTAGGGTTGAGGCGATCAAGCATCTTGAACAGGAAGCCCGAGTACCGTATGAACAGCCGTGCGACGTTATGCCCGGGCTCTTCCTGCTGGCCTTCTTCGGGCTGCAAGTCCAGCTTGTCAAACAACTTTACCGCGGTCCGGAGAGTAGCGCAGCTAAGCTCGCGCATCACGCGTCCGGCTTCCTGGTCTGGGTACTACTCAAACAATGAGGACGAGCAAGTGAGAACTCCTTGTAAGATACTTACCACAGCAAAGTCTTGTGGCCATTCAACAACGAAGTCTGCAATGCCGACACGAAACAGACCGTCTTTCCGGATCGATAGCGAGTCGGAGTGGTCGAGGTAGGTGTCGCAGAGAAGACAAAACTTGAGCTTCAGGCGTACCGTCGACGAGTCGTTGATGCGCGTAATGAGCGAAGCGACGGTGCACAGCGTCGACATCACATCCATCCCACGCAGCTCTTCTCCGCTGGGAGCATTCTCAATGACGACCTTCAGGATCATCGTGAACTGCATTTCGCGATCACTTAGGTAGACGGAAGCTGCAGGAAGTAAAGGACAAACCTGCTCCAGGAACACGGCAACCGTACCCCATGCGAGGTCATCTTCTCGTGCGATGTCGTCCAGGACCCTATCGAGCGATCAGGGGGCGAGTCAGGCCAGGATTACTGCTTGTTTTGCAAACAACTCACCTCTTGAGCTCTCGGAGGATAAGAGGGTATATCCGAGGATGCGCCTCAGTAGACAGCGCTTCCCTAGCTAGCTCGCGGACCTTCTCGTTGTCGACTACTAAGAGATCGACGAGCTCAGAGATGAAGCTTTCGAGGAGTGGCTTTGGTTCCCTCAAGATTCGCAGATTGTCGGGTAGGTATCGTACGGGGATAAACGCCGCCAATCCCGATGGATCAAAGGGCTCATTAACATTGTCCAAACATGTCGCTCCGAATGCGGTGAGAAAGAGCGTCAGGTTATGCCACTGGTTCTGCCGATCCTGTAACTCGTTCAATGGACGTTCCTCTCTAGGGTGTAGAGGATTTACCTCTGCCGTGAGTGAACCGTCACCATTTGGAAGCGGTCCTTCCTCCAGAGCGTCCATAGAGGTCGGGCTGCTCATCTCCCTGAGCATGCACCACCGCCAGTAGCACTCTTGCCATACTGCAATGTGCGCCGAAGAGGGGATAGCCAATACCCGCATGAGCTTGCGGATACGCTTCTGGTCGGCAACACGCCCTAGGAGAAAGTTCAGTATACCCGGCCCTCGAGATTCGCTAGACGAAGCGCACCAAGAGGCTGCGCCTTTGGATCTCCCAGCTGCTCAAAGACGGGATACCGCTTCACCTTCTCCTCCTCGGTCGTGAAATGCGGCGGCGCGCCGCCTTTCTGTCTTTCGGCGCCAGCAATGATGCGCAGACATTGAGCGGCCATCCACGAAGTTTGCCGTTCCGCAGAGGTTAGCGTCACCATGAACGCAATCTCGGCAATGGCGAAGGCGGGGACACGTTCCGGAGTCAGCTGAATGTGGCGCACTTTCTCTATCGTTAACCGCGTGAATCGGTAGAGAAGCTCGTACGCCATCTCCATCCACATCTTTTGGCTTCGGAAGTCCGTACGGCATGTAAGCAAGGTCAGGCCGAAGGCGGCCATCGTTCCTGATCTGTACAAATCCTATGTTAGGGCCACGAGTAAATGGTAGACATCGACGTCTACATGCCCGCAATGCATCATCCACTTCGAGCCAGCGACAAAAGTCGGTGATCCCTCAGCAGAGGCCCGGATACCCTCTTGGATGTACCGGATAGTCTTCGCCATTCCCCACTTGACCGACGAGCCCGACTCCGCCTGCCACTGCTCGAGGGTATCTGGTATCCACCTGGGCTCGTTGTCAGGGTTGATGCCGTCCAGAAACCAGTGGACGTCCGCACGCCAGAGCGCCATAGTGACATGAATGGCGAGTTCGCGGTCCGGCAAGGTCTCTGTGGTGTATCGCTTGGCCTTGGGGCGGTAGTTCGCCTTCTTCACTAGGCCGTTGGAATCGATTTCACCGCGACGAGTAATGGAGCTCTGTGCGCTGGGGTCAGTCAGGCCTTGGCCAGTCAAGACGAACTCTTACGTGGAAAATGCCGTGTAATCGGGGCATAACCAGTGCTTTCAATTCATTCAGCGGCTTCTGCCAGGGAAGACGAGGGGACTGCTAACGATCAGTATAGGCGAATACCACAAGACATAATCCAGCTGACCTCAGTGATCAGCGTTATACACGCCTTGATAGCTGAGATCTTGACGGCATCCGACATCTCGGGCTGCAGAGCTTGCATAATGATAGGCATGCTCTCCGTGGTGGGCAAAAATCGGAAGAGAGTCACGAGCGCGTCTGAGACAAGGGCGACGTCGATTTCGTCTGGGCACTCCCAGAACGGTTTGGAGTTGCCGCCCCACTTGCTGAGGATAACCTTCACTTCGTGTGCCAGGTCATATGCCATGGCTTGCAGGGCAACTTCTTCTCCCGGCTCGATACGCGATGCCGCGCGGCACACGTCCAAAATACAGATGATAGCCACTTCTGAGGCGCGCGATAGGTGTAGCATAGTTCGTATCAAAACCTGAGAGAAACCACGATCCTGTGAGACGAAGCGATGTCAGGAGAATATGTGAGCGTGACTGGCGCTGCTAACCTTTCGCCCAGCATGTATCGGCATCACGCCCCCAGAGTGTAGGTCGTACTCCGTCTTGATCCTATCGTTGCTGATGCACATAAGTACAGTCAGCGTAGGCCATATAGCAGCCTTGTTCGAGTTCTCGACCAGCTGGTATAAAATGTCAAAGACACGCTCTGGCGTGCCCTCTAATCTGCGATGATGTCGCTGAGCATCATCAAACTCTTCTTGGTGGAACTCAATCCAGTTCCATACCGCCGTCCGCAAGGGCGCGGCGATGGCAGTCTGGGCCTCACGTCTCATGTTGACGAGCAGCGATGACAACTCTGTAACAGTAATGAATGGTTGCATGCACACGAGGAATGTTGAGACGCACCATGCAGCAGCTGCACAAGGCGCGCTCGGTCAAGCCAACAGTGTGTCATGAGCCGCACGTCCATGATGTCCGGATCAGTTTCGCTATTGCTAGCGAGCACATGGATCTTGCTCTTGATGCGAGAGAAAACAACGGCCCAATTAGAACCTGATAAGTGATATACAACTCGTCCGGAGAACTTGGCGATTAGGGTGTGCATTGCAGATATAGAGTTGCAGAGGGCAGGTGAGGTTCGCTCGAAGGATGTCGAATGATGTGTGTGGATGTTCGGTACGATAGGCACGTGAATCCGCATGAACGACGGCAGCTTGGCTCTTGAAGTCTCTGCCTTGGAGTAAACAGGTACGACATTAGGTGAGGTGGGGAGTGCACTGTGAGAGATATCCAGTGGAGCCGAGACCTCGATCGACTCTATCGATTCAAGGTCATGGTATGATGCATCGAATTCCAGGTTAGCCGCGGACATGAGACGCTCTTGCGGAGGGGCCGCCTGCCGAAGGAACATCACCATAACGCTGAGAATGTACCGAGCACAGGTCTCATCGAGCGGGGTGGGCTCTATCCAAGGTGAAAGCGAGCTAAGTTGTTCAGACGACGCTTGGCGGCCTCGGGGCATGTGATACGATGAATTCGCCGATGAGCCAGGGATGCTAGAGATGGACGGTGGGCCGTTCGAGCGTTTCTCAAGACTGGACTCTGGCCGTGTGTCTTGTTGCTTCTTCCACCGTGAGGCCATGGCAATAGAGAGCACTTTGAGCACAAAAAGCTGTGATTGGAGAACCTCAAGAGCTCTCGGGCCCGTTATGTCGAAATTCTGCCAGGAAGACTTACGTCTGAGGTGTCAATGCATACCGAAATGTCCCAGACACGCACCTTGTGCAGCTTCTCCAGAAGCTCTGTTAATGCCCAAGCGACAATATCAATCGAGTCTCTCGAAATGTCCTTCAGCGATTCCACTGTTTGGCGCAAAGGATCATCGCTCTCGACTTCGGGGAGCGTTGTACCCGAATAACATGGCAACTACGGCACGCTTTCAGCCACTCGTCCCATCGCACAGTACGTGCTCGGGACACACCTTTCCTCTGAGCCGATTAATCAAGACTACGACCATCTTCTGCTGCGGCGTCCCCGATGTGCTAGCGCCATTCGAGGAGCCCGGGTAGGGCGAGCCACCGTGGACGACGGTCGGTGAAGAGGCCACCACACTGGTGCTCGAGCCGTTGCTCCTGTGTACGCGCCCTGCAGCAGGCGGCTGCGTCGCCGCCGCGGTGGAGGCGCGTCGTGCGGGCATATCGAGCGTGCGAGGCGGGGTGCGTCAAGGCCAGGATCGTCCGAACGTTCCAGATATGCGCTTGCGAAAGGACGACTAACGGTATATATCGCCGTGTTATAAGTCAAAACTGTGATAGCTGTGCAGGTACAGCAGGCGAGGAGGAGGCAGCAAAGGCAGCGGACTCGCCGCGCAGAGAGTATGGCCGACGCTGTCCTGCTCGTCCTTGACAAGGCAAACGTCGACGAGGACGCCTGCCCAATAACTCAGATTGATGGCGCTTACGTAAATTGATGAACCTGCCCTTAGGGAACTGCCCGCTTGGAGATATTTAATGTAACCGCGCTTCTCCCTTCATTTTGTTCCGCTGACCTCGAGGCTTCCTCAAGGCTTCAAGGCCCGGAGATAACTTGACGATTTGTAGAGCATCTCAGGTCTGCAGAAACTGGTACCGTCGGGCAGCCCGGGACTTAGTCAAACGCTCCCAAGACCCTGAGCAGAGATGCCGCCCTTGGCGTTCACACAAGCGTCAGAGCCCGAGCTCCCACGTCAGTCCTCCAGGACCCTGCTTTTCTGTCCCTGCACCGTAGTTTACAGGGAAACGAAGCGGACAGCCGGAGTACCGCCAAGCAGACCGACCTGGACTGACTCCGCACGGATAAATGGTACTAGTCCTTGGCAATCCGACGTCACGCAAGTTCTCACCACAATTTTATGATGAACAATAGAAGAGACGGCCGTTCATATACCCACGATATAGCGTACATTTCTGATTCACCGGCGAGCAATTGAGTATCCAACAGAGACCATCTCAGGTAAGGAAGGCAGCGACTTGGTGGCGTCCGGTGGCCACCGGTCCGGTCCAGACCGTTGTGAGACCGTCGGGCCCTCCGTCCCGCACTTCGGAGATATTCTGCAGGGTGCAGACTCGGAGATACAATTTTATCTCGCCAGAGAGTTGGCCGATCACGGCCCAGTGTGTTCAGCCGCGCCAACAGCATGTCTCACTCGATCCAAAAAAGCGGTGTCACGATTAGTTATTGCGTTGCGACCAGAAGTCCGTTCGATTTCACAACAAAATAGCACAATGTCGATAGAGAAGATTGCGACAGGGAACGAGAGGGGCTACGACACGCCAAGCTAGCTGGCGAGGAAGATAACAGAAGGGAGATATGACAGTGAAAGTGCGCTTTTAAAAGCGTTGTAGGTAAAACGACACACAACTGTAGAACACGAGGCACAGACAAGAAACATGAACAATCACTGAACATTGGAGAAGAACGTAGGAAACGCATGCATGTCTTTGGGATAGTATGGGTGTGTTCGCGTTGTCGTTTGGTTGCTTCGAGGTTAGATAGAGAGGCTGAGGAAATGAGATCGGGTCGGGGCCTAGTGTGCGACGAATTTGGGTGAAGAGACGGTACAAGAAAGAGGGGAACGATCCAATATTCGGAAGAATTTGCGTGACGGTATGTCGTGGCGTAAGGTGGGGGCGGCACGGGGAAGGAAAACCGGCCAATGTGAGAGGGCGTCATCGAAAAAAATAACATGAGACATAACAAACTTAGAAGCGTTTGGGGGCAGGACCTTTCGTCGTCGGAAGCCCTGCGGCAGATTGACATATCGAAGAGAACAAGTAAACCAAAACATGGGGAAAGAGAATAACGGACGGACGAAGCCACGAGTCATTCAGGGATATCGGACGCGCTGCTCCACGCCACGGTCTTGCCACCGCTCTATGAAGAGGCCTGGAGCGAGCTGTCGTTGCCGGACTTCCACGAACCCTGACTGCCCAAGTTCAGGCTCGCAAGCGTGCCGTTCAGATCGTGAATCGAGTTGTGCTCTCGGTCTTGGCCGGCAGTGTATTGCTCCATACCCTGGGAAGGCCGTCTAGGGATCTCAGGTCGGGCGATGGGGCCCTCTTGCCTACTCGAGGCGCGGTTGGGCTGAGAGTCGCCGCCGAGGAAGCTGGCAAAGGGCCGCACAGAATTCGGACGCGAACAAGCCGCAGGGCCGGTGGGCGAGGCTTTTCCACTGCTACTTGATCCGGCAACCTTGTCGTCCTGAGGCGCGGACGAATACCAGGGAGTATAGCCCTTCGACGAAGTCGACGAGAATGATTGCGACTGGCCGGGCGAGACCGAGACACTGTTGTCCCGGCTGAGGCTCTCTCCGAGGTAGCTAGGGTCAGGAGAGAAGGGAGAGAATGACGAGCCAAAGCTCGAGCCCGCCTCAAACGAAGGACCGAAGACGTCGTACTGGCCCATCGACTGCTGTTGTTGTTGTGATGGCTGCTGCTGCTGCTCGTTGAGTTGCTGCGCGGCCTGGAGAGCTTCGAGGTTCGCGATGGGGATCTGACTGCCCGAATTCAAGAACTGCGTGATGCCGAACTTCTCAAGGAGCTGCAGCGCTTGCTCAGCCGTGAGGGAGGGCGGGTTTTGAGGAGGCGTCTGAAGCTGCTGATATTGAGCTTGGAGCGCAGCTGCTTGTGCTGCCTGAGCAGCTGCTTGTGCCGCTTTATCTGGAAGACGATGAGTAGATGGTCACCGGTAGATCCAGCGAATAACCTACATTGACTCCGGCCCCAGCTCAAACGAATCCGGCTGCCGCCAATCGGGAAGCCTTGCATTTTCTCGATAGCGCGCTCGGCGTCTGGCTTGCGGACGAACTGGACAAACCCGCAGTGCTTGCCTACAGGCACCTTGACCTGACAGTGAATTGCATAAGTGCATGGTATGCGCACGGGTAAACTGAATACGCACGTAGTGAATCTCACCGAATGGAGCGAAGAACGTCCTCAGAGTCTCCTCCGAAATGAGAGGCGACAGCCCGCCGACAAACACGGTAGTGTTGTACGGATCCGAGGACGTTAGCTGCTCACCGTTAGGTCCAATGAGGTTCGAAAGTATCGCGCGCGCCTGAGCGTGGTGCTTCCATGACTCTTCTGGGATGTTGTACCTCTGCGCCATCAGCTGATCATGGGTCTGCTGAGCGAGTGCCGCTGAAATGGAGCTCGGAGCAGCAGAGTTTGCAGGCGCGGGGGACGAGCTATTGTTGCTGCCCGGTAGCGATAAGCCCTTCAAAGCGTCCTCGGAAGGTGTCGAGGCAAGCGTAGCCGATGAAGCCATGCTGCTTGCCGAATTTAACGAGGGTGCAGAGAAAGAGTTCGATCCAGAGACGCTGCCAACACCAGGGCCATTATTGCCGCCGGAAGACGCCAGAGGAGTAGAGACACTCTTCGTTCCGGTCGGAGTGGGTAGCACGAGCGCGAGTTGCTGCGGATCCGGGAGCGATGAGTACGGAGACGGGTACTGCATCTGCGAGAAGTCCATAGGGATGCCCGGCATCGGCTTGAACTTCGCAGTCGCAGGAGATATTCGCACTACAAAGCATGGTCAGACTAGTGGGACAATAGCTTTAGTCGAACAGACGTACTCGGCCTTGACAAGCAGTATAACCCATGCATCTCAACGAGTGCACGCTGCTGGTCCGCCTCTTCGCCGAACCTGAGACTCCATAAGCGAAGAACAATAAGAGAGAATGAATAGCCTTACCTCACGAATCCATATCCTCTCGAGACACCAGTAACGGGGTCGAGCATAATCTTAGCGCTCTTGCAGCTCAGGAATGGCCGGATGAAGCGAGGTTCCCTGTCGTTCCGCAGGCCCAAAACCGGATTGCGGAAGACAGCCACCAGGTCCGAGTTCGACACTTCGGGAGCCAGGTCACCGACAAAGATGCTGTACTCCTTTGGATAGTTTGGATTCTGTGCGCCAGGTATTGAAACTGTCGGAGCGTTGTATGGCACCGAAAGTGGGGCTGTTGGAACCGACGAGGCCCAGTTCATGGTGAACGCTTTGGACGAGTTGGGCATCGTGAGCGTATTGCTGCTTGCTGTGCTGTTGACTTGCTGGAGAACCGCAGCGGCGTGCACCTGAGAGGGGAACGTAAGGAAACAGTAGCCGGGATTGTTTGCTTGTCTTCCGGTCATAGGATCGGGCGCAGGACGCGGTACCTTGATACTCACTGGGTCCCAGCCCATGAGATTGCAGACTTGCTTGGCGTACTCTTCGTCCATCCACGGTTCTAGGTCGCCCCACCAGAGGGTCGAGCGGGGGGGAGCGGTAGAGTTGGGTGACGGGAGTGATCCGGCTTGCACGTTCGGCACCAAAGGCGGGCTGCTGGCTTGGTGGAACTGACGGGCGAGAAAGGCGTCGCGGAGGGTGTCTCTGTCGCTCTGGCTGAAGGCCACGGGAGCGGAGGTGGGGGCAAAGGGAGGGTGACGGGGTGGGGACGCGCGGTGGTGGTGGTGGTGGTGATGGTGGTTGAGAACCAACTTGTGCGACGCGGACGGTGCTGGATGTACTTGCTGCCCGGCGACAGATTGGGACATGGACGGCATCTGCTGCCGGCTCTGGCTCGTCGACATGCTGCCCTGCGCTGCCCCGACCGCAAGTCCGGGGCCGGTCGCCGAGCCGTTCAGCGACGACGGCGGGCCCCAGCCGTCCCCCGCGCCGACTCCGAGCCCAATCCCTCCGCCGGCTCCCAACCCGCCCCCTCCGAACGCCTGCTGCCTGGGGAGACCGTTCCCCGCGCCCGGCCGGCCGCCTTCCGCACCCAAAATCGAAGACAGAGAGGTCAAGGGCATTGACGCCGACGGCGTGTGGTAGAAGCTTTGTGGGTCCCGAGAGTGCGCTTCTCTTGACAGGACTTCCCGAGACGGGTCTCTCACCTGCTGGTGCTGCTGAGCCTGATGGTCCCTCCCCTGCGCCGACCCATGCCAAAACTCCCGCGACACGTCTCGCACTACATACGGGTGCTGCCCGTGTCCTCCCTGCGCGTACGGATGCGGATTCATCTGAAAGTCTCGAGTGTCGAAGGGGATGTAATCGAACTCCGGGGTGTGGGTGTCAGGCTGTGACATTTTCTCAAGTCGCCGGAAGAGCCTGCCAGGTGGCTGGCCGTGGAGATCGAAGCGAAATCGATAACGTCTTCAGGAGTCGGCGACGCGGCTGCGAACGGCGACCAATCGCGACAGACTGCGAAAATTCTTTCTTCTTGTACGACGTCTCGTGCAGACGTCAACTGGGGTGTGTGCGTGTGTCGAAGAGCGGACGATAAAAAAATAAACAGCAGCGAAAAGCGATGCGGAAACGCAAAGGACGAATCAGCGACAAACGGTGCGGTGGAGAGCGATCACAGAAGACGAGTTCGATAGCGAAAACGAGTAGCACGGTCGTAGAATATACGAACGTAGAGTAGAGGGCCCTCGGTTCAACGGGGGGATCGTCTCGTCAAGGCGGACAGGGCAGCCACGGCGGCGCACAGTGCGAGCTCGACAAGACAAGTCACACACCCCGGACCTTTGCGTGGGCGGAGTTTCTGCTAAATAGCCGGCGGAGTGTTCTCACGCACTCCGACCACCTCTGAAGAGGCATTCAGACAGAGAATGCGGCCATGTCGTCTGCGGCTCGGGGTGCTCTTATAAAAATCGTCTAGCCGAGCTCGTTTCTGTCTGCGTTCCTGCCGCCGCCTGCTACGTGTCAAGGCCTGCGTTGACCCGCCGGCTCGGCGCAGATCGCGTGCCATTGTTCTCTCGCGCAGAAGACGCATTGTTCCTTGAATTAGGTGTGTCTTTACGTACATTCGGCGATTTCCTCGCCCTCGTCACTGGCATCTCACAAGGCACGAGGATGATCTGCATACTGCCGTGCTCCGTGGGTCCACGAACATACATAGGGGACAAACAATCACCATCCTGAGCTGTCCTTTCGCGTCCTGCCCCGACGATGTCGCTTCATCGCTGGGACAGCGACGACCTCAGACTTGCACTCCGCTTGCTGCTAGCTCCATCACCCTTCCTTCCTAAACCTTCCTAAGCCCGTTTGACGCCAGGGGACAATAGCCTATTAGCCACTATAAATTCCCACATCCCATTCTCGTCATGACGCCCTCTAACTTGATCTTCCTGATAACAGCCTCTGCGTTGGGATGCTTCCGCACGTCGAACCAGCCTGCTGGTGGGCATCTTCTGCATCGAACGGGGTTAATTAAACGTCTCGACATCCTTGCTGTGTCGGCGCGCTCGGACTCAGTGCGTAGCGCCAACAAGAACGAAGCTAACAAAAAACAAGAACATCGGACCATCCCTACTGCGACCTTGGCAACATCCGGCTTGGGCATATCAGCCTCAGCCTGCCCGTATCGCTCGATGAGTGGTGCGATGCGCAGCGAGACAGAGGTATGATATCTGATATGCCAAGATACCGCCGACCATCACGCCTCCGGTAAATACGCGCGAAATGTTTTGTTTTCCGCTAAGGATCGTCCGCTGCAAGGAATACTGTCTGCCCGAAGCTGTCTTGTTGCGTTGGAAAGGTGCAGGTCCCGACGGAGGAACTTATCATCATCTGACCTGTCCGCAGCGGACCACGCTTGTCTATTTCGCGCCCGGATTGCATCACAGCAGCTCTCAGAATCCGCTGTCGCAGACTCGCAGGCTACCACGAGATGATATCAGGCGACACTACATTGCAAGGACTCGGAGATACCGCTGTTTCCCTCAATGCATGTCTCTTGCAGTGCTCTTCCTGGAGGGCACCGCCACAGAGTCTTCTGGCTTGAGAAGCAGCGATCTCGCATTTTCTCTCACAGATCCTGAGTGAGCCTGCTCATGCTCGCTGTGGTCGCGTTATCCTGCATTGGTCGTCCCCGTACTGTCGATGTCGATCGCATGCCTCTCACATTGGTCACCTTTTCTAATAGAGTTCCGTGAGGCTACAGACGTCGCAGTAGTAGCATTTCTATATCATGCGGCTCACACTACTTCGTCTACCTTGTACCCCGTACTATGCCGCTCGACGCTTATGTAGATACGTTGACTTTCTCACGCATGTGCTACATTTTGCTGTATTTTTCCGCATCTCTATGTCGAGTGGTGGGATCCGGTGGGAGCCTGAAGCCAATTAATTGGCTAAATGCGTACTGTATAATTAGCGCGTAGTATTATCTTCGACTTTCCTAGCTTGAACACGATGTATCGTAAATCCATGCCAGAGCTCTCAGCCTTGCCCATGCACTTCCAACGAGTTTTGTCGCCGCCATGTCACCTCTGAGATCTGAGGTTCCATGTGAAATCCCGCCCACAGGGCATCCGGCGAGCGGAATGCGTTCGGGAGTAGGCGCTGGGATTCCGGCCTTATAGCGAACCATGCGCAACGACGTGCGCACGAACTTGGCAGGACGACGCCATGCCACCGCTCTACCAGGCTATCAACGCTGAATTCGCGCGCAGAGAAGCAGGGAAAGGCGGACGGACGGTATATCGCGGCCTACTCGACAAAGAATGGACTATCCTCTCGTGAGCTCGCCCTTCTCGTTCCTGCGCGATGGGGTTGCTAAACCATGAAACCTGCAGTGTGCCCAACGGGGGTATGTACACAACGCTAACCAGCATGTCATGAATCTGAGGGTTTTTCAATAGGCTATGTTCTTGCGCAGGTCATAGAGGCCGCAATCAAACACCAAGATTCTACTCCACACCCAGACCCCATACACGTAGTTGCCCATTTTATGCGAGCATCGGTAACTGGTCCATATGAAGTATATATTCAAGATATCAAGACAGGTCGCGATCTGAAGCATCTCTCCGCGACGTTGACACAGAACGTAAGCTCTCGTGTTATGGCTGTATGTCGAAACATTACCCATGTAGTGCTTAGAATGAAGAGAAGATCCTCGTCCAGCTGATATTCGGGAGGCTGCTGCCTACTGCAGACCCGGACTATCGCAAGCCAATGACTCTCGAGCCACCCTCACCATACGCCGTGTACACGCCGATGCAGACACACCCCTCGCAGTGCCGACCGGCCAAAGCGTGGCAACTCCCGCGGTACAACTTCCGTCACCACATTAGCGGTGCTGAGGACCCGGTGTACGCTCAAAAGCGGGAGACGCCACAACGAGGTCTGCAGTGGGGTGACTACCTCACGCTGCGCGACGAACGGGAAAGCATGCGCCCATCCATGCTCGCGTTCTTCGCCGATTGCTTCACGTCATATCCCATGGCCTTGCCTACGCTCACGAACCGTGATATGTACGTACATCATGGTTGCCGCGCTAGTGGTCCCTGGGGCTGACCTTTCCAATAGCTGGCTGCCGACGATAGTCATGACACTCGAATTCAAGTTTCCCTTACCAAAGCCGACGGATCCACACATGTCACAGCGCACCGTAGCAGTGTTTACCCAAAGCAAATTCATAAACGAACCCAACGCTCGGCATGACATGACCATCGAACTCTGGACGGCTCCTTCCGATGTCGGGGACGATGCCGTGCCTGCGGACGATAGGTGGAAGGAGCACCAGCGGTGTCTTGCTGTGTCGACGCAAATGACGCTTGTAACGCATGCGTCTGTTAATCGCAAGCAAGGGGCGAGGGGGAAACTATGAGACCGTATCGACGCCAGGATTCATCGCGGTGTACCCGCGTATGCCCCTTGTTGGGCAAGTCGGAGAATAAGCCCGAATTTGTTTAGATTTTAAAGTACAGTACATGGCTACGGCGGTTGTTTGGCCTTCTTGACCTGGATGTGCTCCAATGACTCTCTAGCGTCGTTTTGGCCCTTATGAATTGAACTATAAGGGTTATCAGTGCAACGGGGAAGGTGGGTGAAGGGATTCGACGCACAGCAAGCAAGTACGACTCCGCAACGACACGCGCTCGCGCGTTCAAGCTCAACTTCATCTCACTAATCTCCTTGTCGACTTCCTCCATGAATCTGCCTCGCCATTAACAAATAAGACGACGTAAGGGGGACATGATACTGACTGTATGATAAAGTCTACTATCTTGTGCTTGAGCATGGTGTCGGTGTGGTTGTTTGTGATCAGGAACGAGATATCGTATCCCTTCGAGTAGTGGCGTATAGTAAGCATTTGTACAAAGGTGCAAAGGTTCAGTCAAGCGCACCTTCATAGGCTTCCTCCTCAAGACAATGAAGCTCTCCGCACGCTGCATCATAAACCGCGTGAATCCGTGACACAGGATCCTCTCAATCTCGTCTGCCTGCTTGATCTTGATACTCAGCCGGATGGAGTTGACGGATGCCTCGATGAGAACCCGCTCGTTCTCGTTCCGCGATATCGTGAGGGGTTGGAGGAGCACTTCCTTTGAACCGCTGCACAGGCGCACGCGTACGAGCGGATGTTAGTAATATCTGCCTGGTTACAATGCCACGGACACGCTCACCCAACTTCGACCTCTGGCTTGTTGTGGCGTTCTACAATCTACCACTCTGTTGGCATACGATCCTCAGCGGCACCGCTATGTCCACACACCTGAGACGAGAAGTCCTGCAGCGTCAATGCTGCGGTAAGCGTTGAGCGCACGGCGGCGAGGTACGGACGGAGGACATTGGACTACGTTTTCAAGGGTCAACATTAGAGTATCGACTTCAAGTATTTTTGCAGACCATGGCGAGGTGTTTTGTGAGCTCACGAACGAGATGACGGTGGGCGGACCTTGGCGGCACACTAATGAGTAGCGATGCGTGGGAAACACCAGATTAGGATCAGAGGGTAGGACCCCATGAACCTCTTACCGTTGTCCACCGACAGCTTAACTTATAACGCACTACGGGGCGATAAATGGTGCTACGCATTGTAGCTAGGCCGACACCACTAAGCCTGACGTGGAAATTTTTAAGCACAAAGCTCCCTTCTTTCCGCGCGCTGCATCATGCTTTTTGCAGCTGCGAGTCGCGCGTGCCCCATCGGAGGAAAGCACAATGATTGAGCGGAACATCAGGAAAGAGGACTTGGATCCATAGAGCTCCAAAATGCTCCTGTAGTACTCTGTAGCATTGTAGACCTAAGTCATTTCCCTGATGAAGACCAGCGACGATGGCGGATTCGAGCAGCCATACCAGAGCGTGTCGAGGCTTACCGACTGGTAATGGCATGTCGCTAAGGAATTGCAGATGGATGCATATCCAAGGAAAAAATTACGCTCGCTTTGCGGGCGGTAGTGCGCATGGAACCGCAAAATCTTCATACTATACACGTCCTGGAACCACCCCCCCCCCCTGGCCGCCTGACTGATAGTTTTGGCTACAACGAGATATCTTGAAACAAAATATACATTCCTGAACTTTGCGCGACACACACGCAATGATTTTTGCAGATCGCAAGATCTGGAGTTTGTCAGGAGTCGATCGGAGTCTTTCAAAATTGTGGTTGTCGTACCCTCGTCACAGTTGATTATAGATTTATATCTATATTCACCTCTTGCAGCTACGTAGAGTGTAAAATGATCCGAGACATGGTGCAGCACTATTAGAGAGGGAGAGAGCTCAATGCGACGCCCCGGAAGCCTTTCCATTATTGCCACTCTAACAACTATTATACCTCAACTTCCCCTTCCTGAACCAAATCGCGTAATTCATTGATTGACACCGCGACCGCCATCGATTCATTTATAGACCATTTCATTTGCTCTCTCTTCTCCTTCTCTTCAGGAGATCCCGGATGAATCTCAGGAAAATTCCAGGTATGGTTATACGTTAGATAGAGGTCAGTTTCACCGTCTCCATCCGAACAATGTTCGAGATGACGGTCCCGGCATCGACCATTGGGATTCTGCCTGTGGGACCCAAACATCAGTCTGAGACCAATCGTGAAGGTCTGGAGGATACGTACATAGACTTCGCCCCCGAAGGTCACGACCTCCGTGGTCTTGCCCGGCGGGCCAGTGCCAGGCCCAAACTGCACAACACAAGTGAGGCCTGTGCCATGTTCCTCGACCACTCTGCATTTCTCTATGATTGGAACGAAGCGAAAGGGGCTGTGAGCCTTGATTTTCAGGCCTTCCCAAACTTGCGCGCGTGTGAGTTTGGATGGCACGTTTGCTGGGTTGATTGGAGCGGTGGACGCAAGATAGATCTTCATGGCGGTTGTGAGTGAGTATAGCTCCTAGAGGGCTGAAATGCTGACTTCTATACTGTTTTCATGTTCGCTCATGTCATACATATTGTTTGTGGGCGTCGGAGATTGCTCAGAGCTTTTCTATCATACCCGGGGGACATGCGACGCTGAGCATATGCATACACATCGGCGCATCAATGCCTTACAAATAAGATTTACTGGACAGTTCTTCTGTTGCGACGGCAGTTGAGTGGACTGAATGAGGCCATGAGACATCATCGCCGCCGCATTGGCTTGAGACCGGGAGAGCGTGTTCTGAATCTGCTATCTCCTAAAACCAATCGTGCCCATGAGTTATCAACACGCGCTTTGTCGTAGTTTTGAGGTGTGGTCCGAAACTCACTGCAGCAGTAGTTCTCGGTACGCTTGGCAAGAGCGACGAGACGTCGTGAGAGATAACTTGGGCGATAGTCGCTATTCCGGTTCATGGCGCGCACCCCTCTCCTCAGCGAGTATTCGAGCACTAGCGCAGGATTTGCACGATGTAGACTGACGAATAGGCGGTGCAGAATCTGCGCGTTAAGTACAAGGATTGGGGATTGCCAATCTAATATTAATGTTGAACCGTCCAAAGCCACCTCTGCAACGAACTTCCTGTGGCAGGTTCCCGCGACGAGCCTTAACGTGTCATGTAAGGCCATCAAGCTCAGGCGGCGGAATAGAATGCCTTACTCTTGATAGCTTTCCCTAAGCTTTCGCAGAGGACGATAGCCGCGGATAGCGGCGTGCGCTTGATGCATAACCGTGAAACTAACTCGCTACACTAACGGGCAGTGTCATGGGACTTACGCGACACTCCATCAGTGACAATCTATGTATGGTAAACGAATTTGTAAGAATAGAAGGAGACGCAAGGATTAGAGATCAAAGAGACGGGGATAGCTACGAAAACGTGGTGGACACGCGCGTTTATTCGGTTCTTTATTTGGACCTTGAGCGTCACTGGCTGAAGTTTGTCTAGCGCTTCTAACCATTGCACTTTCCGGACTTCTTTTGCACTTCGTAAAAATGGTCGTCGCCATTACCATCTGGTTTGTCTAGGCAGTCTCACAGCAATCAGAAAATAAATGCCGATGTTCTTGTCTACAGGAGTCTCGAGCTCAAGCCTGGCCAACAGGAGTCTGTCGTTCCTCCCGCCGACCTCAGAATTACGAACGTTGCGCTCGGTGACGAGCTCGCGGACGAGAACGCTCGTACTTCTGTCAAACTGACTTACCGCGAGCCGCGCAGCGGTGAACAAGACGAGGAGGAGGATGAGGCGGACGAAGATGGCGTTGAGCCTGTGACTACTGTCCTTTGCTCTCTTACCCCCGGCAAGGCATGCTTTCCTATCACTTCTAACTACTTCGTTTCTAGACACTAATTTCTTCCCAGATTGAGCAAACCACTGTTGACCTGATTTTGGAGGGGGAAGAAGGTGTTATTCTCGAGAACACCGGCAAGAAGTGCGTAAATCTCATTGTATGGTCTATTGCTTTGCCTGACTTCGCTCTTTAAGCACTGTCTACCTGACAGGAAACTACATTGGTAGGCGCTACAGTTCTCAGTAATTCTCTGTTGTCTAACAAATTTTCGCAGACCAATCTCCTCGAGATCCGTATGGTGGTGAGGATGAGGATAATTTCGACTCTGATGAGGAGGCATACCGTTTAGAGGACGTTAGCTCGGACGTCGAGATCGATGCTGATGAGCTTGATGACGAGGATCTTGAGGGTGACTCACAGTAAGCTATTCTCTGCCATCCTATGACTTCCCAGGACTAACCTTTAGCAGCCGCTTCGAGGAAATCGCCGACGAGCCCCAGATGTCCCAGAAAACCGAGTCCAAGAAGCGTCCCCGCGATGAAGACTCAACAGAGACTGAAGAGCCTAAGCTATCCAAGGCACAGCAGAAGAAGTTGAGCAAGAAGCTCAAGGCTGAGGACGGCAAGGCTGTCGCCGCGGGCGCGGAGAAGGAGACCGAGAAGTCCAAGGCCGATGAGAAGAAGAAGAAGAAGGAGCAGCCAAAGAAGGAGGAGAAGAAAAAAAGTGGCGCTGATGAAGTCAAGACCCTCGATGGCGGCCTTAAAATCCAGGACCACAAGGTCGGTACCGGCCCTGCTGCCAAGGCCGGCAACCTGGTCAAGGTACGCTACGTTGGCAAGCTCCAGAACGGCAAGGTTTTCGATTCAAATACCAAGGGCGAGCCGTTCAAGTTCAAGCTCGGCAAGGGTGAGGTCATTAAGGGCTGGGACATGGGTATCGCGGGCATGCAAGTCGGTGGTGAGCGTCTACTCACTATCCCCTCTACTCTTGCGTACGGCAAGCGTGCCCAGGGCGGTATTCCTGCTAACTCTACCCTCATCTTCGGTATGTTGTGTTGTGACTTCTTGCCGAGGGCGACGACTGACGATGTCTTGCAGAGGTCAAGCTCCTCGGAATCAACTAAAAGCTCTCGAGTTAGAGGGCAATGCTCTGAACCATCTTACACCCATCTGCAACGCACAATCTGCTATATACCATGCTTTCGTAGCTTGTTGTTTTATAGATGCTATTATCGATGTTGTTGACATGCTTGCACTCCAACACGCATTTGCATACAATTACGCGACGGTGTTGCGAATGGCTCCGCGGTTCCAAAGATTATGAAAGGCTCACTTTCGTGTGCGAGTTGACCGTCGCAGAGGCTGGGCGTCAGGGAGCTGTTCAACTTCGGCCTTCCTCTTCTTGCCGGCAGATGTTGCAGCCGTAGATTTCTTTACATCCTCTTCTTCTACTTGGTCACCACTGCCTTCTCCAGCCACGGTGTCTGCTTCTGCAGGGCCTTCCCGCTCATCGTGCACCTTAGCCTTGGCTGCGCGACCCGGCCGCACCCTCTTCGTTTCCTTGGTTCCATTTGTGCCCGCCCCCTTCCCCCTCTTAACTGTTTCGTCTTCCCAGCCTCCCGAGTCGGCGAGCTCCTCTATGACGGACCAGGTCGTCTGTTCGACGTACTGAACGCTCAGTCTGCCACGGTTGATCAAAGCCATCTCTGTAGCAGTCATTCGGTCAAAACTGGTGCGAACAGCTCACGTCAGGAGAAAAGAGTGCGTACCTTTAATAGCCTTCATTCCATCTTCTCCGATAAACTCGACGTCAGGAGGTGGCCCAGAGGGCGGTGACGCCGCGATACGCTTTAGCAGCGAGAGTGGCACGAAATGCTTTGCACGAGCATTGAACGTCAAATCGACCATATACCACTTAGGGTTTTCCTTATCGCTTTTCTAGAGGTGACGTATAGCGATGAACTTGCACGAGGGACCGGCATGCACGTACCTGGTCATAGTATGGATGCGAGCTGCGCAGAACAAGGTTAGTCAGGAGGGGGTGGTGATATGAGAAGCAGCTTACGGGTCCCATGCCGTATCTCAAAGTTCCTAGCCTTATGAGTGTGTGGCCAAATGGAACATAAATGTGATATGCGTACAATCTGGGTAGGCTTGTTTCGAAACCTGAAGATCACGATGAGTGGAAGTAAGATGCAACTATTGGCACCATGCTTACCTCGGCAAATGCTGCTATGCCTTAGACAATGGGCTTTCAGATCTACCAAGGATTGATAAAGTTACACAAGACGATGTACCTGGATTCTTGCAGTTTGAGTGGTAGAACAGCACCTGCTCGGTGGTCAGCTTGGTTTGGCAGTGAGTGGGAGAATCTGAACTCACTCTATCGCCAATCTGCATTTCTTTCATGAGGTTGCGTGCTTCAGCATTTCTTACACCCTCCCATGGCGTGGTATTCATAGCCTCAAAGTCGTCTACGCTAAACTGTGTCCGTGTGTCAGGAGTTGAGACTTGCGCCTGAGACCTAACTTGGTACCTTAACATCCTTCCCCTTTACGATACGGGAGTCTGGCTCCGCTTTCATGAGCCAATGCTTCATGGCTGCCCGCAGTGTCTTCGCCGCCGTCGCGGACGTTGTATGCTGCGTGTGGATAATGAGCGTTGCGGTGTGGAGGTCGGAGCCCAAAAAAGGCAAAGAGAGGCGGCGAAGGGGAAACGCGACTCAAACATCGACTCCCACGTCCACCGTTCACGTCTTTCCCCGAGAAATCAACACAAACCCGTCGCGCTGCCCAAATAACCGATAGCAACCATACCTGCGGGCACGACACCGTCATGAGCAGTGGCCCTGCTGCTAACAATACTCAGACGGTTGTCCTCGCCGAGTCCAGCACGAGCACGCACCAGCAGCCTCCACCGCAGCCAGACTCGCCAAGCAAGCAGGACGCCCGAGAATACGAGGGACCCTCGAGGATCGATGGACGGTCGAGTGACGCGGATAAAATGCTGCAGTCTGCGGGGATACTGCTGGATGCGGACGGGCCCGAGGGGGACGGAGTAGAAGCCGGAGCCATTGACGCGTCCGAGCAGACTCAAGTGGACGGCTCGAGCTCGGGGGACGACAGCCAACAGTGGGCCGAGGACGAGGGCCACGATCTCAAGCGTGTCAAGGTGTACGAGCTTATCGGAGCACGGTGGGTTGACCAGGGTACCGCGTTTTGTTTTGGCGACTTTCACGAAAACGAGGCGTTTCTCATCGCACGCTCCGAGGCGGACTTCAATCAAGTCATTCTCACAACCACGATACGCTCTAGCGACGTCTACCAGCGACAGCAAGGTGGGTAGCTGTAACGCGTCGGGCCTTCCTGGTAGTGATTTTGGTCGTCTGACAGACACGCTGATTGTGTGGACCGAACCGGACGGCGTGGACTATGCTCTCAGCTTCCAGGACCCAGAAGGTTGTGCAGAGGTGTGGAACTTTATTCAGGATGTACAGAGGCATCTCACATCTGGTCTGTGTCCTCTTCTCTGGCACACCCGAGGTCGACACTAACGGGACCAGGTCTGTCGTCATCGCCCCTCATTGGTCCCGAGCCGTCTCTCGTCGCCAATGCCCTTATGCGTGGTGGTGGCCTTCCAAAGCCCGCACTGGGGACTATTACTGAGATCGACAAGGCGATGAAGACTATCACGCGTATGCCTGCCCTCAAGGAGCGTGTATGCGAGATTATTCAGAACGAGGTAAGCCGGAAATGAAACCGCGAAGCTGCTAATCTGACTGTCCCGGAAGAACTACGTCAGGGCTCTAGTTGAAGTCTTCAGCCAGGCCGAAGATCTCGAGAGCATTGAGAACCTTCACACCCTATGTAGCTGTATGCAATCAATACGTGCGTGCTCTTGTTGTTCTATCAGTGCTATACTCTGACGTCTCCCTAGTCATGTTGAACGATCATACCCTGTACGAACACATCCTAGAAGACGAACTATTCTCCGGAGTTGTCGGCATGCTCGAATGTCCGTGGCGCAAATTAATCTTTGTCAGTAAGATTTCTCTGATCACCTGCCACAGACGATCCAGAGTTCCCCACTCACAAGGCCAACTATCGCGAGTTCCTGCATCAGACGTCCCGCTTCCACCAACCTATACCTATACGGGACGAGGGCGTCCAGAGGAAGATCCATCATACTTATCGACTACAGTTCCTCAAAGATGTGGTACTCGCGCGCGCCATCGACGACTCAACCTTCAACGTCCTAAACTCGTGTATTCTCTTCAACCAGATCGATATCATTAATCACGTGCAAAACGACCAGACGTTCCTACGAGAGGTCGTTGGGATCTTCCTGGACGAGGAGATGCTGAAGAACTTGGTTTCGAAGGGCAAAGAACCGGAACGACCGAAGCCAGAAGGAGAGAAGATGGACGTGGACCAGCCCAGCGATGTGTCCCATCAGAACGGATCGCCGAAACGACGAATGTCCGAGGCCGAGCTCAAACGGCGGAAGGAGGTGTTATTGCTGATTCAACAACTGTGCGCCATGGGCAAGAACGTACAGCTACCTGCTCGTATGGCGCTATTCAGGACGCTCTGCGATCGCGGAATACTGTTCTCTGTGCAATGGGGCCTCGGCCAACCGGACAGCGACCCAGAAGGGCTCCAGATGATCTCAGCTGCCGGCGAGATCCTCACTACGCTTCTGGATCACGATCTCAACGGTGTTCGCAACCACGTCTTGAAGCAGCTCGGTCCCATAGATGACAAAAATCCGGCACGAAAGATCGAGTATGACACTGTCCTCTCCGTGATGTGTCGTGTTCTGGTCAGAAGTCGAGACCTGGCTGTCCAGAGCCAAATATCAGAGTCGATCAGAGCAATGATGGAGGTACCACAAGATAATGGGATGGAACATGTGTGTGTCACTCGCAGTCATACGATCCTGACTAACCGAGGAATTAGCCGATGGGTGCCAAAGTCTTCCAACGACCGAAGGACGATCCAGGAACGGAGCGCTTTATGGACTACTTCTATAAGCACTGCGTCGACGTGCTATTTCACCCCTTGCTTAATTTTCCGGACTTCAAGAATGTTACCGGTACGCTGCTTCATCAATCTCGGATCGGAATTATCCTGACAACTAATCTTAGACGCAAATCTGACACTCTCTCGTGAACGGACTAACCTATATTTGCATTTATGCGATTTGCTTTCTAGCTTTGCTCTCCAACACTCGTTCCGCAGTCACTTCTTCATGCTATCATCCTCCATCGCAACGCATGTGGCGTCTATCCTGAGAGCGAAAGATAAACACTTGAGACTGGGTGCGCACCTTACCTCTCGCGTGGCATGGGCCGCGTACTGATTCGTCTGCTTTTATCTAGCCGCTTTCCGGTTCTTTCGCGTGCTGCTTCGGCTCAACAACCGAAACCTCTTCAGTCACTTGATCAAGGTCGATGCGCTGGGTCCGATACTCGATCTCACACTACGTGAGTCACGCCGGGATAACCTCCTTAGTTCCACTTGCCAAGAGTTCTTTGAGCATATCCGCAAGGTACGCAGTCTACCGTGCTGTGCGTGTCGCCTGTCGTGCTCACCCTACTTCCAGGAGAACATGAAAGAGCTCATCAGTCACTGCATGACGAAACACGAAGGCAAAATCCGGGAGCTGTCCGCGACTGCTCTCGGAGGTCCACGTTTCTCGGCGTTCATCAGACGCTGGGAGATGAACATCGAGCCGCCTCCGAAAGAGGAAGAGAAGGCTGACAAGTGAGTGATCTCCATGCAATCCGGAGGTCGATCGCCCTACTAACGTTTGTCAGACCCATTCCCGGCGGACCACGACGGTGGGGCCAGGGCCGTCTGGTCGAGGCAGAAGAGGAAGATTGGTTCAATGCAGATGACGATGACGACGAGGCATTCACAGCTACACTGTTCCCTGGAAGTGGCAAGCAGCAGAGTTTGCTGAAGAGGAAGCGTGCACGAGGGTCTGGGATACGGCCGGTGCGGCTGCATCAGGCTCCGCAGCTTGTGCGATCGGCGGCGCTAGGCAGCCTGGTAGGAGACTACGGCGACGGCGACGATGGAAGTGCAGCTGCGCCGGCGGAAGACACATCGGCGACTCAGGGCACTATTCTGCGCCCGGCATCGCAGGGAGAACAGGGCGTGCCTGCCAGCCCCCGAATACAGCACCGGCAGATTGCCATCGGGAAGCCCACGCCAGATGTGGCTGAGGATCCTGAAGATAGCTTGCTGGAGTCGCTCGTTGCAGGGACCGATCTGCCTTCGCCGTCGAAGGAGCTGCTGGGTGAGCTCGGCGTGGGCCTCAAGCGACGGCGCGAAGATGAGGATGACGGCCTGCTCGAGCGGCTAGCGAACAAGTCGAAGAAACCCACTGCTGGAGCAAGCCCGGGCACGCCGGACAAGGACAAGGACAAGCCCCCGGGCGCGGTCACGATCAAGCTTGCTAGTGCAAAGACGCCTGAGGAGGGTCCGAAGAAGATCAAGCTAAAGTTGAGCTCGCCGTCCTCACAGACGCCGAGTCCTTCAAGTCCTGGTGCGAAGGATGGAGACACAGGATAATTACTCACGCTCGTTTTGCTGACCCTGTTGTACACTCATTGTTTGTCTTACACCTCGTTGCATCAATTAATTTACTGGGAAAATAGGTTTCCAGATGTGTCCTTGAGAGACTCGATGATAAAGTCCTTACGTTAAGATTATATAGCCCTTAGCTGAAGCAGTATCTCGCCAGACAGGTCTCGCACACCCCGGTTCTCCTCTCGCCTGCCCTGGCCCGCGCCCTATCTACGATAGCACACGCAAGACAAACAGGGAACTCGGGATCTTTCTCCACTTCGTTGATCGGTATGCCCTGCGTCGCGATGTCGAACACCTGGTTCATGATGGCCTGAATCTGCGGCGGTGTGAAGGTGTCCGTGAAGGTGGAGAGGTTTGTGAGCGGCGTCTGACCAAGCGGGGGGCCACCATTAGCGAAGTAGGCCACGAGCGGCGCCTCGGGTGCGGTGTTGCAGCCGAAAAACGTGGTGCGCTTTGTAAGGTTGTGCGCGGCGAAGACGTCCGGGCTCGACGGGACGGGAGGGAAGGAATACACGCCCGGGAAGAGTGCAGCGCGTTGTTGTGTCGACTGTTGTGTTGGTCGGCGCACTGAGAAATACGGACGTGGGCGACGAAGTACGTACGATGAGTGAGCTGCCATTCGTAAAGTTATCCTCTGTGTCAGCGGCCTAATGTCATGGAACGTAAGCCGAGTCGCTAGAATGAGAACAAGGAGAAACGCATTACGGCGTCGATGGCGATGACGATGTCCACTCTTCGCGCTTTTACTAGCATGGGCTGGATAGGTATAGTCTCGCCGTCCTCCCCTCCGTCAACGAAAGTAATCACGGACTGGTTACTGTCAAGGAACGTGTTGGGTGCAATGCCCATGAACGGATTAGGAATAGCAGCGGAGTCCAGCCGGATGCCAGATTGTGGAAATGTCTCGTTTATGGCTGCGATTAGTGGACCAATAGAGGAAGCAGCCAATGCAGCAGCCTAAAATGTCGAGTTAGCTGCTGATGCACGAGCGAATAGAACCTTGTCACGTACAGAGGTGTTGAACTCGTTCCATAGGTTGGAGGACGAAGCTGTAACAAGCGAGACCTGATCGAAGTTCGTAACACACGTTCCGTTCTGCGAACCCAGTAGTGATGTGGGCACGAATGAAGCCAGCATGGGATCGAACGACCCGATTTCGACTACGCTTCCGGATCAGCAAGCGAGATCCGTGTCGGTGCGACCACCGTACTTACAGACGTTGAACTCATAGATGGGATTCGTCAGCGGTACGTCATTCCCAGGAATGACTTTTGAATTGTTCTCGAACTTTGATAACGTGTTGGTGACGATAATCGGAAAGGGCATGCCGTGGTTCTGAAATGTAGACCTGGAAAATCATTAGCAACATTGCATACTTGATTGACGGGATTATGCCCACAAATTGGCGATACCAGACCACGTCAAGCCAGCTCCATGTGTCACGTTCGTTGCAAAGAAATTGTCCAAAGTCGTGCCGTTGGTGAAGTGCCTCGCTAGCGCACGCGACCACACGTCCGTAAACGTGACCGGAAAGCCTGCTGCGCGCTTTCCAGCCACCTCCGCGATCAAGACCTCGACGAAATCGTCCTGTATGGTCGTATTTGAGGAGACAGACTCAAGGCCGATTTCGCTAAGCCAGCCACCAAAGGTATTTCCACCCGGGTTGGAATCGGGGCCGAAGATCAGAGACGGGATTGTCGGGAAGTTGGCCTGCACGAGAGATGTCACAAGGAAGGAGCCGCCGGACAGGCCCGCGAGGTAGGAGGCGGCTTGCAGCAGTCCTCCCGTTCCTAAGGCGCCTGATGTTGTATTGCGGGCATCGAGTGTATCCAGAATGGCCGCGCCGAATATCGCAGCGCGCATGCCTCCACCGCTCGTTGCGATCCCCAAAGTCGGGAGCTGTCCATGCCCTCCGAGGATGGTCTTCAAATAGCGGGGAAGCGAGATGTGTTGTACACCGGCGCTATGTTCCACGGAAGAAAGGTATGACTCCCAAGCGTCTGGAAGAACTTTGTGCTGCCGCCCAGTAACGTAGGTCAATTCTTGGTGGCTCAGAGTTGCGGGCCTGCCTCCTGCGGACCTGACTAGAGTTAAGTTGGCAGGACACGGGGAGCTCAGCGGGGTATAAGCGAGGGCAGCCGGCGACAGGGCAGCTTGCTGGGCCACAGCATAGCCAAGCGCGCCGGAGATAATGGCAAGGAGAGCGGCCGGCACCATCACAAGCGAAGAGGCGACGGGGGCGGGGATGGTACGAAGAAGCGACGCTGCGCTGGAGGATATAAATACTGGTTAACTTGCGACAGACTGGCTGTCGCCCCAGCCTCCGATCAGGGGTATCATGTGGATGCTGCCATTTTGCCTAAGCATGAACGTGAGCCGGGAAATAACTCACGAAATATCACTGGTGCTACTCACGCCTGTCATATCCTGACGGTCCCACATAGCCGAGCATGAAAGCAGGGCCACTCAATTGCCACCTGACGCACAGCTGTACAAAAGCAGCTCTCTTCCCTATTGTCATCAGTCAGTTCTTCCCAGAGTATATTACGCGTGGGCAGGGTAAGTTGACAGTACTCACCAGCGCAAGGTAGAACAAATCCGGTCACTGGCATATCGTGATCATCTCGCGCTGTATGCTACTGACAGCATAGGCGTGCTTGCAAGATTTGGCAGCCCAAAAGCATTATGCAGCGACGAATGCTCCCAGCGGATGAAAGACTCGCACAAGAACCTCGAGGAGCATATGGGCGCTAATAAATTTACGTTTCCGGCGGCGGCAATCTCTTGTAGGCGCCGCGGCACTCAGGGGCGCATGGTGACCTGAACGCCGAGCACATATTGAACGCATAGCAGGGACGTCGTTGGACGATTATTCGGTGAGTGTAGCTAACAAGCCAGCAGATGACACGTCTCATCTTTCTTTGCATAAGCGTACACCATATGTGCGACCTCATCAAACAGCCGCTTGTGGATCGTCTGCCAACGGAGATTCTTGCCCATGTGCTTGTGCTCTATGCAAACGACGCGTTCGAGAGACGGACGAAAGAGCGCCATTTCACGCAATGGCAATCGGACATCGTGTACGCTCTCCGTAAAGGGAAAAGCCCTTACGTGTTCCTCGACGTCACTCGGAGATGGCGTGCAGTTACTCTCAGCTGCCCAGGGTTTTGGAGCAACATCGTAGTCGGACCGAGACGCAAGGTCAAGCTTCTGCTTGAACGGTCCGGGAATTGCGCCTTGTATGTTTTCTGTCTAGCGTCGGATACCGAAGGGCATGACACCTCGGACACGAGGCATGCCGTTTTGAAGCTTACGCTCGAACATCTCCACCGTATTCGCTCTCTTCAGCTCATTGTGCGTGCTCGGGATGCTGGTCTGGAACCTTGTGCACTCTACGATACCGCAACTGCGCCTCTGCTTGGATCCCTGTCAATTTTTTTCGTGGAAGATACAAGCCAAATGCATGAGAACATCCGAAAGAACCCGATCCGGAGCATAGGCGCAAAATGGATCGCCCCTCGCCTGCTACGGCTCAGGACGCATGGTGGAAGCGATCGCTCCACAACCCTCAACAATTTTGTACCGCTCCAGCTCAAAGATACACTCACTCACCTTGTATGGCTCCCCGCTCACTCATTCCCACCAAGGACCCCCTTCTCATGCGCAGAAGATGTGCTATTGGTCTTGAAATCGCTACAGCATCTCGAGACTCTTCACATTGGTTTCGCGAAAGAGCTTGCCGACGATCTTTCCGCATCGCAGGTCACTTGTGCAAAACTCCCGTACCCTCGTCGATTGTTGCTGGAGGGTAACGTCGACATTTGCCTTGGGGTCCTCGAGCGCTTAGAGTTTCCAGAACTGTTACAACAGTTTGGAGTTCTTGTCAGGCGAACAAGCCGACGGAATGATGGTATGGTGCAACTTACTGATTTCCTAATAGACTTTGCTCAATCGCAAGACTGGTTGAGCCCCAACGTCCCCGTGCGGCAGTTCTAAACGCTGTGCATCCGGCCGGACACGCGAAGGGGCTCGGGTGTCCAAATAGTGGCCTGGGAAGACGTCCGCCCGCCGACGCGCTTTCCGGTGCCTGGCTTCATGCATGGCTACTACCTCGGCAAACCCGAATGCGAGCCTTTGGACCTCTGCCTATCGCTTCCACATGCGCTTCCTCGCCCTTACTTCGGGCGCTTCTTCAGGGGCGCGCGGTTAGACGCGGTGCAATCGTTGCAGCTCGGGATTTTACTGCGCCACCGCGAGGGATATATGTCCTTGCCTACTCAGTGGGCGGACGTTGCAGCTCGCCTGAAGGTTGTCAAGACACTTGCGTTCACCAGGCACGCGGATTCGCGGACGCTGTCTCGCCATCTTTTCTCCGCGCTTGATGAAGCAGAATGCAAATCTCATTTCCCGCTATCAAGACAGCTATGTATCTCCGGCTTGGGCACAGAAGAACGAAAAGTGGAACGAGTCCTGGACCTGTGAGTCTGGCGTTATACAGGCTTCATCTCTTACACGCTAACTTTCTGGTAGTCGTGCCGCATGGAACCTATGACAGCGTCGTGGACATCGTCTCGTTCATCCTCAGGGACGGCGTTAGTCTCGAGGAAGTGATGTTCGATGAGCCGTCGGTATCGCTCAACAAAGACGACCTTGTGATGTTCCGAGGCTTGGGCCCTAAGACACTCTGCAACGCAGTCGAGGGCATGCCGCGAATTTGTCAAGGTGAGTAGGGGTGCATTGTTGTCCCTAAGTTTTTTGTCGGTTCTGACCGGGTAATATGGGTAAAGCGTATGTGGCACCCGAAGATGTTAACGACGAGTGAGAAATCGTGGAAGATGAGCGCTGGTGGCAGTTTGAATACTAGCCATGTAACGTACAGGAGGACTCAGCAGTCGCATCTTATGTTCACTGCACCTTTTCAGCACCTTCATGAATAAGTATGGCAATAAGGCCGTTTTCCACGGGACTGTACCACCGCTACCGCATCGAACACTTAGGGCCTGACTTCAACGCGACGATCGTTCTGAATTTTGGCCAGGGAGGCGCTTATATACCGCGGGCGCGCGTCTGGGAGGTGGACTACGAAGCGACAAGCTCAGGCTTAAATGCTTGAGCTTGCGCGGGGAAGGGCCTCCCCAGTGAACGTTGAATACGCAGCGCCCTCATTCAAACATCGATTTGCCTTCTCCAAGCACCTTCACAATATGCCTCCGAGCTCAACGGAGCTCAACATGACCTAATGAAACGCGACCTACACTTTTAATGTATAAGACAAGCTTCACTGCAGATGCTGACCACTCAGCTGGTTTCAGCCTTTTATAGGGTGGCGATCTCGGTACATTCGATACATATATGCCAGCCGGCCATGTAAACACAAGAATAGAGAGCGAGGTTTACAGAAAATCAGAAGAAAAATTCCTGGTATCGAGACAGATGTGAGTCAAGCCTGGTATTGAGGTTGAATCGGGCTGAGCAACCGAGACTTAGAGTTAGAGGCAACCTTGATGCTTGGTTCGGCATGCAAATTAAGCCTTGAGATACGGTCGAGTCCGAGTCGAGCTTCAACTAACTTCGCAAACAGAGCTTTGTGCACCCCCAGCGAGGGACTTATTGATTTGCTTCCATGACGCACTCGCCAGTGGTCACATCCTGCCATGGGTGTCTTCCGCAGGATACTCGTGTACGCGGCGAAGAAACAGGCTAGCGCAGAGGACGCTCCGGCCCACCACGGATGTTTCGCGTCTTGATGCCGAGACGCCGAGCGCCACAAAGATGATGGGAGTTGCGGACTACTAGCAGTCTGACGACAGATTGGCCCGGGAACACTACGTGTTCCGCTCCTCTGTAACTGAAACTCTAGCTTCTATCTTCTGGATAATATTATCCTGTTCCCTCTCTATCTCTTCTTTTCAGAATACAGAATTGCGGTAGCCCAATAACCATATCTGGCTTTCGAGTCATGTGTGGTCTCACAGTGTGGTACGCTACTGACAAATACTAACCCTCGTCTGATCACCACTGAGATCGGACGAAATGCGACAGTATTCTTAGCCCAAGTATGGCCGAATTCTGCGGCTTTGCTTAGCCAGGCAACAAGTCTCTTCACCGGAGCCTCCTTCACATGGGGCAAACAATATGCAACTCGTACTCCCAGGTTTTTGCTGGATGTCTGCTGAGCCTTAGCTATGCTTTCCAACGCTCATTCCGCAGTCATTTTTTCGCGCCCACTTCGTCTCCTGGAGAGCGTGAGAAGGCTTATCAGCCACTGCATGATGAGACACGTAGGCATGTCCACAACTGTTCCTGGCGGAGGCTCACGTTTCTCGATGTTTATAAGGCACTGGCAGATGAACATCGAGCCACCTTCGAAAGAGGAAGATAGAGTCAGCAAGTGAACCATATCCATGCCACACCAGGAGGTTGGTCGTCACATTGATGCCAGGGCCGTCTGGTTGAAGCAGAACAGGAGGGCAGGTTCAATGCAGATAATGTTGAGAACGAGGCGTTCACAGCTACACTGTTCCCTGGAAGTGGCAAGCAGTGGGATTTGCTGAAGATGAAACGCACACGAAGGTCTGGGCTACGGTCAGTGCGGTTGCATCAGGCTACGCAGCTTGTGTGAACGACGGTGCTAGGCAGCCTGGTAGGAGACTACGGCGATGGAGACACCGGATGATTAATCACGCTCACTCTGCTACCATTGCTGAACGCCCGTCGTCTGCCTTACATCTTGCTGCATCAACTAGTATACTGGGGAAAATCGTGTTCAAAATCTGTCCATGAAAGATCCGACGACAAAGTCCTCGCACTACTGGCAGGCTCTTACAATAAATATGTAAAGTCCCTTAGTTGTAACAGTATTCCGTCATGCAGGTCTCGCACACCCCTTCTCTCTTCTTGCCCATCCTGGCCCGCGTCCTGTCCGCAACTGCACATGCAAGACACAGCGGGAACTTGGGGTCCTTCTCGACTCCATTTATCGGTATGCCCTGTGTCGCGATGTCGAATACCTGGTCCATGATACTTTGGACCTGCTGCTGTGGGACAGCTTCCACCAAGGTCGAGAAATTCGTCACAGGTGTCTGGCCGAGTGGGGGCCCGCCGTTCGCGAAGTATACCAAGAGCGGCACGTCGGGAGAGGTGTTGCAGCCGAAGAATGTGGGGCGCGTTGTGAGGTTCTGCGCGACGAACACTTCTGTGCTGGACGGGACGGGAGGGAAGGAGTACTGGTGCGAGAACTGCGCGACGCGTTCTTGCGCCACCTGTTGTGTTGATAAGCACACTGCGGACGCCAAATGTGACCGATATGGTACGTACAACAAGTGCGGAGCCGTTTGCAAAGTTATCCGCTATGTCAGAGGACTAGTGCCATGGAACGTAAGTCGAATTCATTAAAACTTGAGTAAAGGGAAGGCCTTACGACATCGATAGCGATGATGACGTCCACCGATCGCTCCTTCACCAGTGCCGGCTGAAATGGTACATTTTCGCCGTCGGAGTCTCCATCTGCGAAGACTAGTATCGTCTGATTGTGGTCAATAAACTTTTCCGGTTCGATGCCCATGAACGGATTGGGGATGGCAGCAGAGTCCAGCCGAATACCAGGCTGCTCGAAGTTCTCATTTAGGACGGCGACCACTGAGCCGAGGAGAGAATCGTTCAACGATACCGTCTGAAACGTCGAGTCAGTTATTGATGCATGAGCGAACTGAACCTTGCGGCTCACAGAGGTATTATCGGAACTGAATAGGTCGGAGGATACAGCTTGGACGAACGAGATCTGGTCAAAATTTGTGACACACGTTCCATTCTGCGAGCCTAGCAAGGATATGGGAATGAACGAGTGCAGCACATCATCGAATGACCCGAATTCAACTACGTTTCCCAATCAGCAGTCGAGACCGATGACGCCATGTGCCAGCCATACTCACAGAGGTTGATCTCATAGATGGGATTGGAAAGTGGCGATATGCCCATAGGAATCAAATCTGAATTGTTCTGGAACGTCGATATGGTGTCGGTAGTAACGGTCGGGAAGGGCAAGGCGTGATTCGTAAACTCGGGCCTGAGAAGACATTCATCAGTGCCCTATGTTCAACAACCAAATCCATACTCACAAATCAATGATACTCGACATCCTCAGGCCAGCTCCATGTGTCACATTCGTCGCAAAGAAATTGCTCGGAGTCGTGCCATTGGTAAAGTGCCTCGCTAATGCACGCGACCATACGTCCCCAATCGTGACCGGAAAACCCGCCTGAAACTTTCCGGCTATCTCCGTGAGCAGGACTTCGACAAAATCGTCCTCCACGGTCGTATTCGAGGAGATGGTCGCGATGCCGAAGTTGCTGTTCCAGCCGCCAGTGGGCTCTCCCCCAGGGCCGGAATCTGTGCCGAAGACCAGATCTTGGATTGTCGGGAAGTTGGCCTGCAGCATAGATAGCATGGTCCAAGCACCGGCGGACAGGGCGTGGGTGTAAGTGGAGGCTTGCAGCAGTCCTGCTAATCCGGCGTCAGCTGATGTGGCGTTGCGCGCATCGAACGCGTTCAGCATGGCCGCGTGGAATATTGCCGCGCGCATGCCTCCGCCGCTCATTGATATAGACATGGTCGGGAGGTGTCCCTGTCCGCCGAGGATGGTCGTCAAGTAGTGGGGAAGCGGGATGTTCTGCTGATCGGCGCTGCGCTCGACGACAGAGAGGTAGGTCTTGAAAGCGCCTGGAAGGACTTTGCGCCGGCGCTCGGCAACATAGGCTGACTCTTGAGGGCTAAGAGTTGGGTTCTTGCCTCCTGCGGACCTGACCAGAGTCAAGTTGGCGGGACACGGGGAGCTCAACGGGGTATAAGCGAGAGCAGCGGGCGGCGGGGCGGCTTGCTGGGCCAGGGCATAGCCAAGCACGCCGGAGATGGTGGCAAGGAGAGCGGCTGAGACCATGGCAGGTGAGAACAAGGCTGCTCCTCGGGTGGAGATGGTATGAAGGGTCGATGCTGCTCTGAAGGATATAAATACCGGGGAGTTCGCTCCAACCAGGGCGGTGCCACCTGTGTCCTTTCTGTTGTCCCGACGGCTCCGACATGTATGGTATGCACTGGTACGCAGGGCGGTCGCGGTTGAAACAGTTCGTTGATCGTGGCATTGTGCCGTCCCGCCTTGTTCTTTGTTATCTTATCAGCATTTGATCCGAGATGCCTAATGTAGCTGGCCGACGTGGGTGCTTCCTAGCTCTCTGTTAGTGGATGCCTTTCCACAGCCATCTACGGAGCTTTGTAGACTGGATTTCAGAATAAATCGGACACGACAGCAGACTCGAAATCTGGAAGGTGAACGTAGAAAGTTGAAAGCGCGTGCGAGTGCGCTCGCCGCGGCGGCATGTTGCCGAGTGGGAGTACAGGGCTTAGTAGGTGGTGGTTGGGATGGCTATGACACTTAGAACGGGAGCTCGCGCGCGTCGCCTTCGTGGCGGCAAGCCCTAACCTGCCATAACAGCCTGATCAGGTGGGTTGTCAGTCTCTTAGGATACTTATACTCTAAGTTACTACTAATTAGCACCGGGGATAGCTATACTGTTCCCTGGAAGTGGCAGATAGCGGGATTTACTGAGGAGGAAACGCGTACGAAGGTCTGGGTTATGGTCAGTGCGGTTGCATCAGGCTCCCGGGCCACAGCTTGTTCGGACGACGGCGCTACGCAGCCTGGTAGGAGACTACGGCGATGGAGACACCGGATGGTTACTCACGCTCACTCTGCTACCATTGCTGAACGCCCGTCGTCTGCCTTACATCTCGCTACATCAACTAGTATACTGGGTGAAAATCGTGTTCAAAATCTGTCCATGAGAGATCCGACGCATGAGAGATCCGACGACAAAGTCCTCGCACTACTGGCAGGCTCTTACAATAAATATGTAAAGTCCCTTAGTTGTAACAGTATTCCGTCATGCAGGTCTCGCACACCCCTTCTCTCTTCTTGCCCAGCCTGGCCCGCGTCCTGTCCGCAACTGCACATGCAAGACACAGCGGGAACTTGGGGTCCTTCTCGACTCCATTTATCGGTATGCCCTGTGTCGCGATGTCGAATACCTGGTCCATGATACTTTGGACCTGCTGCTGTGGGACAGCTTCCACCAAGGTCGAGATGTTCGTCACAGGTGTCTGGCCGAGTGGGGGTCCGCCGTTCGCGAAGTATACCACGAGCGGCACGTCGAGAGAGGTGTTGCAGCCGAAGAATGTGGGGCGCGTTGTGAGGTTCTGCGCGACGAACACTTCTGTGCTGGACGGGACGGGAGGGAAGGAGTACTGGTGCGAGAACTGCGCGACGCGCTCTTGTGTCAGCTGTTGTGTTGATAAGCACACTGCAGACGCCAGATATGACCGATATGGTACGTACAACAAGTGAGGAGCCGTCTGCAAAGCTATCCACTGTGTCAGAGGACTAGTGCCATGGAACGTAAGCCGAATCCGTTTAAATAAGAGCAGGAGAAAAACCTTACGACATCGATAGCGATGATGACGTCCACCGATCGCTCCTTCACCAGTGCCGGCTGAAATGGTACATTTTCGCCGTCGGAGCCTCCGTCAGCGAGGACGAGTATCGTCTCGTTGTGGTCAATAAACTTTTCCGGTTCGATGCCCATAAATGGATTGGGAATGGCAGCAGAGTCCAGCCGAATACCGGGCTGCTCGAAGTTCTCATTTAGGGCGGCGACCACTGGCCCGAGGAGAGAATCGTCCAATGACGCCGCCTTAAACGTCAAGTCAGCTACTGATGCATGAGCGAACTGAACCTTGCGACTCACAGAGGTATTATCGGTACTAAATAAGTCGGAGGATACAGCTTGGACGAACGAGATCTGGTCAAAATTTGTGACACACGTTCCATTCTGCGAGCCTAGCAAGGATATGGGAATGAACGAGTGCAGCACATCATCGAATGACCCGAATTCAACTACGTTTCCCGATTAGCAGTCGAGACCGATGACGCCATGTGCCAGCCATACTCACAGAGGTTGATCTCATAGATGGGATTGGAAAGTGGCGATACGGCCAAAGGAGCTAAATCTGAATTGTTCTGGAGCGTCGATATGGTGTCGGCGGTAACGGTCGGGAAGGGCAAGGTGTAATTCGTAAACTCGGGCCTGAGAAGACATTCATCAGTGCCCTATGTTCAACAACCAAATCCATACTCACAAATCAATGATACTCGACATCCTCAGGCCAGCTCCATGTGTCACATTCGTCGCAAAGAAATTGCTCGGAGTCGTGCCATTGGTAAAGTGCCTCGCTAATGCACGCGACCATACGTCCGCAACCGTGACCGGAAAACCTGCCTCGTACTTTCCAGCTATCTCCGTGAGCAGGACTTCGACAAAATCGTCCTCCACGGTCGTATTCGAGGAGATGGTCGCGATGCCGAAGTTGCTGTTCCAGCCGCCAGTGGGCTCTCCCCCAGGGCCGGAATCTGTGCCGAAGACCAGATCTTGGATTGTCGGGAAGTTGGCCTGCAGCATAGATAGCATGGTCCAGGAGCCGCCGGACAGGGCGTTGAGGTAAGTGGAGGCTTGCAGCAGTCCTGCTAATCCGGCGCCAGCCGATGTGGCGTTGCGCGCATCGAACGCGTTCAGCATGGCCGCGTGGAATATTGCCGCGCGCATGCCTCCACCGCTCATTGATATAGACATGGTCGGGAGGTGTTCCTGTCCGCCGAGGATGGTCGTCAAGTATTGGGGAAGCGGGATGTTCTGCTGATCGGCGCTGCGCTCGACGACAGAGAGGTAGGTCTTGAAAGCGCCTGGAAGGACTTTGCGCCGGCGCTCGGCAACATAGGCTGACTCTTGAGGGCTAAGAGTTGAGTTCTTGCCTCCTGCGGACCTGACCAGAGTCAAGTTGGCGGGACACGGGGAGCTCAACGGGGTATAAGCGAGAGCAGCGGGCGGCGGGGCGGCTTGCTGGGCCAGGGCATAGCCAAGCACGCCGGAGATGGTGGCAAGGAGAGCGGCTGAGACCATGGCAGGTGAGAACAAGGCTGCTCCTCGGGTGGAGATGGTATGAAGGGTCGATGCTGCTCTGAAGGATATAAATACCGAGAAATTTGCCCCAGTCAGGGCGATCACGATGTCACTCGCGTCAACTCTGATCTTCCAACGGCTCCGACATGCCATCTGCGTAGGACTGTACAAAAGCAGCTTTCCTTGCCATGATCTCTAGCTATAGTTAGCCTTTCCTTGCGTATACTGCATGCGGGTAAAGATAAGACCGACGATGCTTACTGGAACAAGTAAGAGCAAATCCGATCATGTCATGATCATCTCGAGCTGTTTGTTGCTAGCAGCACTTGTCTTCTTGTAAAGATCTGTTAGTAGAAAGTAGTCTGTATGGTGGATAGATAGCCATGGTTCGATTTCGGCATGGAAGCCGGGGTGCCGTCCGTGAGTAGTGACATACCCGTCACACTCCCTGTGACACTCGCTGTGACTAGCCATCACCGGCACCTCGGCAGATCATCCCCTGCGCCGAGACATTGAACCATGGCTATCTATCCACCATAAGTCTGTAATAATCACTTAATGACGAACGTTCTCGGTGTTATGAAGGCCTTGTCTCATGTTCCACAGGCACCAAGCAACTCCTGAGACATTGGTCTCGGTAGTCTCTGATCGGCGTAGAGGTTTCATATGTAAGACACGGATATACGAGGGAGCAACTTAGACTCGTCCCGCGCCCGCGCCGGTTTCTCGCAAGCTTACGTTGTATTTCTTGCCCAAGTGGGACGCAGTCAAGACGCACGTGGTCCCCGCAGGGCGCAGCAACCAGGCACGGCTGGTGAGTCTCGGAGCGCAGTGTCGAATGCTCGAAATTGATGACGCTCTGCTGAGTTTGTTGAGTGTATGGCCCTCAGGCTTGACCAAGTTCCGCGGAGAGATCGTGGAGGCTCGGACGCCTGACCATGATCGCCGGAGATTGAAATCGGCGTAGGAACGGGCCTATAGAAATTGATTTATATTCCATCAGTACTTATAACGACATATGTAGACATCCCCGTGTTTCCCAGCCAACTTACAGAACACAGAGTTCGAAAACTTCACAGGCATTAGTGTGAACGAAGTGAGACGAGTCCGAAAGCTCGCACTTCCGCCGTCGCTTGAGACGTTCAACCCGCCCAACCAGTGTCGGACGTCGGGAAGCCGAGTATTGAGCGCTGTTCGATGATGTTTTATGACGTCATTGGCTACCTAGAGGGAGACCCGGAAACCGGTTAGTTACGGTCATGTCTGATTCGGAACGCGATTTTCCCACCCGCCTCAAGGCGACGTTTGCGAAGACAGTTTAGAGTTGCTTAGGACTATTGACTAGAGCGACCAGTGACCAGTCGCTGACCGGTACAACACTGCTGCAGCGAACGGGGATGGTGCGACGTACCCACGTAGCCATTGACTGATTGCCCGCTGCGAGTGTCATTGAGAAGTAGTGAGAAATGTGTCTCAGGTGTCGGTGAGATGACTACCAGCTTGGGCGGACGCGCCTCACTTCGCTTGCTATATACAGTACGTCTGGGGAGTTCAGTTGTCAGCGTCAAAGGTGCTGAGCTTGTTATCCATGCTTGCCACCTACCAACCTCGCAAGTCTTCCCATTCGCTCGTGGGTACACCATACGGGCTGATTTAGCTTGAGAATACGGAAAGGTACCGGTAGGACAACAGTGCCCAAGTTCTGCAACCTCGCGTACGGTGCTTAGCTCGCTAGATGGGTTGTAACTGCGGAAGTCTCGATGGCCGATCGAAACCTGTACGGGAGGGGCGCACGCGGCTGGTCGTTTCCCACAGGAGCCGCAAGGACGAGCGCAAAGAGCCTTTTCTGGGCGCTGCCGTGTCTCACACGGTGGCGGTGGGCGCGCACTGGAGCGCCTGACGAGTTTGAGCTCGAACGTCGCGCCAAGTATTACTCGTATCTTTAACCAGATGGCCTGAAAGTAAGTAACTGGTTCCTTACAATTTGCTAACCCCTTACATGCCCTGTTCCCAACCTTGCTCTTTATATACCCAGCGCTGCATGCCCCTGATCGACCCTAAATCTCCTGTTACTTCCGCTTACCCCACCGCTCCAGTTTCATCCTGCTAGCCGCCTGCGCCCGAGCCACCGCAGGCGGTCGAGAACTAGAAGGCTCGAAAAACAAAAACCTATGTGAATCTATATTTTCGCACAGCCTAGGGCGGGGAATGCAAGTGAGTGAGCATACACTAGCCGCGAAGACGCCAACCTCGATCGCGAGAACAGCTGCTACCGGGACAATATTTGTCGCGTAGCGGAGCGAAGCTGTCTCTTGTACTGTATAGGGACGTCTCTGCAGATCTGAGCGTCGGAAAATCACTGGTGTGCGCAACAATAGCTGCCGATGCATCTTTTGGAGGGTGAGACGTGTTGTACAGGCCCCATGGGCGATCCCGTCGGGCAGTCGCTTGTGGTCTGTGCCGACCACTCGTACGTCCCCTTGAAGGAGCATCCCTAATGTCTCTCGACGTCATGATCACTCAGTTTTTCCGAGCTGGCGTGCGGTTTACTCTCGGCTGCCAAAATTTTGGAGTAACACCGTAGTGGGCCAAAACGCAATATTTAGCTTCCGCCCGGAATTGCGCGCTGGACGACCGAAGGACGCGCCCTGAGGCCTATGCTGGGGCATAGGCACCATCGTATCTGTCTGCACCAGCTCATTGTACATGCCCGTGATTCATCTCTGAGGCCTGAGGTCTCGCTCTCTCTACAGATGCGCCGCCGCTCGAGTCTCGGTTAGCTTGGGGACAGTGCCAGCCTTGAGGAAGTGGTGTCCGATCGCCGTCGACATCGCCCAATGGGAACGACCCGCGACGCAGCTGAGGGCATGTTGCTGAAGATACGAGTCGCCGTCGTGGGCTACATCGTCGAGAGAAGAAAGCGCTCGCATTGATCTACACCACGAATGTCTTAGGAGCGAACGTGGGCACAAAATATAGTAACTAAGAAAGACCTGGTTCATTTCCCTCTAGTCTCATCACACTTGACAGGCATGTGATCGTGCGAAGAATATAATGTAAGCTCTGAATATGCACATAGATGGAACAATAATCGTTGAACTTAATGATTATGTCAGCTCCGCTGCTTTATTCTTGCAACTCTATCTTCTTGGGAAAGGGAGCAATATCGCTCAAAATCGAGGCACATACTGTTTATTAAAACTATTTGCTAGAGAACTGTGCCTCGATTTTGTTCTCTGCTGGAGTCTGCGCAGAGGAGATAGATTTAGCAGGTGCATCCTCTGCGAAGCGTGACGGCGCTTGAGCACGTGATGTGGTGGGGAAACAATGTACGCATGAGGCGCTGGTGAACACGAGCTCGAAATATGCGAGTCCCAAAATTCAACACATGTCTCGAGTGTTGAAGTGCCTAGTGGCTCTGGCTTGGCGTTCCGCCTGGCATGGACTTAAGGTGGACATCTTAGATTAGGCGCTACTAATACGTAGATAGTGATTGGACAATCATATGTAGTGCTCCCACGCATGGACCTCTTTATGGCAGGCTTCCCCATTCTAGCGGACTTTCAAATTAGCTTCCTTTTTGTATATAAGGACTCCTCTCGCATCCCCACTCTGCGTGCTCTTTCCCTTCGCACCCAGAGTAAGTCCCTTCGCCGCTCTTGCGCAGTATGCACTTATGCTTACGCGCTGTATAGCTAATCCCCCCGTGTGTATTAGGTTAGAACTATACAGCGTGCTCTTTCCCTTCGCACCCAGACTAATCTTCCCGTGTGTATTAGATCGTGCCCACGTGCCACTCACCAGTTTGCGCTCGCGCAGCCCAGTCGTCGTATCGCAACAATAGGTTATGAGCCCCGGCTTGTAACTGGCCCCCAACTACCCTCCATTCCTTACGAGTCTTCACTTGAAGAGATCCGGTACCAGCCGCACACTAGCTCCATAACACCTCAGGGTCTTTACCTCAAGTGTTAATCCACATCGCACACGCACACTAGGGTTGTACCCAAGTGTATGTCTAGCCCACCAGCTACACGCCCACCTTCACCAACTGCACTGACACCTGCACCCCGTCCTACATGTCACACTCCCGCTGCTCCCACTACACTCTCTCAATCCGCGTCAACCGCACCTTGCCGCACGACAACAATGTCCTCCGCCTCCGCGTTTGCATCAGCCACCGGTCCGCTGTCAATGAAACTCGACGCGATCGGAAAGCTCAAAGGTTCCAGCGACTACCCCCGCTGGTCCCTGATGATGCAGCAGTACTTTATTGCTGCACGCGCATGGAAGGTCGTCGACGGCACCGAGAGAATCCCCGTCCAAAGCAGCACCGTCTCCGCTGCGGACGTCGAAGCATGGGAGATGACAAACGCATACGCGAGGTTTTACATCCTCAGCACGCTCGGCGACGAGCTCCTGCACCTCGCAAACCCAGTGGACATCACAGCTGCAGCGCTGTGGAAGAAGCTGAAGAACAACTATGCCGCCTCCACCACCATGTCGGCATTCGTCAAGTTCCGTGCGTACTTCTCGCATGCCATCACGGACAGCAGCGACCTTGCTGCCCAACTCGACAAACGCGCCCGACTCTGGCAAGAGGTCAGCGCCTCCAGGATCCTACAAACCCCGGAGCTCCTGCAGATATTCGGCCTGCTCACGGCCCTCCCCGATTCGTTCAACAACGTTGTGGAGCCCATCCTTGCAGTCACCAAGCCCGCCGACTTGAAGCTCGACGACATCCGCAATCGTCTCCTTGACGAAGCGAAACATTGCAGCTTCAGCACCGATGTCGCCGCCTTCCACGCACCGAAGGCGTCTACCTCAGGAAAAGCCAAGACTGGCAAACCTGACGGCAAGAAGGGCAAGTGCAACTTCTGCCACTACAAAGGCCACTACAAGCAGGACTGCAGAAAGAAAAAGGCCGCCACCAATGAGGTGCAGAAGGGCAGCAATGGCAAAGCCCAGGACGGTAGAAGTAACCCGTCCGGTAGTAGTACTGGTCACGCATCTGTA